AGGAAGATCTTCCATCCGATGATTCACTCCCCAAGTGAGCGCAATGGCCGATGCTATGCCGATCCGAAGCCAGGAGACTCTTCCGGGTCTCCCACGCGGGTGCAGAGTCCCAAAGCTTTGGGCTGTCCTCAACTGCTTTCCCAGGCCACAGGCAGGGAGCTGGATGGGAAGCGGGGCCGCCGGGATTAGAACTGGCGCCCATATGGGATCCTGGCGTGTTCAAGGCAGGGACTTTAGCCGCTAGGCCACGCTGCTGGGCCCTCTGTTGTGGTTCTTGTGCTCACCTGCAGGGACTATGTCCCAACAGAGGAGTTTCTCAAGCTCCTCTGTCAGAACCTCTCCCGTTGTCAGATCTTGCACATACTGGTAGGTCCCTGGGCCAGCCCTACTTAGTCTACCTCCTGTCCTGCAGGAAAAGTAGGCCTTTTTTGACTGACCTTCAACCCATTTCAGTTCTTACTGTTGGATGTTTCAGCCCAGCTAAGGTTTGTCCATACCCAGACACAGCTCACACATGGCTCAGTAGGGGCAGAAACCTAGCCTAGTCCATCCTACGTCTATCCTAGTTCTCACGAGCACCAGATGGTGCTGGCGTCTAGCCCAGTTAAGTGTACCCAGCCCCAGTTCACACGTGTGCCAAGGGAGATTGCAGAAACCCCAACCCACCAAGGGTGTACTCTTTTTTTTTTTTAAGATTTATTTTTATTATTATTTTTTTTATTGGAAAGGCGGATATACAGAGAGGAAGATCTTCCGTCCGATGATTCACTCCCCAAGTGAGCGCAATGGCCGATGCTATGCCGATCCGAAGCCAGGAGACTCTTCCGGGTCTCCCACGCGGGTGCAGAGTCCCAAAGCTTTGGGCTGTCCTCGACTGCTTTCCCAGGCCACAGGCAGGGAGCTGGATGGGAAGCGGGGCTGCCGGGATTAGAACTGGCGCCCATATGGGATCCCGGGCGTGCATGGCGAGGACCTTAACCACTTGCGCCACGCTGCCGGGCCCAAGGGTGTACTCTTATAGCTCCCTAACTGGGCCTGTTCCCTGCCTTAGATTACGTGCGTGCCAGTGGTTGCTCTGACCCAGTTGGCATAGTCCCTCACCGTTTTGGCCTTTCCCTTCAATGCATCCCTGGCTCATGCAGACCAGTTGGTATAAGAGCCTAGCTTGGCATGACCTGTGCTCCAGCCTGATTACTGTTCTTTCTTGTGAGCTAAGGTTTACTCAGCCCTGCCTGCTCTACACACTTCCAGTTGCAGCTTGGCCCACCCCACATCTTGTTTTAGGATGCACATTTGAGTGCTGCTGCCTTGACCTGCCCAGACTGTTGTTGGTTCCTTTACCCTTGAGTGATGGCAGGTTCCGTGGTCACATCTAGCTCGGCCTATCACCACCCAGACTCTTGCGCTAACCAGCAGGACTTGTATTTCCACAGGGTTGGGCGCACACATTCCCCATAGAATCTACCCCCAGACCTGGTTCTCTCATGTGCTAGTTAGTATCTTGACCCTGCCAAGTGTGCCTGGTTCCCTGTTCTACCATACAGTCAGGTACTGATTGGTATCTAGCCCTGCCAGACAGGTCCCCAACCATAGCTTTCATGTGGACTGGTATGTGGCAGTCAGTGATGCTCTATGCTAACAGCCCATCTCAGGATTCTCATGTGGTCTGGTAAATCAGCCTGGCCCAAAGAGATGCTATGGACTCTCCCCTTCAAATCCCCAGGTCCCAGTCCCCATGCTTGCCAGCAAGTTCTGTGACCCCATTGCTGGAAGTCACACAAGATTCATCCCTCACCTACATTCACATTGGCCTTATCCAAGGATGTCGCTAGGCAGCGATTACATATCCTGAAAACCTTACAGCTTGCTGCCGGTGGCCAGCAGGCAGAGCCTGGCGCCCAGTGGTCGCACTGGCTGCCCAAAGCCTAGGACTCCCTCACTGTTTGCCTTGCCTGGCTCAGGCAGCCCAGAATTTATATTTTTTAAGATTTATTTATTTTTATTGGAAAGGTGCGCTGATCCAAACCCAGGACAAGGAACTTCCTCCAGGTCTCCCACTAGGGTACAGGATTCCAAGCAGGGAGCTGGATGGGAAGTGGAGCTGCCAGAATTAGATTCAGCACCCATATGGGATCCCAGCGTGTTCAAGGCGAGTACTTTAGCCTCTAGGCCAACGTGCTGGGCCCAGCCCCACCTATTTTCAAACTGAATATAAATGGCATCAAATAGAGTTCCCTCTTTTTGTATCTGGTTCCTTTTGTTCAGCATTAAATATGTGAAATTGCCACATGCCGCAATACACTGTTTTTATTTATTATTGTTTAGTGCTATACCATAGGATTCTGCCCCATGTGCTTATTAATGGATACTTGAGTTGTTTCCACTAGCCTGGGCTAGTGTGAATAAATCTCTTGTGGATTCTTGCACATGTCTTTTGGAGGACATGTGGTAGTCATTTCTGTTGGATATTTTCCAGGGAATGGAATTTCTGGATTATGTCCTCGATGTTTTAGTAGATCTTGCCAAACAGTCTTCCAAAGTGAGTGTACTAATAGCAATCCTGCCTGCAACAGGTGACATTCCAGCTGCTGCCTGTTCTTGCCAACATTGAGCCATTCTGGTGGATATTTCATGGTGTTTTAAATTTCTATTTTCTTTGGTTTTTTTTTGTTGTTGTTGTTGTTGTTATTATTTGAAAAGAAGTTACAGAGAAAAAGGGAGACACACAAATAGAGAGCTACATCTTCCATCCACTGCTTCATGCCCCGAATGGCTGGGCCAGGCTGAAGCCAGGAGCTGGGAACTCCATTCAGATCTCTCATGTGGATGCAGGGGCTTAAATACTTGGGGCATCTTCTGCTGATTTCCTAGGCATTAATGGGGCACTATCCAGCAGGGGGCTGAGTGGGGCTGAGTGGGAAGCAGAGGAGCCAGGACTCCAAATGGTGCCATCAATGGGGATACCGGTCACAGGCCACAGCTTTAACCCACTGTGCCATGATTCTGACCCCTAATTTGCATTTTCTTGATGAGTAGTGATGGTGTACACTTTTCCATGGGTTCACTGGCCTTTTGGATGTATTCTTTTATGAAATATCTGTTTAAGTCTTCTGACACACACACATATATATAATATTATAGTATTTATTTATTTGAAAGGGAAGTCCCGTTCACTGGTTCACTTCCCACAATGGCAGTGTCCTAGACCCGTGTAGATGGAAGGAATCTAACTACTTAAACTGTCACCTGCTGCTTCTCAGGGTCCCCGTTAGCTGGAAAATGGAGTCAGGCACTAGGGCCAGGATCAAACCCAGGTACTTGTATGTGAGACATGGGTGTCTCAACCAGTATTGTAATTGCTAGGGCAAATTCCCAATTTGTCAGCTTAAGCAATTGAGTTTCATGCCTGTTGTTTGTTGTTTTGTAGAGTTCTTCTTCTTTTTAAAATTTATTTATTTTTATTGAAAAGGCAAATCTACAGAGAGAAGCAGAGAGAGAGAGAAATAGAGGTAGAAAGATCTTCTATCCATTGGTTCATTCCCAAGTGGCTGTAATGGGCAGAGCTGAGCCAATCTGAAACCAGGAGCCAGAAGCTTCTTCTAGATCTCCCACGTGGGTGCAGGGTCCCAAGACATTGGGTCAACCTCAACTTCTTTCCCAGACTACAAGCAAGGAACTAGATGAGAAGTGGAGCATCTGGAACACGAACTGGTGCCCACATGGGATCCAGCGCTTGTAGGGGGAGGATTAGCCATTAAGCCAGGCCTTTATAAAGTTCTTTATTTTAGATTTAATCACCCCTTCCCCATGTCTCCCCTATTTTCTCTGAGTCTGGGACCTGCTTTCTTATCCTCTTCCTTGTTATCACTTGTTGAACAGAAGTCATGAATTCTGACGAGAATTCCAATGATCTCTCTTTTCTTATGGTTTTAGCTTTATGTGTAGGGGTGCGCTACACTTAAATTTTTGCTGACACTAAAAGTTTTTCCTTTTTAAAATTTTTCTCTTAAGAGGAAAATTATGAAAAGTATTGTTTTACCTTCACATAATCCATCTCAAATTATTGCTATAGGTGGACATAAGATAGAGATTGATTTTTTTTTTCCCCATATGGGGCTGCAGCTGACCCACCAGCATTTACTGAAAGACCACCCTTTCTACTTAAATTGCGAGGTGGGTCTAATTCTTGACCCACTTCAGTTCTCTCTGTCTTTGCAACCTTGCAAGTTTTGATATTTGATGGTGTAAGTCCCAAGGAACACTTTTAACATTAGGAGATAATAGAGCTTGTATCAAAGTCAATGAGAGGATGCATCCACTCCGACCCAGTTGAGAGTGAGTTGATAGTTAAGAGTGAGGAATTGAATAAAAGAGAGAGGATTCATCTATATGTTAAGGATTCTGAGAAGACAGTAGGAGTTGGATCCAGGCACCTAAGAAGGGACTGGCTCTAGACACTCAACCCCTAATTTATTCAGTCTTGACCTGCTGTGCAGCCAGTCACAGCCCAGGGGTACGGAAGTGCCTGGACAGATGGGGCCCTGTTCTCCCCAAGCTCCTGTCCTAGCTGTGAGGAAATGCAATAACTGAGCAAGCACACTGGAGCTCACTGGACCCCAGAGGCAGGGTGTTGTGATGAGTTTTGTGGGTGGCTGCTCCAGCAGGGCACAGGAAGGCCTCTTGTGGATGGTGGCTGAGCAGCCAAGAGCCAGCCTCTCCAAAGGAGCAGCCTGTGCCAAGGCCCTGGGGCTGCTGTTGTAGGCTTGTTCTGCTTGTGGGACACAGTAAGCAAAGCTGAGCATGGCAACACAAGGACATCAGAAGGGTGGGGCCAGGAGGGTCCCCTGCAGGACTGGACAGAATGTGAACTTATCCCTATGGTTGAGTGGAGTGGTTTAGTTGAGCCCTGGGTCGGAGTGGAGGTCTGAGTTGGGGTCCATTCTGCCTTATTTTTTCAACACTGCTCCTACCCTCTGCCCTCTCTCCTTGCAGCCTCCTGGATGATGCCAGCCCTTTGTCCCCTCAGCCTCCGTCTGGCCCTATTGGTGTTGCTGAGCACAGCCAGAGCAGGCCCCTTCTCTCCACGGTCCAACACAAGCCTCTCAGCCCCTCGGCCCCCTCCCCAGCCTGGGGGCCGCACCGTGGAGGCAGGTGGTGGAAGTCCCTCTTCGCAGCTCTACGAGCACACCGTCGAAGGAGGGGAGAAGCAGGTGGTATTCACCCACCGCATTAACCTGCCCACTTCCACGGGCTGTGGCTGCCCACCGGGCACAGAGCCCCCCGTCCCTGCCTCGGAGGTGCAGGCACTGAGGGTCCGGCTGGAGATCCTGGAGGAGCTGGTGAAGGGGCTCAAGGAACAGTGTGCTGGGGGGTGTTGCCCTGCGGCTGCGCAGGCTGGCACGGGTGAGCAGACATGGAAGGCAGGGTGGGGTGGGCATCACAGGCCTTAAAGGAAAGGCCACTTCTTCCTCACCATTGTGGGTAGCAGGTGCAGCTTCGGGCATAACTTGGAGAACAAAGCTGGGGTCCATGTCAACCCCGGCATAGACCAGGGTCCTGGGAGCCAGGTAGCCTTGGGAAGGGGGCTGACCCTCCAGGAGCTCCAAGGGTTCAGCCTGCCTTCTCTGCTTCTCCCTCTTGCTCCAGGCCAGACAGACGTGCGGAGCCTCTGCAGCCTCCATGGTGTGTTTGACCTGAGCCGCTGCGCCTGTTCCTGTGAGCCAGGCTGGAGCGGACCCACCTGCTCTGACCCCGCAGACCCCGCGATGCCCCCCTCCACTCAGCCCCCAGCCTCCGGGTCCTGCCCTGATGACTGTAACGATCAGGGTCGCTGTGTCCGTGGTCGTTGCGTGTGCTTCCCTGGCTACACGGGCCCAAGCTGCAGCTGGCCTTCCTGCCCCGGGGACTGCCAGGGCCGTGGACGCTGTGTGCAGGGCGTGTGCGTGTGCCGGGCTGGTTTCTCTGGTGCTGATTGCAGTCAGCGTTCCTGCCCCCGGGGCTGCAGCCAGAGGGGCCGCTGCGAGGATGGGCGTTGCGTGTGTGACCCTGGTTACACGGGTGACGACTGTGGCACTCGGATATGTCCCTGGGACTGTGGCGAGGGAGGGCGCTGCGTGGACGGCCGCTGCGTGTGTTGGCCTGGATACGCAGGAGAGGACTGTAGCACGCGGACTTGCCCGCGCGACTGCCGAGGCCGCGGGCGCTGCGAGGACGGCGAATGCATCTGCGACCCGGGCTACAGTGGGGACGACTGTGGTGTGCAACGCTGCCCAGGGGATTGCAGCCAGAGAGGCCGCTGCGAGGATGGGCGCTGTGTGTGCTGGCCGGGGTACACTGGGCCCGACTGCGGTGCGCGCGCCTGTCCGCGCGACTGCCGGGGCCGCGGGCGCTGTGAGAACGGCGTGTGCGTGTGCAACGCGGGCTACAGCGGCGAGGACTGTGGCGTGCGCACCTGTCCTGGGGACTGTCGTGGGCGAGGCCGTTGTGAGAGCGGTCGCTGCGTGTGCTGGCCGGGTTATACGGGTCGGGACTGCGGTACACTTGCCTGCCCAGGAGACTGTCGCGGGCGCGGCCGCTGCGTAGACGGTCGCTGCGTGTGCAACCCAGGTTTCACGGGTGAAGACTGCGGGAGCCGTCGGTGTCCAAGCGACTGCCGCGGGCATGGCCGCTGCGAAAACGGCATGTGTGTGTGCGAGGCGGGCTACTCAGGTGAGGACTGCGGCGTGCGCAGCTGCCCCGGGGACTGCAGAGGCCGTGGCCAGTGCCTGGACGGGCGCTGCGTGTGCGACGACGGCTACTCGGGCCAGGACTGCAGCGTGCGGCGGTGCCCGCAAGACTGCAACCAGCGGGGCACGTGCCAGGACGGGGTGTGCACCTGTTGGGAAGGCTACGCGGGCGAGGACTGTGGCACCCGCACCTGCCCCTCCAATTGTAACCGGCGTGGCCGCTGTGAGGACGGCCGTTGTGTGTGCGATCCGGGCTACACTGGCCCCACCTGTGCCACACGCACCTGCCCGGCCGATTGCCGGGGCCGCGGGCGCTGCGTGCAGGGAGTGTGCTTGTGCCACGTGGGCTACGGAGGCGAGGACTGCGGGCGAGAGGAACCTCCTGCCAGCGCCTGTCCCGGGGGCTGTGGGCCCCGGGAACTGTGCCGCGCCGGCCAATGTGTGTGCGTGGAGGGCTTCCACGGCCCCGACTGCGCCATCCAGACGTGCCCCGGGGACTGCCGCGGCCGCGGAGAGTGCCGCGAGGGCAGCTGCGTCTGCCAGGATGGCTTCGCAGGGGAGGACTGTGGGGAAGGTGAGACTGACTCTGCGCGGCTTGTCAGGGCTGGGTGCTGGAACTGGAGCCGCTGGGAAGAGCTGGAGGGACAGCAGGGTGTGGTCAGAGGAGCTGAGGACTCCCAGGAGCAGTGGAACTGGGGTGGGGGAAGAGCTAACAGCAGCATTGGCTTTTAGACCCCTGAACAGTACGGGGGGGGGGGCGGGCTTTGGTTATATTTAGGGAGCTTGGGGGAAGGGAAAGCAGCCATTGGCCCTGTTCAGGCCTCTGTCAGCTTTTGACACCCTCATCACCGGCGAAGGGGAAGGGGATGAGTGGAAGTTGCCATGACCCTTGGTGTAACCTGGGGGAAAGGGGCTGTGATGGGTGAACAGTCCCTTGGAGCTAACCAGCTTTCCCTATCCCCTTCCCCTGGGCAGAGATTCCTGCCATAGACAACATGAGGATGCACCTGCTGGAGGAGACCACCGTGCGCACAGAGTGGACCCGGACTCCGGGCCCTGTGGACGTCTATGAAATCCAATTCACCCCCACGGTGAGGGGGAAGCTGAGCCTCAGGGGTGGGCTGGACTGGGGAGTCTGGGATCCAGGGGCCTCACCTTCTGTAGGAGGCTCCAGCTAGTTGGATAGTTGAGATCTTGAAGTGCCCTTTCCCTGTCTCACACAGCACAGAAATCTCGGCAGTATCTCCAGCCGGCCTCTAGTACAGGTGTATGGCCTCTGGTGACAGGCCAACCAGCCCAGTGCTGGTCACTGTTGCAGGTTCTTTCCATTGTTGCTGAATCCAAACCTTCCTGTGTTCCATCTGCTGGCACTGGCTGGGCATTCCTCAGCAGCCAGAATGCTGCTTTGCTTTCCCTGAATCCTGCCTCCAGAGCTCAGCCAACACAGTCTTCATTCCTCCTGGGGAAAATTCCTGGGTTTCACTTCCCCTGGTGCTTGGCCTCCTGAACTCTCCACCTTCCTGTACCATCTGCTTTTTACATGGGCCCCTCAAACTGGGGACTAGGTGGGCATAGAAGAGCCCGCTGTATGAGTCTAGATTTGCTGGCACCTTTCTCGGAGTGGGCTTATGTTAATTTGTATCTACAAACTGTCAACTGCTTTAATACTGTTTTAAACATGACTTTTAATTATGAAACTGATATTCAGTTCATATATATTTATACATGTATTCAGCCCATATGTATGTATACACATGTATGTATGTATACACACATATCTGTACACACATATATACACATACATACATACATACATACATAAAGAAGAAGGGAGGACAGGCAGGAATGCTTAGCTGCATACACAGTACACTTTTTTAGCCTAAATATAGACCTGTGTTCTGTTGACTCTGTTCAATGTTAACTTCTTCAGTTTGAGCCAAGCTGTCCGGGCTATTGCCATACGTTTCAATCTGTGAGCTTATTCTCCCGCTGCCATGTCCTCAGTACATGGCTAAGCATCCTTTCTCTGTCTCCCTCCAACTTGTTTTTTGATACTTGGGGCTACCCCAACCTTGACAATGCCCTAAGACCTCTCATCGGGGGCCTTCTTTATGCATATTGGACTTTTTAGGACATAGTTGTTCTCCCAACCCCACATCACCCAATATTTCCACTGCTCAACTATGTTTTCCTGCATTGCCACCCAAGTGCCATGGGAGGGTGAGTCTTGCCACCCACATCTCCATCAGCCCAGCCAGAACCACGGGCAAATAAACAACTGTCTGACCTGTAGCCGTGCAAGACCCTGGAACAGAAGGGCCGTTCTGAGGTGCTGGCTGTCAGCCTCTCCCCACTCAGGAGACCCCACCTCCTATCCCTGGGCAGCCCCCCACAGGTCCCCTCCTTCCTGTTCTGTTTGGTGGCACAGCCAAGGCAGCTTGAATTTTCTTTCTGTATTTAGAAATCTTCTCTTTTTTAGCTATCAACATAATTTAATCACGAGACAAGAAGTTGGCAGCCAGAGCAAAGCAATGTGGATAGTTCTTGGCTGGTTCGCCCGCAGAGAAGCACTGCTAACATTCTGAAGTGTTTCTCCCACTGTCTTCTGAGTGTATATTGTTTACATAGCTCTCATCTTAAGAGGGTGGAACTTGGAGAAAGAATTTGCCTAGGAAACTTTCAGGAAAGAATTAAAATAAACACTGGAGATAAAAGGCAGCTAGGGCAGAGTCATCTCCTGCCCTGAGCAAACACAGATCTTTGGGTGCTGTCCTGGTGGGCGGGCAGTGACCCAGCTGAAGCCTCAGGCTTCTCCTGTCACTCAGAACTCCAAGGAAGGGACAGGAGGCCTGGGTTGACCCCTGTGCTCAGGTCCCTGCCAGGCTGTGCAGGGAGACTTCTGTCACACTTGCGGAAGAGGCTCCCCCAAAACTGGCCCCCAGATGCCCAGCCTGGACTCCGGCTCTGCCTATGTCATAGCCTCCCTCCACGCTCTGCTCCTGTTGCTCAGCCCAGGCTCTCAGCCATTTCCACGGCCATGAAGTGCCCTCGGCAGCTGGATGCCCTGGGCCTAGAAGCCGCTCCCTCCCTTACCCCTCCCTTTTTCTGGAAGCATGACTCTTTTCCAGCCTCAGCTCCACTCTTTCTGGCCAAGGACACACCTAGATGTTGGAATTAGTTTGAACATAGAGCAGTCTTCCTCCCTACCCTGTCTGTGTAGCACTGGTCCTGCAGCAGCAGGAAGCCTGGCAGAAAAGCGAGTGGTGGAAGGGGCAGTTAGGTCACTGCCCGGGATGTCCATCCCAGGTGGGAGTTGGGAGTACCTGGGCTCGTTCCAGCTCTGCTCCTGATTCCAGCTTCCTGCTAAAGTACACACTTGGAAACAGCAGGCTCAAGTCCTTGGATCCCTGCCACCATGGGGAGTGAATAAGAGTGTGTGCTCTTTCTCTCTCTGTCTGTGCCTTTCTAATAAGTGGATGAAATTAATTTTTTTAAGAAAAGAAAGATATGCAGGTAATCATGCTTCACTCCCAGATCTATTGAGTCAAATGGCGTAAAGCCCAGTAACCTGTGTTAGAACAAGCCCTCCAGGTGATGTGTGTGTGTATGATAGATTTATTTTTTTGCTCATTTATTTATTTGAAAAGCAGAAAAAGAAAGAGAAAGAATCTGCTATCCACTGACTTGCTCTCCAAATGGGCATAGCAGCCAGGGCTGGTCCAGGCTGAAGGCAGGATCCAGAAACTCCATCTGGGTCTCCCACACTAGTGCCAGGAACCCAAGGTCATTACCCACTGTTTCCTAGGTATGTTAGCATGGAGCTGGGTCAGAAGCAAAGCAGCTGGGACTAGAGCTGGCCCTCCAGGCTGGCCCTCTGATAGGAGGTGTTCCAAGCAGCAGCCTGACCAGCTGCACCTTCTGGTGATTGATGTTCCCCAAGCCAGAGGGTCACTCACTCAAGGGATGCTATTGCTTTGTGAAATATTGGCTCCACTTTGTCTGTGAGAGGAAGCACAGCGAAACCAAGGGAGGTGAACCCTTGAGTCCAAAAGAAAATGAGGTATTCCATATCTGGGCATCCTTTGCAGCCTGGAGTCCAGGGTGATGCCAAGTGTCCCTTAAGGCACAAGACCCTGCAGATTTAGGGAAGTTTTTGTTTTGCTCTTGTCTTACGGTGAGATCCAAGGCCAAGGTGCAGTCTTCCATCTGGGGTTGTGAGGTTCATATTGCAAATAATGTTCAAATTCTCCAAGAACAGCAGGCGAGGCAGCCAAGCTCTGCCACAGGGGTAGAGCCCATGCCAGTGTCTGGCTGGAAACCAGTGAGGTGGCACCGTGAGGCATGAGTTAGGCTGACTGTGGGACTCCTAGGGACCATCCCCAAATGGCTCTCAGGAGGACCCAGGTGACAGAAGGAAACACAAACAGGAAGTGGTGGACCAAGGTGGAGAACTCTGGGGATAGGCTTGCCTTGTGGAAAGACTCAGACACCCTCAGGGAGTGCCCAGGGGCTGTGCATTGGCAGAACCGAGACAGGGGAGGTGAGAGAGGGAGGATGTGAGGAAGTAAGGGTCTGAGAAGGCTGAGGACTCACAGATTCGCTGTTGAGGACAATGCAAGACCACTGAGGCTGGGCTGTACAGGTCAGGAGGAGTGGGGGAGGACAGGCTCTCACGCACCTAGGAAACCCTTTCAACCTGGGAAGCTCTGACTGACTTCCTTGCCTTCTCAACCCAGAAGCATCTACGTGGCCTTCTCATCTGGTTTTACGCTTGGCATTTACTAGGCTGACTTGCTCGCCATCCTCTTAGTTTAGGAGAGTACCTTTCGAAATTTCCAATCCTACTTGGCTGAATGGAGGTGTTCCCATTGCCGCCAACACAGCTCAGCAGAACAGAGTGTCCTCAGCGGCTGCCCTGGCTGGGCGGTGCAGCCACACACAGAGCTGTCAGAAGGCACCCCCAGTGTCCAGTCCCTCCTGCCCGGAGCCGATTGCCCGGGGGGGGGGCATATACATGCATACCACCTTCAAGGCACATATGGAGGAGGATTTTCTCATGGCATTTGCAGCACTTGGATACTTATGCAAGAATCCCATAAAACTGAACAGATGGCCACACACATGGGAACACTGGAAATTTCATGGAAAATGGGACTAAAGTTTATCTTGATATCCTCCCCCCCCCCCCAAAGATATTCATGCATAACAGGCATCTTCAGAGCATTCCTGGAAAATGCATATGGTGAAAAAAGTATGCATGATTTCTGTTCTTTGCACTGAAAAAAAAGCTTATGTCTCAATTTCATTTTCCTCAAACATTTCAAAGTACTCTTGCAGCTACTAGAGCAGGAACTGCCTGCTGCCAGGCATGAAATCAGAATTTGGGAAATGTCTCTGAGGAATCTGGGCCCGATGGACCTAGTTTGGGCAACCTATGGGCCTGCTGGAGAAACAAGAAAAGCCATCTTGCAGTCACCCCCAGATTATACAGCTAGGAGCAGGTGCCACTGGGAGGGGTGGGCTGAGGACCATGCTGTGAGGAGGAGTGGAACCTAAAGGGGCATCTCCCATCCACCTCATTTGCTCTGAAAGAAGCCGGATTCAAAGCCTTGTCAGACCCCAGAGTTCAGGGCCGCCCTGACCCTATGTGTGTCTGTGGAATTCCAGCAGATGAGCAGGGCATGCCCATGAGTGGGACTCTAGGCTTAAATCCCTGCTGCTTTCTTGGTGTGTAAGATGCTTATTCTTCCATCTCTCAGTGTGCTCATCTGTAAAATACGGCAGGAGCCTATCTCACAGGGGTACCATGAGCGCTGAGTGAGTGCATTTACCTGAACTGCTGCAACAGTGGGCAAAGGCTCTTGGCCGGTGCACCCCAGCTGGGGTGGGGCCAGGTTCCACACAGTCCGGTGTTGACGCTGTGTGGGACGGCAGCAGGATGAGAGAAGGGAGACTGAGAAGCAAGCCCCTGATCCACTTCTCTTCTCTCACAGACAGAGGGGGTGAGCCCTCCGTTCACAGCACGGGTGCCCAGCTCTGCCTCAGCCTATGATCAGAGAGGATTGGCTCCGGGTCAGGAGTACCAGGTCACTGTCCGTGCCCTCCGCGGGACCAGCTGGGGGCCCCCTGCCTCCAAGACCATCACCACCAGTGAGAGCCGGAGCCGTGCGGGCAGGGTCCTGGGCAGGGATCTGGTGACTGCTGGGTATCATGGCTGGGCTCTTGGGAGGACAACTGATGACCGAAGGAACAGTCATCTCCTGAGCTCCCCTCACTGCTCTCTCTCTCTCTCTCTCTCTCTCGCCTGGCTAGTGATTGATGGCCCCGTGGACCTCCGCGTAGTGGCTGTGACACCGACCACCCTGGATCTCAGCTGGCTGCGTCCCCAGGCCGAGGTGGATCGGTTTGTGGTGTCCTATGTCAGTGCTGGCAACCAGAGGGTGCGGCTGGAAGTGCCCCCCGAAGCAGATAGGACGACGCTGACAGAACTGATGCCAGGCGTGGAGTATGTGGTGACTGTCACCGCGGAGAGAGGCCGGGCAGTCAGCTACCCAGCTTCCGTCAGGGCCAACACAGGTAGGGGGAAGGCAAGGACCCTGGTTTTCCAGGCTAGGAATTCCTCGCTCTGAGTGTTCAGGCTGTGTGGCACCTGCTGGGTCCATGCAGAGCCCTGAGGGAGTCTGGCAGCATATACCTGGGAGGAACCAAGGGCTGGAGGGAGGCCTTCTGATCCATCCAGACAGGGGACCTCACGCTCACAGTCAGGGCTTGGAGGCCAGCAGGTGACACAGCAGTGAGGACCAAGGCCACGTGCTTTCCCTCTAACCTCCAAGATTTCTTAACAGCTGGATCTCTCTTCCTGTGACGGGAGACATTCATCCGGCCATAGCTCCCCCTCTCTTCCTCCAGCGTCCCTTTTTCTCTCTAGGCACAATACCGCACCAGCCGGCTTCTCTTCTTCCTAGGGCAGCAACAAGCCGTGGGCTAGAGGGGAGAGGGGCAGGGGGCTCCTGGGACACTCACTCATGTCTCTGGTTCTCTTTACAGTTGGGGTTGGGCCCCTAGCTGTGGTGGGAGGGTGGAGGCAGTGTCTGCCGGGTGCTGCCTCTGACCTGCTCTCTCGCCCTTTTTCATTCCCCACCGGCAGCACCAGGCCACTACAGTTACCCGGAGGTGCGCCCCCCTGCCCCGCCCCCCCAGCCCCGTCCCCGGCCGGCCCCAGCCCAGCGCCCCCCGCGCCCCTCGAGGCCGACCGAAGAGAGGGAGGTGGAGTCCCGGCCCGAGCTCCAACCCCAGCCCCCGCGGCGCCCGTGGGCCAACCTGACGGCCGAGCTGGGCCGCTTCCGCGGCACGGTGCAGGACCTGGAGCGCCACCTGCGGGCTCACGGCTACCCGCTGCGGGCCAACCAGACCTACACGTCGGTGGCACGCCACATCCACGAGTACCTGCAGCGGCGCCTGGCGGGGACCCCGGGGCCCGCCGGCTCCCCCGCGCCCCCGTCCGCGCCCCGCCGCTCTCGTCCCACCTCCAGCCCCGTCCCGGGCACCTGGAAGCGGGACTCCTCCCAGGGCAGCTACGGCCCCGCGTCCGAAAGCGCCGACTGGGGGCCCGCGGCTCGCCACCCCAAGCCCGAGGTGCTGGGCAGTGCCGCCGACGGCGGGCTCCTCGTCTCTCTCGACGGGCTCCGCGGCCAGTTCGAGCGCGTTGTGCTGCGCTGGCGGCCGCAGGCGCCGGCAGAGGGCCCCGGCGGGGAGCTGGCCGTGCCAGGCACCGCGCGGACCGTCAGCCTGCCCGACCTCAGGCCCGGCACCACCTACCACGTGGAGGTTCACGGGGTGCGGGCGGGGCAGACCTCCAAGTCCTACGCCTTCGTCACTACCACAGGTAGCGTGGGCTGCGGCCACGGGGGACCACATGCCGTGCGTCGTTATTTGCCTCTGGAGCCTGCAGCCATGAATCCCTTGCGCTGCCTCACGCCTCAGCCTGCCACCCCCTATCCCCACCGCACGAGGAGCCCCACTCAGCCCAAGGTCTGGGAAGTCTCACCACACAGCCTGGTCTTTTAGCATCCTCCCCCAGTGACCTGGCATACCCAAGACCTAGGAGATGTGGTCTTTGGGATCCTCCACTTGTACCAGGAGGCCAAGAAGGGACCTTGGCCGTAGTGGGGGCTGCAGAAGCATGGTGTCCCTGGTGGACTTCGTGAAGCAGTTTGGGGTGGGGCCAGAATCCAGTGCCTCTCACTGCTGACTCACCCTCAGAAGGGTGGCTGAGGACTGGTCTGTGGTTAGCATTTCCCACAATTTGGCAATGACCTTGAAAAGCTACACGTGTCTGTGGTGGTGATGGTGGTGGTGGTGGGTTGTGGGGTGAAACCGCTGCTGCTGGAGCTGCCTTTCCCAGCCTCCTGGCTCACTTCCCACCCATCTCTCCTACAGGAACGGTGGCCAGGCTTGGGCAGAGGGTACTGGGTGGCTGCTGGGAGGGGTGGTGGACCTCTTTTTCTCCCATAGGGTCTGAACATCACCTGGCCGGACACCCCCCAGATCCCTCCCAGCCTCTGTCCCTGCTGCCTCCGTCCGCACCTGTCTCTCTCGTTCTCCTTCCCTAACAACACAATCTCCTCCTTTCTTCCAGGCTTCTCACTGCAGCACTAATGGAAGCCGGACACCACCCACTGGGGAGGGGGTGCACATTGTGTGTGAGGGGGCAGTCCTGTGAGCCTGGGGCTGGAGACAGGGAAGCCTAGTAGCGGAAGGGAGGACGCTTTATCCCTTAGAGCCTGCCCTGGGCATGGGCCTGTCTGCTCAGTGGGTGTCAGTGTGGCTGTGTGAACAGTCAGCCCAGTGGGAGATGGGGTGGTCCCAGTGGTGCCCCCTGGGGCAGACCAGGGCTGGCCTCTGGGCACCTGGAGGCTGGAGAGCAGAAACTGAGGGCTGGGTCCCCTTCCTGGACCTTAACAATTTGTTTTCCTGCTTCTCTCACCTTGCCCCTTCCCAGGGTCTGCCCCCTCAGGCATCCTGGGGCCTACCGATGAGCCCCCTCCTGCAGGCCCCTCGACCACACAAGGAGCCCAGGGCCCCCTCCTGCAGCAGCGCCCCCAGGAGCTGGAAGAGCTGAGGGTGCTGGGCAAAGACAAGGCAGGGCGCCTGCGTGTGGCTTGGACTGCCCAGCCTGACACCTTCACCCACTTCCGGCTCTACCTACGAGTACCCGAGTGGCCAGGGGCACATGAGGAACTGCTGCCAGGGGACAGACGCCAGGCTCTGGTGCCCTCGCCCCCTTCTGGATCTCCCTACGAGCTGTCACTTCATGGGGTCCCTCCCAGGGGCGAGCCCTCTGCTCCCATCACCTACCAAGGCATCATGGGTGCGTCCTGGACTCTGCTCAAACCTGAGGTTGTGGGAGGGGCCTCGTGCTGGGGCCGAGGCCATCAGCACTAAAGATGGAAAGGGGATCGAGTAGCCAGTGATTGACAGGGCTGGCGTCCAAGGAGAGATGAAAGGAGAGGGCAGAGAGAAGGGGGTTCCGGATTTGGAGCCAAGGTGGATGTAAGACGTCTTAGGCCAGGGAAGGTGAGGGAAGGGAAGGTAATGGGTGAGTACAGGGGTTGAGGGAGAGAGGCCGTGGATCTTGGGGGTAGTGACCCTCACACCCACCTCTCCAATCCTTCTCCACAGACTGGTGTCCCCTCCTGGGAGCCAGCACCATGTGGGAATTGGGCGTTGGGGCATGGGCTGGGGCTGTACTAGCCATCATGACTGTGGAGTTGGATGAGATTCTCAGACCCAATGCAGGATGGGGCTGGGATCCCTGGCTCTCCTGTACACTCTTGGTTCCTGCCTATGGTACTGGGATGCAGGAGCTGCCTTGTGCCACAGTTCTAGATCCAACTTACAGAGAGGTGGCAAGAGAGACAGCAGTTCAGATGGGCTAGGGGCTCTCTGGCTGCTGTAAAGCAGTCATGGAGGGCTTTAAAACTCACAAGAAGAACCAGGGGGTTCCTGAAATGCCCCCAAAGGTCCTCATACTAGAGGGGCTAGGGAAGAAAGTTTTCTGAATGGAATAAACAGAAGGGGAGCTGTCTGCCTTCCCAGGAGGTTCAGTTGTAGGGGACTGAAATGGGGGCAGATGGGGACGACTGGAGGGGAGGGGAGCTGCGGGTGGAGTGAGGTGGGTAGAGGAGAAGGAGACTGAGAAGCTAGGCATGGCTGAGTTGACCCTGCTTGTGCCCTCTGAACCCCAGAGCCAGAGGAGGAGAAACCTGGGGAGCCCCCAAGGATCCCGCGCCTGGGCCAGCTGTCAGTGACTGGCTTGACCTCTGACTCACTGCTCCTGCACTGGACAGTCCCTGATGGCGAGTTCGACTCCTTTGTGATCCAGTACAAGGACAAGGATGGGCCCCGGGCAGTTCCTGTGGAGGGGCCCCAACGCTCGGTCCCCATCACCTCCCTGGAGCCAGGCCGCAAGTACAAGTTCGTCCTGTATGGCCTGGTGGGCAAGAAGAGGCATGGCCCCTTGGTGGCTGAAGGCAAGATACGTAAGTAACAGTGGCCAGTACATGTGCACGGTTACATGGGTCCCCCAGTGTGAGACCCAGTGCTTTGGGAGCCCCAGGAAGGCTCCTTGTCAGCCTTGGTGCCTGAGCTGCGTCCTGCAGGGACAGAAGTGTGGGGCAGGGGAGAGGCGGAAGAGCATGATACAGACACAGTGCGTGGCCTGTAGGCAGCCCTGGCTCTGCTTGTATGCAGCTCCTGGAGAGCAGGGCACCTTCGAGCTTTGTGTACTGAGGGCTCCAGGAGTTTTCAGTGGGAGAGTGACATGATTTCATGTTTGTCTTACAAACAGTGCTGTGCCTGCTGCAGAAGCCAGCAGGGGAGAGGATGCCATAAGAGCTGGCAGGCATGGTGGTGGGGGTTGGGTCAGGTGTGGAAGGTGAAGGAGAACTAGAGGGCCCAGGCAGACCCCTGGGGTTTCTGGATCAGCCCCTGGGGTGGGGAACAGGCTGAGAGGGACACTTAGCTGAATCCGGGTTAAGAGCCACGTGCTCCATGAAGCTTTAGGGACAACAGAATGTTCCTTACAGCTGCCCTGTGAGCCACGCCATCAAGAGGTACAGAGAGATCATCTGAACAAAAGGTGGTAGCTGGCTCAGGGCTGCCCCGCAGCCCGTGGGCCCAGAGAGAGGGCCTGGGGGAGAAGAGACAGGGCCACTGGAACCCCCAGAAGAGAAGCAGCCTGCATGGTGGCCCTGGGGTGGTAAGCCAGGAGGGAAGGGGCAGAACAGGGCGCGTGTCATTGTAGGCGCCAGGGACGAGGGTGTGGTTGGGCTCTTCAGATTCCGGGAAAATGATTCAAAGGCCACGGAGCGTCAGCAGGCCTTAGCAATGACGAGGTCGCTCCTGGCCCCCATGAGGGTGGAGGTGAGGCCATGGCTACAACTAGAATAAACATTGGACTGGGGACTGGGAACACACAGCCAAGAGAGAAGATGGTGGCTGGATAGAGAAGCTGGCGGTGTTTGGGTATGGATGGTAGAGCCAATGACCGATGAGGGGCTGTGATGCCTGGGTCAGCAGGGGATCACAGCTCCTTGGGAGAAGTGACTGGGGTTTGGGCGTGGAGCACCCCCATGTGCATGCCTGCTCCTGCCATGGCTGGGTAGGCCTGAAAGCTGCTGAGGTCATACTGAAATTTTGCTAGCTGGAAATGTCCAGAGGCCTGGCCAGGCTTTCCTCTTCCAGAAGCCCCTGTCTATCTTTGCAGGGCCGCATGTGCACAAATGGTGCTGTGCATCATCTGGGAGAGGGTAGCCCTTCCTCTGGGAAGAGGGACATAGTCCTCAGCAGGGCACATGGCCTGGCCAGCAGGCCCTCTGTACCCCTCAGCATGCACAGTCTCCCACAGCTCCCCTGGGGTGGAGGTGGATACCCACTTCTCCTGCGATCCCCACCCCTCCTCCTCTCTACTTCCCAGTGCCTTACAGTGATCCCAGCCGAGCAGCAGCTCCCCGCCTTGGGAAGCTGTGGGTGACAGATCCCACCCCAGACTCGCTGCAGCTCTCCTGGACCGTCCCTGAGGGCCAGTTTGACTCCTTCATGGTTCAGTACCGGGATCGGGACGGCCGGCCCCAGGTGGTGCCTGTAGAGGGGCCTGAGCGCTCAGTCATCATCTCCCCCCTGGACGCTGACCACAAGTACAGATTCGCTTTGTTTGGAATGGCCAACAAGAAGCGCTATGGCCCACTCACAGCAGAGGGCACCACTGGTGAGTGGCGGCCACTTCCCCAGGGAAGCCCTCCCCATTCCACCTACACTTTGCTCTTAGCTGGGCATTTGATGGGCCTCCCAGCGAGACAGACGGCTGGCTCCAGCCTCCTGGCCCTGCTCCTGGGCTGATGAGCAGCCAACCTCCCCCACACTACTCAGCTGCTCCCCAAGGCCCAGAAGGTGTGTCACACTCTGGCTGTGGTTAACAGAGGTTAGCACTCACACTAATTCAGTAGTGATTCCCAACCACCTCTATGAGTTACGCTTAGTCCATAGCCCAGGCGCCAAGTCCCAGGCTTGGCACCTGGCTGGATCCTCTTGTTTACAGCCCCAGAGAGGACGGAGGAGCCCTCCCGGCCTGCGTCACCTGAGCAGCCCATCCTCGGGGAGCTGACGGTGACTGGCGTGACCCCTACCACCATGCACCTGTCCTGGACCGTGCCTCAGGACCCCTTCGACTCCTTTGTGGTCCAGTACAAGGATGCTCAGGGGCAGCCCCGGGCAGTGCCTGTCGGTGGGGACGAGAATGAGGTCACCATTGCTGGCCTGGAGCCCGACCGAAAGTATAAGATGAACCTCTACGGGCTGCATGGAAGGCAGCGTGTGGGGCCAGTGTCTGTGGTTGCCAAGACGGGTGAGTCAGCACCGTGCATGCTTCAACCCCCCTCTACTCCCCGCTGCCGTCCTGTCCTCTCAGCAGGACCTGGCCCACGCTCCATCTTCTCTTTCTCACTCAGATTCTGTCTTGGCCTCGGCCTCTCCCCTGCCCCCTGCAGCCCAGCTGGCTCTGCTCCTCTGCCTTTGGAACTGGGTCTCATTTTTCCCCTTTCCAAGCCCTGGAACCATCCCTTGCACTGGTCTGCCCTCCCCACTCCCCTCACCCCACTGTTTTGTATCAGCCTTCTTCATGGCCGGTGTCAGGCATGGTCATGTCTGAGCTTCTGTCACCTGCTCCTCATACTTTCCCACCAGTGCTACCCTACTCAGAGATAACTGATTCAGGTTTCCAGAAAGCGCTACCAGCTCTTTCCACCATGAGGAGGGCTGTTCCTAGCTCCAAACTGGCCACTTCATGGCCACTTGGGGCAGGAGACCCCTCTCCACCCTGTCCCCACCCCCACCCCTGGCCTGTTCCTCTGCCCGCTTGGCTCTCCCAGCCTGGCACCCTTCCCAAGGCCCACATGCTATTAGCCAAGAGTTTGAGGCCCCATGCCTGGCGTGTAGACTCTGCAGCTGGCTCTCCACAACCTGCTTACAGGCCCCAGTGCATGTGAGCGCTGTGTCTCTGTGTCTCAGCTTTCCCTTCTGACATGTGGGGATAGCCAATGGCAGCATTGTTAGAATTAGTGAGCTCGTGCACGTTTAACCCTTAGTCTCCTGCTGTTTCAGAGTGACCTGCCGTCTCTCCCTGACAGGATCCCCTTCCTGTAGACTTTCTCTGCCCCTCACCCCCTGCTGGCCCCATGCTTGGTTGCATTACTTGCGTCTTCAACCTCATGTCCCTTACGTCTCCTGCCCAAGAGCCAGGGTGTGAGTCATAGAGGGTCTGTCTATGCAGAGCCTTGACAAAAACCTAGCTGCACAGAGCTGCGGCTCGGTGCCCATAAGGTAGGGGATGGGATTCCCGGGCCTGGAGCCCTGCCTTAGCATTTCATTCCTTAGGACTCAAGGGGAGGGAGGGAGAGAGCTGCCTGGCCTCAGCAGGGGCCAGTCCTGTCCTCCTGGGAGGAGGACACATTGGAGCGGGATGAGGAAGGGAAGAAGCCTCACCCCAATTTGCCTGTTTGAGGTCAGTGTTGGCCATGAACTCAAGGTAAAGAAACCTCTGAGGTTTCCTCTGTCTCGAACCCCCATCAGAAATGAGGAGAGACCCCAATTCCCAGGAACCCACCAGGGCCCTCTTGCTAGCAAGGCAGGGCGGCTCTGGGCCGTCTACGCTTGCTCATCTATGAGTGACCTGACAGCCCCTGCCAACAAGTCCTGCAAGCCCTAAGCCAGGGGTGGGAACCTTTTTCTGTCAAGGGCCACTTGAATATTTATAGCATCACTCATGGGCCGTACGCCATCCTCAGCTTAACAATCAGCCTGCTGCGGATTTGCTGAATTTTGAGTGCCACCTGTAGCTGTCCTGGAGAGGGCCAGGCCAAGTGACTTTATAGACCCTTAGGCAGCCCACTGGCTGCTTGCTTCCCACCCATGCTAAGTCCACACTTGAAGGCTTATTTTCATTTCATTTGAAAGGGAGATGACAAGAAAGAAACAGAACTTGTGTCTGCTGTTTTACTCCTCCACATGCCCACTGGAATTGAAGCTAGGTCAGGTCAGAGCCAGGAACCTTGCAGCTCTGCCCGGGTCTCCTATGTACCCAAGGAGACTAGACCCAAGTACTTGAGTCACTGCTGCTGCTCCCCAGCATGTGCGCTAGTAAGAAACTAGAATCAAAAGTGGAGTCAGGACAGGAACTCAGGCTCCTTGGTGTCAGACGTGACCATCCCATGTGGTATTTTAATTCCTCCACTGAATGCTGGCCCCTGGTTGGACAACGCAGTCCCTGCTGATCCATCAGTCATACAAGTCCCCCTCACTCACAGCCTGTGTCCCCATCTCTTCTCCCAGCCACTCAGGAGATTGTGGACGAGACCCCTGCCCCGACAGAGCCCAGCATGGAGGCCCTGGAGACCCCCGAGGAGCCAGTCCTGGGGGAGCTGACGGTGACTGGGTCATCCCCGGACTCTCTGAGCCTGTCGTGGACCGTGCCCCAGGGACACTTTGACTCCTTCAGCATCCAGTACAAGGACAGGGAAGGACGACCCCAGGTGGTGCGCGTTGGGGGAGAGGAGCGTGAGGTGGCCGTGGAGGGCCTGGAGCCGGGGCGCAAGTACAAGATGAACCTGTATGGGCTGCACGAGGGACGGCGCATGGGCCCCGTGTCCACTGTGGGTGTGACAGGTGAGTGAGAGGTAGGGTCTGTTTGGCTCCCTTCCCCTGCTGGTCCCCAGCTTCCCTGTCACCAGTTTGTCATCCTTGTCCAGTGGAACCATGCTTTCTATCTTGCCTAGGAGGACCTGCAAAGATCAGAGCCTCAGTTTTCTTGGTTGTGAAATGGGAATGCACCTGCCTACAGAACTCTGATGCATGTTCAGTGAGTCAGCAGGTGTGATATACAGTAAGGATTGTTGCCAGAGTCCTTTGTTCTCCTAGTGAGTTTGGCTTCTTACTTGGTCAGAACATGCATGAGACCCTGGACTCTTGTAAGCATTAACATGCATCTAGGGAAGACCAAAGCACAGCACTCTGCCCTCCCTGACAGGGCCTCCACTGGCCTGTCTGGCCAGGTCTCTTTACCCCCTTTACTCTCTGTTCTGTCACACAAAGACCCATGTTTTCTAGAAGCATGTTTGACTCCAGCAGAACCGATTTAAAACATGATGGGGAAATGGGTTTCTAGAACATTGCTTCTACACTTGCATGAAGCTCAGTTTTGCAGTGACTTGCTTCGCTTTGCTTCCAGAACCTTCTATCCCTGAGTTTTTGGCTTTGCTTCACTTGGCACTGGTAGGAGGAGGAAGGAAAAGCCAGGCTAAGCTGCCCTTCTTGGGGCCCAAGGCAGTAGAGGAGGCTTTGTATAGCCCAGAACATGCTGTCAGCATCTGCCTCAGGGTGACACTGTCTGTCCCTATGTCTTGGGCAGCCAGCCTGGGCCCTGTGAGGTCCCTCGGGTAAGGCTGGGACTGTCAGTGCTGGCTGGGTGGTGAGGTCGAGGGAAAGCAGCAAGCCAAGTTCCACTCCTGACCTCTCCGGTTCTGTGCTTGCCATCTTGAACAGAGCACCTCCTGGAACTCCTGCTGTCTCACCTTCAGGATGGAACAAGTGCCCTGCACCTGCTTTGAGAGGTTATGGCTCATGATGTCACCTGCCTAGCTTTTGTTCAGAGCACCAACTTTGCTTTTGTTCAGATCCTCCAGCAGAAAGCATTATCTCTGCATTCTAATGCCAGATGGTTAGAAATATATACAATTTTAGACAAATGTGTATGATTTAGAAGGTTTGTGGAAATGATATGAAAAGATTATTTGGGTGCAAAATTTAAAAAAGAACTATGTGTAGTTTCTCACAGTATTCATTTTCCATGAACTTTTTGAGTATTCCTTGTATTTTTTTAATCTGTATTATTTTTAGATTTATTTATTAGTTTGAAAGGCAGAGTTACAAAGGGAGAGAGAGAGAGGAAGTCTTCCATCTATTGATTCACTCCCCCAAATGGTTGTGATGATCAGTGTTGGTCAAACCAAAGCAGGATCCAGGAACTCCATCTGGGTCTCTCACATGGGTAACGGACTCAAACACTTGGGCCAGTTTTTGATGTTTTCCCAAGTGCATTAGCAGGGAGTTGGATCAGAAAAGAAGCATCTAGGACTCCAACAGGCACTCATAGGGGATTTACTGCTGTTGCACATGGCACCTTAACGGACTGTGCCACAATATCAGCTCCCTGTACAAGTTTTTAAGCAATTTTTGTTTTATTTGAAAGACAGAGTCAGTCACAGAGAAAGTTTTCATCTGCTGGTCTACTCCTCAAATGCCCATAACAGCCAGGGCTGGGCCAGGGTGAAGTCAGGCAGTGGGAGCTCATACAGGTCTCCTGTATGGTGGCAGGGACTCAAGGACTTGAGCGAACACCTGCCATCTCCTGCAGTGTGTCTCAGCAGGAAGCTGGGTTGAAGTGGAATAGCCAGCTCAAACCAGGCGCTCCCATACTAGATGTGGCATCACAAGCACAAGTTAAGCTGTGCACCAGCTCCCTGCCCTTTATGCCCATTGTATTTTACATACCCTCCATTAAAAAGAGAATGGCCCTTTAAGAAAGGAGTGAGCATTGATGTTCACTATTGGAACAGGAAGGCGAAACAGCTGGAGCCCGCTGAGCAGGCAGGCTATGCCTGGCACACTATACATGTTGTGCTCCCACCAGGAGCAGAACTGCGTGGGTGCTGGCTAGAAGCTTTGTGAATGAGAGAGTACCCCAAATGCTGCGTGGGAGCTGTCCTCAGTAGAGCTGTGCCACCAGCAGTTGCCCATCATGGGGGTTGGTGTCACACCCTGGTGAGAATCAGGGAGGGCAGAACTGAGCAGAGGGGATGCTGCAGGGACTGATGAGGTTAGAGGGTGTGGGATACACTGGCACAGCGAGCTGGTCCCTGCCTGAGCTCCTGGGCCCTCCCGTTCCTTCCTTCTCCAACCATACCCTCTCTCCACAGACTCTCCTCTGCTGCCTGGGGTTTCATCAGCAGACCACAGCCAGCAGGTGCCACCTGTTGGGAGCTAGCTGTGCTGCAGTGGCTCTTAAAAGGCTTTGTACCCCAACCCCTCTCCACTGCTTGACCACTTGGGACCCCTGTGCAGTTCAGCCATGAAGGAATGCTGCCTTGGTCCCAGATACCATTTGTGCTGAAGCAGAGGGCCTGGCTGGTCCTGCTTGCAGCTACTCCTTGGCTCGACTGGTGTGATGGAAGCCGCTGTAGGGATATGCTCTGACTACTTGGAGGGCAAGGTTCTTGTTGCTGTAGGCCCAACACTTGGAAGAGGAATAGGGCTGGTCTGGGAGACGTGACGATGCAGTAGGTGCCTGGCTGTGGCAGGCTGTGATGGTAGTGACAGGAGGACATTTCATGGTGGCAGATATGGGGTGTGAGAGAGGCCGCAGAGTGACCCTGAGCAGCTGGAAGAATGAGGTGTCGGGAGGTCCAGGAGCTCCATTTGGTACTTCGAGTTTGAGAGATACTTCAGGCATCCAAGGAAGAATTGGAGCCAATCCAAGTCTGGGGGTCAGAGGAGGGGTCTTCATGGGCTGGGTAAGGTGCCCACAGGTGGAATTTCAGTCATTTCCCAGGGTCTTGGTGGCAGGTCACACCTCCTTCCCTGCCCCAGCAGGACAGCCCCAGGCTGCTAGCCGAGCTCTGGTGAAGGACTGGCAGACATCTGAGCGTTGCTGATTAGTGCAGATTTCCCTTGAAAGTAACTCATGGGTGTCACAAAGGTCACAGGCATCTCTATCCCCAAGGAAAAACGGATCCCTTCCTAACAGTTCTTCCCCACCATCTCTTTCCCAGCCCCACAAGAGGAAGAAGAAGCTCCTGCAGTCACACAGCCACCCCTGGAGCCACGCCTCGAGGAGCTGACAGTGACGGATGTGACCTCCAACTCTGTGGGCCTCTCATGGATGGTCCCTGAGGGCCGGTTTGACTCCTTCGTGGTCCAGTATGAGGACAGAGATGGGCAGCCCCATGTGGTGCCTGTGGCTGCAGACCAACTCAAAGTCACTGTCCCCAACCTGGAGCCAGCAACAACCTACAAGATGGACGTCTATGGGGTCCACGGCGGGCAGCACGTGGGCCCCCTGTCTGTGGTGGTCATGACAGGTGAGCAAAGGGCCCAAGATGAGGCCCAGCCCTGGTTACTCAGAACTCCCGCACCCGAGACCCTTCCCAGCCCAGCCCTGGTGCCTACCCTTCCTCACTGAGGGATGGATGCCTGCTGCTCCCTCGTGGGCCCACAGGGCTCCTGTGTGTCCCCAAACTCCTCCAGGGGATGGAACCTCCTCTGCCCTCAGTCCCTTTCCCCTCTGCCAGCTGTCAGCAGCTGTTTTCCTCCTATCTCTTTACTATCCTCCGGTGACTTGGCCTGCTCTCAACGCCCCCGCTGCCCTTTTTTATTGGGGTGAAACCACAATGCAGTTCCCGCAATCTCCTCTCTGGCAGGCACGGCTGCCTCTCCCAGCCCCTGTCCCCCTGTCAGCCTTCACCCTGTCACCCCGCTTACCACCCCATGTGGTTTCCTGCACTCAGGACCTGTGTGCACCACTCATGCATGCAGTGCTCTTGAATCTGTAAACTAAGCGGGTAGGATTATAAAGGAGAGTGGTTTTATGGAGGTGTGGGTGTAGCTATTGAAGTATTTCTAAAATACTACAATTCCTGAGCTCATGTGTCGGCTGTTTCAGCACCAGGACTTGGTGGCACTTTCAGCAGTCCACCAGGTGTGACAGCAGTGGAGGGTGCAGGAATCCTGCTACAGCTTGCAGTGCTGCACTCAAATCTGTGGTTCCCACTTGCTACCACACCACCCCACTGTACTGGTCTTGCTGTCAGAGTCGGTGAAAATAGGGTGGTAGCTGCTGCCTCCTCGGTTCCAGCGCCCTGGAGGGTTTGTGAGGTCTCTAAGAGTTCCGCTTTTGTCCTTGTCTTTCTGTATTACAGATCCCCTCCCTCCACCCCCCACCACTGAGGCCACGGAGCCCCGAGTGGAGCCATACCTGGGGGAGCTGATGGTGACAGGCGTGACTTTAGACTCTGTGGGTCTCTCATGGACAGTCCCTGAGGGTGAATTTGATTCCTTTGTGGTCCAGTACAAGGACAGGGCTGGGCAGCCCCAGGTGGTGCCCGTGCCCTCAGGCCAGCGGGAGGTCACGGTCCCGGGCCTGGAGCCCTCCCGCAAATACAAGTTTCTGCTCTTCGGTATCCGGGATGGGAAACGACGCGACTCAGCCTCTGTGGAGGCAAAGACGGGTAAGAGGGGCAGGTAAGAGGAGGGCAAATGGGAGGGGCAGGCTGGGGAGCAGGTAGGGAGGGCAAGTAGGAGGGGGCAGATAGGGGACAGGTAAAGGGACAAGAGGGAGGGGCTGGTGGGAAGGGGTTGGTAAGAGGGGACAGACAGTAGGAGGGGACAACAGCTTCTGGGATGGGAAGTGAGACAGTCTCTTTCCCCAGAGGTGACCTGAGATGGAGAATTCTCCCTACCCATCAGTGGACAGCAAAACAGCCTATAGTAGAGGGTGGGGGAGAATGGATGTGGAGCTAGGGACTGATGGAAACCCTTTGGGCAAGTCCCTCAGGGGTGCCCATCCACAGTGGGAAGCAGTCAGGGAATCGTTTATAAAGATAGTCCCAAGAACCCTTTCTCTCATCAGGTGATGCCAGCCCAGCGACCCCGCCCCGCCTTGGGGAGCTGTGGATAACGGACCCCACTCTGGACTCACTGCGCCTCCACTGGACAGTTCCTGAAGGCCACTTTGACTCTTTCATGGTTCAGTTCAAGGACAAGGATGGGCCCCAGGTGGTGCCAGTGGAGGGCCACTCACGCTCAGTCACAGTGGGCCCTCTGGACGCTGGCCGCAAGTACAGATTCCTCCTTTACGGCCTTGTGGGCAAGAAGCGCCATGGCCCGCTCTCCACCGATGGCACAACTGGTGAGAGTCAGCCACTGATGGGCCCTTCTCTGTTCCCCAGAGGCCTAGGGAAGCGGGTGGTTGCATGTGACCGCAGCCACTCTGGCTGAGACCCCTGTCCCTATATGGTGTCACCAGCCCATGTTGGCCTTTGAGGTCACCCAGCCTTCCAGAATCAGCTCAGCCTCTTTCTCTCTGTGTTTCTATCAGAGACCCCCCGTGCCATGGAGGAGACTGGCACAAAGAGGACCCCGAAACCCCGGCTCGGGGAGGAGTTGCAGGTGACCAGCGTGGCCCCGGACTCAGTAGACCTCTCATGGACAGTCCCTGAGGGCCAGTTTGACTCCTTTGTGGTCCAGTACAAGGACAGAGCTGGGCAGCCTCAGGTGGTGCCCGTGGCAGGCAGCCTCAGGGAGGTCCGTGTCCCGGGCCTGGAGCCGGCCCGCAGGTACAAGCTGCTGCTCTATGGGCTGCATGATGGCAAGCGCGTGGGGCCCATTTCCACGACGGCCATGACCGGTGAGTGGGGCTGCGGCCCAGACACCCCACACCTCCTTTCCACCTGGCTTGTGGGATCTGGTTTTGGAGCTTCTTCCCATCTTTGCTGGGTGCGGAGGGATCTGCTTTATGGAGGCTTTACTTAGGTGCATCACAAGTCATCCTGAAAGAGAATAATTCCTGCAGTCTGGCTGATATGTGTGTCATGACTCCCGGCCACAGCCTATAAAGCAAACCCTGTCCCGCCCCAGTCCTTATTTGCTTGGTTCTAGGTGTGTGTTCTTGCATTCCCTGTGACGTAATCCTACGACATGAGTGTTCTTTCCAAAGTCCATGGAAATGCATCTTAGGAAAAAGCTACTCATGGATCTCAGAATTTCTTGCACCTTATCTTTTGATTCCATTTCCTATGGAGTCTCTGAAGTCCCCTTTTATGCAGCCTCTTGTCTTTGGCTTCTTACACTGAGCAGAAAGCTTTGGAAACTCATCCAGGGGTATAAGTGGGTCCTCTGATGCTGACCACTGGCCTTCACCTCCTTGGCTCCTCCTAAGAGTCCTGGTGCAGTGAGCAAACAGCCCCCTGGTCTCACCCCAGATTTTCTCTGAACCAGCCCCCAGGGAAGAACCTGAAGGTGAGATCAAGGCCACACAGCCTCCAGCCCCAGAGCCCCGCCTTGGCGAGCTGAAAGTGGAGGAGGCCACTCAGCACGGCCTGCGGCTCTCATGGTCAATGATCGAAGGAGAATGTGACTCATTCGAAGTGCAGTACACAGATGAAGACGGGCAGCTCAACGTGGCCACTGTAGGGGGTGACCAAGGCGACGTTACCCTGACTGGCCTGGAATCTGGTCACAGATACCTGGTGACCCTGTACGGATACTGGGATGGGCAGCGCGTGGGTCTTGGCCGCATCGAGGCCCATACAGGTCAGCCAGGGAATGCTGTCAGCTTCATTTCAGCTGGGCAGAGTCTGGGTCAGGGGGAGCAAGGTCGCCCAGGCCAACTGACCTTTCAAGTCCTTTCTTTCTCCATGTCTTGGTCCAGTCGCACAGGAGGAGGAGGATCAGCCTTTAGAACCTACCACTACAACCCCTGAGCCCCCCACCAAGCCACGCCTGGGGCAGCTGACTGTGACAGACACCACCCCCGACTCCCTGAGCCTCGCCTGGACAGTCCCCGAGGGGCACTTTGACCACTACCTGGTCCAGTACAGGAATGGAGATGGGCAGCCCAAGGTGGTGCGGGTGCCAGGCCATGAGGATGAGGTGACCCTGTCGGGCCTGGAGCCAGACCACAAGTACAAGGTGAACCTGTACGGCTTCCACAGCGGCCAGCGCACAGGGCCTGTGTCAGCGGTGGGGGTGACTGGTGAGTGGGCACCATAGCCCTCGGCTGGGGTGAGTGGGTACCTCAGCCCAGGGCCAGGGTGAGTGGGTGCCACAGCCGCAGGGCAGGGTTGAGTGGGTACCTTAGCCCCATGGAGGAATGATTGCGTGCCGCAGACCCAAGGCAGGGTGAGTGTGTGTACCACAGCCAAAAGCAGGCCTGGGAGGGTGAGGGAAGGTTGAACCCCAGGCAGGGGCCAAGGACTGGTCAGAGATCCTGGCCCTGTAGTGGCTGAAGCCCTGACCCCTCTGCTCCATTCCTTCCCCTCTAGGAAGGAGGGCTGTGGGCACATGGCTGTATTGGGGCCACCCAGGGATCCCCACAGCTGCGCTGAGTGGGGCCATGTCTTTCTACTGTCAGCCCAGCATAACCAGCCCTGAGAACAAGTTCCTTCCTGGTCCCCTAGACCCCAGGACCTCTCCCAGGAGTCCTGCCTCACCTCCATGTCTCCCCTTCTCAGCTGCCGAAGAGGAGACACCCACCCCAACAGAACCCAGCACAGAGGCCCCAGTGCCCTCCGAGGAGCCAGTCCTGGGGGAGCTGACGGTGACTGGGTCATCCCCGGACTCCCTGAGCCTGTCGTGGACCGTGCCCCAGGGACACTTTGACTCCTTCAGCATCCAGTACAAGGACAGGGAAGGACGACCCCAGGTGGTGCGCGTTGGGGGAGAGGAGCGTGAGGTGGCCGTGGAGGGCCTGGAGCCGGGGCGCAAGTACAAGATGAACCTGTATGGGCTGCACGAGGGGCGGCGCGTGGGCCCCGTGTCCACCGTGGGCGTGACAGGTGAGTGGTGCTGAGGCACCTTTTGGATTTGACCTCAAGAACATGGAGCCTCTAGTGTCTGCTTCCCTGGAAACTCTGAACCCTAGCATTGCAAACCTCCAAGCCAGCCTCCCACTCACTCCACAGGACAAGTGGCCTGGGGGAGGGAGAGAAATCCCATGGAGTCTTGAGGCACATGGGACAAGCCCTATGCCTGCATCTCTGAGCTGAGGGCTCACTCACTTTTCGTGTTACTCTGCTTGTCCTGGGAAACACAGAGAGCCCTCTTTTAATGGGATTGGGACCCAGTCTCTGAGATATTAGTTAATCCAACAAACACATGTTTATTAAATAACTTTAGGAATTTTCCATCACCCTAAATAGTGCAAAACAGTTCCCCACCCCAGCCTTCACAGACCTAATTCTGTGTTTAAAGCCATGCCCTCTTCTCATGTTCACACTCCAGCAGGTATACACCATGTGCTGTTTGCTGTCTGGCTTCTTTCCCAGAGCAGAAACTCGCTGAAGGTTACTCGTGTTGCAGCATTGAGGGTTACTTGTGTTGCAGCATTAGCAGGACTTCACTGTTTTTGTTGTTGTTGTTGCTGTTTGTGAAGAATGAAAGGCAGGGAGACGCAGATATCCTCCAACTACTGGTCCAATCCACATTTGCCTACAAAAGCTCTGGCTGGGGCAGGTCTAAACCAGAGCCTGGAAATCAGTTCAAGTCTCTCATGTGGGTAATAGGGAGTCAAGTACTTGAGCCATCATCTGCTGCTCAGACTACGCCTTAGCAAACAGAGCAGAAGCAGAATAGCTGGGGCTCAAACCAGGTGCTTGATATAGGACACCGGTTCCAAGCATCAATTTACCTACTATGTCCAATGTCTTCCACTTCATTGCTCCGTGTTGTCCGTAGTGTTCCACTGCCTAGATATTACTGTTCAGCAATATTTTAAGTATCTTTCAGAATCCTGTATTTTATTAATATTTAAGTATCTCTTTTTTAAAATTATAATATTTTTAGTTGGGAGGCAGAGTAACATAGAGATAAGGAAAGACACAGGGAGGAAGGGAAAAAGAAAGAGAGAGAGAGGTGTCCTGTGGCTGGTTCACTCCTCCAAGTGGCCTCAACAGCCAGAGCTGGGCTGGTCCAAAGCCAGGAGGCATGTGTTTCATCTGGCTCTCTCATGTGGGTGCAGGCGGTCCAAGGACTTGAGCCATCCTCTGCTGCTTTCCCAGATGCATTAGCAGGGAGCTGGATTGGAAGTGGAACAGCTGGAATTTGAACAGGTACTCATATGGGATGCCGGCACCACAGGTGGAGGTTTAACATAATATACCAGCGTGCAGCCCCAGTGTTTTTCTTTTTAAGATAATTATTCTTAAGAATGCTTTTTAAGTTATCTGTACTGCAATCACCATACCTTAAAAACAAGCAAATATTCATTAGGATCACTGAGAGAAGTTAGTGCCACAGTCCCTTGTTTTCTCATTATTGATGTCTTGCATTTTGCTGCTGGAATCAGATCCCAATGTGCTGCAACTCAGAGAACTGAAGCGTTCTTTTTGTCAGGGCAGCTCACGTGAGGTGAGGCATCAGCCACGCAGATGTCAGAGGGAAGAATGCTCAGGGAGAAGGATGAGAAGTAGGAAGACTGAGGCAGCAGGCTGCCCAGCAGGTTTGAGGGATGGTGAGGGAGCCACAGCACGCCTTGGAGGATCACTACTGGAAACAGACCTGAAGTGGAGCCCAGAATCGGCCCGCTGCTGACTTGAGTCCCAGGATGCTGGGACCTCCGCTGCTCCTGCCAGCGACAGGAAGGACTCTGCTTGTATCTCCACAGCCCCTGAAGAGGAGCCTCCTGCTGTCCCCCTCCCCAAGCCACACCTGGGGCAGCTGACTGTGACAGACACCACCCCCGACTCCCTGAGCCTCTCCTGGACAGTCCCCGAGGGGCACTTTGACCACTTCCTGGTCCAATACAAGAACGGAGATGGGCAGCCCAAGGTGGTGCGGGTGCCAGGCCATGAGGACGAGGTGACCCTGTCGGGCCTGGAGCCAGACCACAAGTACAAGGTGAACCTGTACGGCTTCCACAGCGGCCAGCGCACAGGGCCTTTGTCAGCGGTGGGGGTGACTGGTGAGTGGGCGCTGGTGCTGGGTACGGTGTCCTTTGCTTGTATTCAGGATTCAGACATCTTCATCCCACTTCCTCAGGCTGATCCCTGGTGCCCCTGACACACCTGTTCCTGCTCACACCAAACCTTGGTGTCTCCCATGCACATGCACACATGGTGCTCAGGTCCTTGAAATTGGGACCTGTGGGTTGATTGGAGCCTGAATCCAACAGCTAGCTGTGTGACGCCATGTGAACCCCTCGCCCCCTCTGTGCCTCCCACACCTGTCCTGAAGGCCAAGACGTAAGTGTGTCCGGGCTCACACACCCAATGAATGGCTATCGGAAACTTCCCCCACGCTGAGGAAGGTTCTGAAATCCCCTGAGCCAGTTCCTCCTAATTATCCTTGTTTTCTCTGGGGAAAGATGTCCGTGTTCCCCAGGCACCCCTGGTGACTGATTCCTTGCATGTTAAAATAACACCCAGTCCAGTTGCTATGGATACTTCCCATTGAGCAGCTATTGAACATTGAGCATCCCACAGCCCGACTGGGTGCTCTCCTTTCATTGATGCCTCCCATGGCAGTTTTCTGAGGCTTTCAGTGAGCTGTCACCCCAGAGGTTTGAAGCCACTTTCCAAAAAGAAACATGGTATTGTGTAGCTCAGCTGCCGAAGCAGAATAACACCCTGTGTACAACACACAAAAAAACTAAGAAATCAATGACAGCATAGCAAGTGACTTCACAAATAGCCAAAGAGCTGGCAACCCTGGGGCCACACGGCCCCAAATGCCTCAAATGCACAGCTGCCCTGCATGGGCATGGGCTTTTTGCCCTCTGCCATGTGATCCAAATCGGTTTCTAAACATGTTCGAGAAAGTGCATTATAGCCAGGGGTGCAGAGCTGATGGGATTCCTGTCCCGTGTGGGTGTGCCTATGGAGAACCTGCTGTGGGTCTGATGGGGCCCAGCCTTAGTGTCCGTAGGCCCAATAACCACTGAGGGGCTGTGCACGTCCTGGTCTCATGGGGTCCTGATCCCATAGTGACTTCGCCTCTCTGTTGACCAAACCTCTAAACCAGGGCAGTGACATCTTCACCCCAGGGCCACTGGCATTCAACAAGGTGTGTATTAGAATCTCAGGAGCTGGAAGGACCCTGACATGCACACTCACTCATTCTCTCTGTCCCTTGATACAGCCCCCAGAGAAGACGAAAGAACAACATCAGCCTTGACTGAACCCCCGACCTCAACCCCCGAACCCCCCACCAAGCCACGCCTGGGGCAGCTGACTGTGACAGACGCCACCCCCGACTCCCTGAGCCTCTCCTGGACAGTCCCCGAGGGGCACTTTGACCACTTCCTGGTCCAATACAAGAATGGAGATGGGCAGCCCAAGGTGGTGCGGGTGCCAGGCCATGAGGATGAGGTGACCCTGTCAGGCCTGGAGCCAGACCACAAGTACAAGGTGAACCTGTACGGCTTCCACAGCGGCCAGCGCACAGGGCCTGTGTCAGCGGTGGGGGTGACTGGTGAGTGGGCAACATAGCCCAGGGCAGGGATGAGTGGGTGCCAGCCCAGGGCCAGGGTGAGTGGGTGCTGTAGCCCCAGGGTGACCTGGGAGAATGAGGGAAGGTTGAGCCCCTGGCGGGGGCCAAGGACTAGGCAGTGATCCTGGCTCTGTAGTGGCTGAAGCCCTGACCCCTCTGCTCAACCCTGTGGGCTCAGCTCTGCCCCCTGCTGGGCAGGCGGGTTGTGGGCACATGGCTGTGTTGAGGTCCCCACAGCTGCCTTGAATGAGGTTTTGTCTGTCTACTTTCAGCCCAGCTCACCCAGCCCCAAGGATGGTTTTCTTTGAAGGGGCCTTGGGCCCCAGTAGAAGCTATGGCACCCCTCTTGGTCCCCTAGCCCCCAGAACCCCTCCCAGGCACCATGCCTCACCTCCATGTCTCCCCTTCTCAGCTGCCGAAGAGGAGACACCCTCAGAATCCACAGAGGTGGATGAGACCCCCACCCCAACAGAGCCCAGCACAGAGGCCCCAGTGCCCTCCGAGGAGCCAGTCCTGGGGGAGCTGACGGTGACTGGGTCATCCCCGGACTCCCTGAGCCTGTCGTGGACCGTGCCCCAGGGACACTTTGACTCCTTCAGCATCCAGTACAAGGACAGGGAAGGACGACCCCAGGTGGTGCGCGTTGGGGGAGAGGAGCGTGAGGTGGCCGTGGAGGGCCTGGAGCCGGGGCGCAAGTACAAGATGAACCTGTATGGGCTGCACGAGGGGCGGCGCGTGGGCCCCGTGTCCACCGTGGGCGTGACAGGTGAGTAGAGCTCCTGGGAGAACTGCCTGTTTCCCATGAGTCCCTAGATGACCACTGTGGGTCTAGGCTCAGCTCGCTTCCCTGTCCTCCTGTCAGTGGTTAATGCTTTGCCTCCCATAACCTCATTCTCTGCTCTGCTGTCATCTCCTGAGGCTCAGCTCCTAGCCACGTCCAGGGGCGAAATGTGCCAAGCACAGGCCAGCGCTGCCTGACCAGAACTTTCCTTTCTTTTCATCCTGATTACAGGATTCTCTGTTACAGTCTCTCTCTGCTTGTGTCTCTCTTTCCTTGTCTGTCTCGCTCTCTATCAGGCACACACACAGAAGAAACAAGGTTATGTGAGGCCACATTGCAATGACTGAATAATTTACACAACACTTACAAAATGAGCTATTGTGCCTCCATTGTCATGTTTTAACTTACATGTTACATTGAAAAAAAAAATTACAGAGCCCAGCATTTTTGTCGGGGTGCTAATCACTACCATTCAACAATAATAGGCATGTCGAGAAGACTGGAAAGAAACTCACCCTACGGGTACATGCTTTGTGAGGCAAAATAGAATGTTCCAGCAAAGTGTTTTTTTCTTACCTCCTCTTTTATCCTTCTCTGCATTGTTCAAGTTTTCTTCAATGGCAAGCATTTTTTTGGGGTAATTAGGAGAAAATAGGAAAAATATAATGCCTTTGGCTCCTTACACGCCATCTGTTTCCTCCCCCATCACACTGGCAACTTATTTCCTCTGTAACTACGAGACAGGCTAGAGTTCCTAGTCCCCCGAGCAGGCAAGGGAGGGAGCACCACAGGATGGATTCAATCCCATCACTGTCACAGGCTGCCCTCGCCGAAATCTTCCCAGGCAGGACCTTGTGCCTGCTGGAGTGTTTCTCATGAGGTCCTGCAGATGGGGGAGCATCCGACTCTCAGACAGCAGGCAGCAGTGGCCTGATGCCCCACACTCTGTCCCCAGAGCATCCCTCCCCGGCAGAGACCATTCTTACCCACTCGCCCTGCTCCTGGAGCAGGCTGTGCCTTGTTCCTGTTTGTGGGTTCAGTGGCCTGCCTGTGCTTGAGTGAGGAGGGAGAATAGGAGACTCACACAGCCAGGGGATGGGCTGCTGGTAAGTCTGTCCTCCTGGCCCATCACAGCAGCTTCCCAGCACTCACGGGATACAGAAGCCAAGAGAAGGGACTGTAACCCTTGCCCTTCTTGCTTTGCTCTCCACCCTAGCTGACTTGACTACCAATTTGTTTCAGATTTATTTGAGAGACACAGACCAACATGCCCATCCACTGGTCTACTCCCCAGATGCCTGCAGTGGCTGGAGCTGGAGCCAGGAACTCCATCCTGGTCTCCCGTGTGGGTGACAGAGCCCAGTCTCTTGAGTCAGCATGTCTGCCTCCCAGGGTTGGCATTTGCAGGCAGCTGAGGTCCAAAGTCACAGTCTGGCACTGACCTGAGGCCTGCTGCTGTGGGAAGCAGGCGATGGCATCTTTGCCACTGACTCCACGCTTGTTAACTTTTATTGCCCAGAACTTCCTTTGAAGCCCACATTTCTCTAGTGAAAAGAATATAGCATCAGGACGGAAAGTTTGAAAAATAAAAACATTTCTGGTCCCACCCTCTGCCCTAATAAACACCCTTACAAGCAATGTGCACTAACGCGTTCCCTATCCGCATCTCACACAGCTCCTGTTCTATCTGGGCAGAGGGCCTACAGGGAGATCCTGGCTCTTTAGGCCAGTTATGTTGCGGTCATTTACCTTGCGGCTAGGCAACCTGCATTCATCATCATTATAATGGTTATTTGATGCCTGGTGGTGAAAAGGCTGCAGCCAAATTCGTTCTCTTCCACAGGTCCTTTGGCTTCCTGACACATTCTGCTGTCATGAATAATCCCTTAATGAGTTCTTCCATGCTATAACTTTTTCCTGCTTTTAATCATTTTCTTAGGATAGGTGCCCAGAAATGGAATTATTGGGTCAGAGGAAATGAGCACACTATGTTGGCTCCCACACACATGTCCCAGTTGCATTCAGAGGTTTGTGAGAGAGCAGTCCTGCCAAGGGGACAGAACCAGGGCTCCTCTCCCACCTCTCTCTCCTCTGTGAGTGACCACTTGTCAACATCTCATGACCCCTGGTGTCCCCAAGCCCGTGCTTGAGGAGGACGCTAGCTGGACGGGCTTGACTGCCCCGCTGACCATATCAGCCATGCAAGTCCCCCTCACTCACAGCCTGTGTCCCCATCTCTTCTCCCAGACATGCAGGAGATTGTGGACGAGATTCCTGCCCCAACAGAGCCCAGCACAGAGGCCCCAGTGCCCTCCGAGGAGCCAGTCCTGGGGGAGCTGACGGTGACTGGGTCATCCCCGGACTCTCTGAGCCTGTTGTGGACCGTGCCCCAGGGACACTTTGACTCCTTCAGCATCCAGTACAAGGACAGGGAAGGACGACCCCAGGTGGTGCGCGTTGGGGGAGAGGAGCGTGAGGTGGCCGTGGAGGGCCTGGAGCCGGGGCGCAAGTACAAGATGAACCTGTATGGGCTGCACGAGGGGCGGCGCGTGGGCCCCGTGTCCACTGTGGGCATGACAGGTGAGTGGCCATGGAGTGAGATGGGGTGATATGGAATGAGAAATCTGGTACTGTCTGCCACAGTGCTACTTTGGCACTTCAGATGAATGTGGGATCAGCACAACTTGCTGAATGGTGGGATCAGGGCCAGCGGGTTTGGGCCAGAGCCCAGCACTCCGTTTGTCCAAGCAGAGCCATGTGATGTGGCTGTTGCTGGCTCGGGAAACCACCTCTGAGTGGGGAAGCTGCAGGAAGAGGAAGCCCACAGCCAGGTGTGCCGTCAGGCTTTTCTGAGAGAAGGTCCCTTAGAGCTAGGTTGCGGCTGGAGTGGGAGAAGAAGCCAGCATGGCTCAGATGGCTGGGTGGTGAACTTTGAGCATTTTAGTGGTTTGGAAAATGTGCTGGATTGCCTCTGTCCGGTGATGGTTGCTGGTGGGGCTGCTCTCTGTCTCCGTCCATCACAGTGACAGGCACATTGGATGGTTGTTATCACTCCATGAAGTTGCCCATACTTGCTCGGCCACAGCAACCACATGCTGGGCTAGGCCACTGGTGGCAGCCAAGGCCTTGGTGGCTCACCTGTGTTGGGTTGTTTTTCAGTTTCCCAGGGGAAGCGGGGAAAGAGACACCTCTAAGTTTATATACTGATGGAATCAAGGAATGGGGCCAGGCAGAAATCCAGCAAGTAAAGTGGGTGGACATTAAAGGTCTGGGGCCAGGCCTGGACAGAATCTGGGAAAGCGCTAGTCAGCCTGGCCACAGAGACAAGGGATATTGAGGTTTGTGGTTGAGCAGGGTTGATGGGGGCAGCTTATAGGAGGAAGGTGTCCACTGGGGTGAGCCTGGGGCAGGACCAAGCAATGAGTGGCTCTTCTTTGCCAAACCCCGACCCCATCAGGGGACCCTGCCCCAGCTCCTCCTGCACCGAGAGCCTGGGGAGACTGACAGAGAGGAAGCACTCAGGGAGCAGAGCCCATGGGTGGGGACATTTGGAGGATATGGGAAGGACACCGTGGTGCACCCTGGATGAAGGAGCAGCTGAGGACAGGGATGGGCCCAAAGCACTGTTCACCTCTTAACCGTGTGAGCCGCCAGGCCCTGACACTGTGCTCAGCTCTCTGACCTGGCTGTACCTGTGGTGTCTGCTGAGAGCCCACTGTCCCCATGTATGTCTCTCCAGCTCCCGAGGACAAACCTGTCACCACTCAGGCCACACCCACCACGACCCCCGAGCCCCCCATCAAGCCACGCCTGGGGCAGCTGACTGTGACAGACGCCACCCCTGACTCCCTGAGTCTCTCCTGGACAGTTCCCGAGGGGCACTTTGACCACTTCCTGGTTCAATACAAGAATGGAGATGGGCAGCCCAAGGTGGTGCGGGTGCCAGGCCATGAGGATGAGGTGACCCTGTCGGGCCTGGAGCCAGACCACAAGTACAAGGTGAACCTGTACGGCTTCCACAGTGGCCAGCGCACAGGGCCTGTGTCAGCGGTGGGGGTGACTGGTGAGTGGGTACCTCAGCCCAGGGCCGGGGTGAGTGAGTGGGTGCTGCAGCTGTAGGGCAGGGGTGGTGGGTGCCGCAGCTGTAGGGCAGGGGTGAGTGGGTGCTGCAGCCCCAGAGCAAGGGTGAGTGGGTGCTGCAGCCCCAGGGCAGAATTCAAGCGGGTGAGGGAAGATTGAGCCCCTGGCGGGGCGCCAAGGACTGGGCAGTAATCCTGGCCCTGTAGTGGCTGAAGCCCTGACCCCTCTGCTCCACCCTGGGCTCAGCTCTGTCCCCTGCTGGGCAGGAGGGTTGTGGGCACATGGCTGTGTTGCAGGCTGCTATAGGGTCCCCACAGCTGCCCTGAGGTGGACCATGTCTGTTGGTCTGCTGTCATTCCAACTCACCCAGCCCCAAGAACTGGCTTCTCTGAAGGAGCCTCAGGCTCTGGTGGCCGCGGCCCTCCATCTTGATCCCCTAGCCCCCAGGACCTCTCCCAGGCACCATGCCTCACCTCCATGTCTCCCCTTCTCAGCTGCCGAAGAGGAGACACCCTCAGAATCCACAGAGGTGGATGAGACCCCCACCCCAACAGAGCCCAGCACAGAGGCCCCAGTGCCCTCCGAGGAGCCAGTCCTGGGGGAGCTGACGGTGACTGGGTCATCCCCGGACTCCCTGAGCCTGTCGTGGACCGTGCCCCAGGGACACTTTGACTCCTTCAGCATCCAGTACAAGGACAGGGAAGGACGACCCCAGGTGGTGCGCGTTGGGGGAGAGGAGCGTGAGGTGGCCGTGGAGGGCCTGGAGCCGGGGCGCAAGTACAAGATGAACCTGTATGGGCTGCACGAGGGACGGCGCGTGGGCCCCGTGTCCACTGTGGGCGTGACAGGTGAGTGAATGAGGGCCGAGCAGCGTGGGCAAGTTGGCTGTAGGACATGAAAGCTGATCACTGCACAGCTTGTTTTGCTGGGTCAAATACCTGGCTGTGTAAAAAGGACACTGTGCTTGGGTAGTTTTGCAATGGAATCTTCATTTTAACACGTGTCTTGTTCCTTGGACACCTCTGCTTCTCAGAGCACACTTTTGGATTCTTAGTGGAGTTATGGAGTTTGCGAGGGTTCCCCGTTTTAAGTGTGTGTGAGTGGTTAAGAACCAGGAGTATGAAGACGTCATGGGAAGACAGACAAGCACAGTGGCGTGCATTTCCTTGAACAATCCAAAGCCCCCATCCTACCACATATGCTTCCACAACTTGTCTTTCCAAATGAATTTTTAAAAAAGATTTATTTTAATTTTATTTGAAAATCAGATTTATAAAGAGGAGAGATAGATCTTCCTTCCTCTCGTTCACTTTCCAAATGGCCTCAATGACCATAGCTGAGCTGATCTGAAGCCAGCAGCCAGGAGCTTCTTCCAGGTCTCCTACATGGGTGCAGGGTCCCAAAGACTTGAGCCACCTTCCACTGCTTTCCCAGGTCATAAGCAGGGAGCCGGATCAGAAGGGAAGCAACCAGGAAGCCAACTGGTGCCTGTATAGGATGCTGGCACTTCAGGCGGAGGATTGGGTTGCTGCACCACTGTGCCAGCCCCTCCACATCGGAATTTTACAGCAATTCAGTGTTGGTTCCCTGACTCCTCCCTGCACCCTCGGCAGCCCAGGCTGCCTCTCTATCACTTCTGGACATTTAGGGCATGGCGCTGTTCTGGGCTTTCCTTGTGTGCTGCTTTCTCTACACACAGGGTCCCCAGGGTCATCTGTGCTGAGACATCCTTCAGCTGAGGGAGGGTCCTGTGTACATACAACCCCATTCTGCTCTTCCATTTTCCCTTAAGTGGTCACTTGGTTGCTGACAGCTTTGGGCTGTTGTGAAATACATGGCTTTGGGTATTTGTGAACCAGTCAGAAATCATATTTGCATAGGAAAGCTCCTCCCACAGTGGAAATGGACCTGCCCTTAGAACTTGGCGAAATGATGGACTTGTACCCAGGTCCTCAGTGAGGCTAGGGTCCTTGTGCTGTGTCCTCCTGGGACTCACAGCAGTGGGCAGGCTGGCTGTGAGCCAGCACACAGTCCCGGAGGTGACCTGTGATGGTCAAGCCAGGGAGCCAGGCCTGGATGGGGTGGGATGCCCCGCCCAGCCTGGCCACAGTGCCCAGGTGGCACTAAGATCTGGGCTCAGGCAGGGTTGGCTGAGGACAGCTTTAGGAATAAGGCAGGGTGTCAGATGGTGTCCCTTAGGGCATCTCTACTGAGGGCCGCCCTGTCACCCTGCCTGCCCAGGAAGCCAGGGGAACTGAGGGAGGGGACACTCAGGGAGAAGAGCCTATGGGAGGGGGCACCTGGAGGACGTGGGAAGGATAGTGGGTTGCACCAGGGTGAGCAGACAGCTGGGGATAGGGACAGATCCAGAGCACAGCCCGCTTTTTCCGTGTGGGAGCCAAGAACAAGCTAGGAGAACAACATGATGCCAAGGAGACCCCTGTGAGGTGAGGCCCAATGAACAGGGAGCATGCGGGCCTTGGGGAGGCAGGACCTGGAAGGAGGGGAGACGTCAGGTGGGAGGTAGGTGGTGAGCAAGGGACAAGGAAAGGTGATGGGGAAGGGGCAGAGGGAAGCGTGTGGGAGTTGTGCTCTCTGACCTGGCTGTACCTGTGGTGTCTGCTGAGAGCCCACTGTCCCCATGTATGTCTCTCCAGCTCCCGAGGACAAACCTGTCACCACTCAGGCCACACCCACCACGACCCCCGAGCCCCCCATCAAGCCACGCCTGGGGCAGCTGACTGTGACAGACACCACCCCCGACTCCCTGAGCCTCTCCTGGACAGTCCCCGAGGGGCACTTTGACCACTTCCTGGTCCAGTACAAGAATGGAGATGGGCAGCCCAAGGTGGTGCGGGTGCCAGGCCATGAGGATGAGGTGACCCTGTCAGGCCTGGAGCCAGACCACAAGTACAAGGTGAACCTGTACGGCTTCCACAGCGGCCAGCGCACAGGGCCTGTGTCAGCGGTGGGGGTGACTGGTGAGTGGGTACCATAGCCCAGGGCCGGGGTGAGTGAGTGGGTGCTGCAGCTGTAGGGCAGGGGTGAGTGGGTGCTGCAGCTGCAGGGCAGGGGTGGTGGGTGCCTCAGCCCAGGGCAGGGGTGAGTGGGTGCTGCAGCCGCAGTGCAGGTCTAGGCTTGGGGAAGGGAGGTTCAGCTTTCTGTTGCTTGTTAGGGCTGGGGACTGAGCAGTGATCCTGACCTTGCTGTGACTGAGGGCTGCTATGGGGTCCCCACAGCTGTCTGGTAGGCATGTCTGCTGTCAGCCCAGTTTACCTAACCCAAGGACGGGCTTCTCTGAAGGAACCTCAGGCCTCAGTGGTGGCCATGGCTCTCCCTTCTGGTCCCCTATGCCCTTAACCTCCCTGTTTCCCCTTCTCAGCTGCCGAGGAAGAGACACCCTCAGAATCCACAGAGGTGGATGAGACCCCCACCCCAACAGAGCCCAGCACAGAGGCCCCAGTGCCCTCCGAGGAGCCAGTCCTGGGGGAGCTGACGGTGACTGGGTCATCCCCGGACTCCCTGAGCCTGTCGTGGACCGTGCCCCAGGGACACTTTGACTCCTTCAGCATCCAGTACAAGGACAGGGAAGGACGACCCCAGATGGTGCGCGTTGGGGGAGAGGAGCGTGAGGTGGCCGTGGAGGGCCTGGAGCCGGGGCGCAAGTACAAGATGAACCTGTATGGGCTGCATGAGGGACGGCGCGTGGGCCCCGTGTCCACCGTGGGCGTGACAGGTGAGTGCTGGTGAAATCAGGCCCTGGTTTCCTTGTGTTGCTCTCTGGCGCCCCCTTAGGGTCAACCTGTCTCACTGCGGCTGTCACCTTCTGTTCTCTCCAACGCTGCTAAGGATCCTCTTGGTGAGTGCAATCATTGCAGCCCGTGCTGGAGTCCAGTGCGTGGCGTTCATACCTGTGCGCTGGAGCCCCCCTCTTTGCTCATCTGTCTCCAGGCTTGCTCATTTGTTCCTTTCCTGCCTCCCTCAGCTGCCTCTGGAATACTCTGGGGACTCGCAGAATGCTGGGGAGCCCAGCCCCCCAGGAGCTGCAATTGCCCCACCGTCCCGCCTGGTGCCCCGGGTGTTTTGCCACCAATCTGTGCCCCCAGTCTCTACAAGATGGTGCTCCCTGTGACTGCACCTGCTTCAGAAGTGGTGGGAGCTGCTCACCAGCGGCTGGCACACCACGGGGCTGTAGTGGAGATCAGGGGAAGTGTGTGTGCACAGGCCGGGAAAGGCAGGCCCCTCCTCTCAGAGCCTCCTCTGCTCTGTTCCAGCCCCGCTGCCCACACAGCCTCCCTCAGAGCCCCGCCTGGGGGAGCTGGAGGTGGTGGCCGTGACTTCGGACACAGCACGCCTCTCCTGGACGGTGGCCCAGGGACCCTTTGACTCTTTTCTGGTCCAGTACAAGGATGCACAGGGTCAGCCCAAGTCGGTGCCTGTGAGCACGGAGCTCCGTGAGGTCACAGTCTCAGGCCTGGACCCGGCCCGCAAGTACAAGTTCCTGCTGTTTGGACTCCAGGGTGGAAAACGCCACGGGCCACTTTCTGTGGAGGCAAAAACGAGTGAGTGAGCCCGGGAGCCCTCTTGTGGCGACAGTTGGACTTGCACGTTGCTGAGCCTCCAGCTTTCTTGGAATCCAATGAAGGCCAAGCTACCACCCAGGGCCTCTCTCATCCTCCTCCTTCCTTCCCCACCCTTTACCCCAAGGGGACACCTACTCTTGTTTGGCTCTTCTCTTTTCCCTGTCCCTAGCCCAGCCACCCTCTCCCGATTCCCCACAGCCACAGCGCAGGAAGGATGCTGCGGTGGTCTCCGTGGCGGCCGTATTTCCTGTCTGCTCCATGCACCTTGCTCTCTTTTCAGACCCAGACACGAAGCCCCCTCCCCGCCTGGGGGAGCTGACGGTGACAGACATGACGCCCAACTCCATGAGCTTCTCCTGGACCGTCGCCGAGGGTGAATTTGACTCTTTCCTGGTCCAATACAAGGACAGAGATGGACAGCTGCAAGTGGTGCCCGTGGCTGGTGACCAGCGCGAGCTCACCATCCCTGACCTGGAGCCCGGCAGAAAGTACAGGTTCCTGATCTATGGCCTGGTGGGCAGGAAGCGGCTCGGCCCCGTTTCCACCGACGGTGCCACAGGTGAGCCCCCACAGCTGCCCTCCCCATGCAGTGCCTCCTGCCCTCAGCTTGGGCACAACAGCAGGGGGTGGGCACAGGCGAGGGGACAGAGGACACCCCAGTTGGTTGTGTGGCTGCAGACAGGTACTTCATTCCCTCCCCCACACTGGGGTCAGACACTCCCCTACCCCTGCTGGCACTTGGTAAGTGTGCCCATCTGGCCCGTGGAGGCAAGAGGTGGAAAATAAGAGACGACTTGGTTGCAAAAGCACCATGGAAAATCTAATGTCATGGTGCCCATGACTCAGCCCCCTTGAGGCCGGGGTGGGGTGTCACTGACCCTCACCCTCTCCCAAACCATGAGTCACCCTGGCCAGAGGACAGAGCAGAGCAGCTGGCCAGCAGGGGCCTCCTGACTGCCCAGCTCTCATCCCCAAAGCCTCACTGTGGGGACCAGCGTCAGACTATCCCTCAGACCCCCACATCCACACCCATGGAGCCCTGGCCATGTCCCTCAGCTCTGCTGTGTGTTCCCCACCACTCACCCCGACGGGTCCCCAGCAGAGCCAGTGTGGGGCTGGGGAGGCAGGTAAACGGGATGGCCCTTGCTGATGGCTGTGGGGATGGGGGAGACAGTCATGGCCTGCAAATGGGGTGTCCCCTGACAACCAGGCAGCCCCTGGGTGTCCCTCAGCTCTGAAGAATCCCTGCCTGGGAAATGGGGTCAGGGTAAGAGGGAGTTGGTAAGCAGTGACATTCAGAGAGAGCCCGACCTGCCTGTCCCCCTACCCCGGGGTTGTCCCAGCGTCTGGTGCCTGCACCTGCCCCGTGTTACCCAGTGGACGGAGGCAGCACTTGCCTGAGCATCCTGCATCCTGACCCTCCACACAGCTCCCCTGGAGAAGGATCGGCAGCCCCCGGCCCTCCTGGGGGAGCTGGCAGTGACGGATGAAACCTTGGACTCTCTGCGCCTGTCGTGGACGGTGGCCCAGGGCTCCTTCGACTCCTTCCTGCTGCAGTACAGAGACGCAGAACGGCAGCCACAGGCAGTGCCCATGGCCGCAGACCAGCGGGAGGCCACTGTGCGGGGCCTGGCGCCTGGCCGGAAGTACAAGTTCCTCCTCTATGGGCTCCTCGGGGGAAAGCGCTTGGGCCCGATCTCGGCCCTGGGAATGACAGGTGAGGCTGAGGACCTTTTCTTAGGACCTCAGGCACTGGCAGAAGTGGGCAGGTGGGGCCAGGAAGAGGGGCTGCCTTGGCTGATCCCGGCCAGCTGGGACGGATGCAAAGGAAGGGCTATGTGGTGTCTGCTTTCTCTCTGTGCTGTCACTGTCCACAACCAGCTTGTCACCTTCTGCCCCCAAGTCAGTGCCGACCTCCCCCTTCCCCAGTGCATGACTCAGAAGCACTTTCTCAAGTGGAAGATCCCCAGGCACACACACAGTGGACAGGGACCCAGAGGCCAGAGACACAGCAACCCTCTTCCCAAAGCTGCCAGCAGCCTCCGTCCTGTACCTCAGAGCAGCCTGGCCAGGGCTGGGGAGTGCAGTAGCAGGACCTGCCCCCAGCTTTTCTCAGGAGAAGCAGGGGTCCTCAGCTCAGCCAGTGCTGGGGCCATTGGCACAGGTATCCCTAGGAGGGTGGGATACACACACACACACACACACACACACACACACACACACACGCCTTGAGAGTGGGCCAGGGGTGGGCAATGCTGAGGTCTAGAAGAACAAGTCTTTTATCTTATGCGATCCAAGAGCCCCTGGAGCAGTGAGGGGCCACAGCAGTTTCCAGGACAGGAGACAGATCACGGGGTTGGTATCAACACCAGAGCAGGAGCAGGTGAGCGTCGTGAGGAGGATGCTGCTCCGAGGCCTCAGTGACGGCCAGCCTCAGGACCCAGCCTTGGAGCAACCCCGGAACCTCCCCCTCCTCCCCTCTCTAGGGAAGGCCCCATGGCACCCCCAGCTTAGCTTTTCTCCACACAGTTCCGAAGGAGGAAACACCAGCCCCGGAGGAGGACACGCCGGCCCCAGGCATCTCTGAGCCCCGTGAAGAGCCCCTCCTGGGGGAGCTAGTGGTGACAGACACAGCCCCCAACTCCCTACGCCTCTCCTGGAGCGTGGCCCGGGGCCCCTTTGACTCCTTTGTGGTCCAGTACCAGGACACGGACGGGCAGCCCCAGGCCTTGCTCATGGACAGTGACCAGAACAAGGTCCTCATCTCAGCCCTGGAGCCCAGCACCACCTACAGGTTCTTCCTCTACGGACTCCACGAGGGCAAGCGCCTGGGGCCCCTCTTAGCCGAGGGCACCACGGGTACGGTGAGGTCTGGCTGGGAAGGGCGCTGGGAGTGCCCCGAGGTGCTGACCACAGGGACAGCATGAGGGGAGGGGGAGGAAGACAGCCCTGGGCTCTGCAGTGCGCATGCTTGCAAGTGCCTTGTTAGTCAGGCCTGTTTCACAGGTGGGGCAAGAGGGCCAGGGTGGGAGACCCGATGACAGCTGACCCAGGTCACCCAGCTGATTGCCCCTCTCTCCCACCCACCCTGTGCAGGGCCAGCTCCTGCTGGTCAGACCCTAGGGGAGCTGGGGCCTCGTCTGTCCCAGTTGTCTGTGAGTGATGTGACCACCAGCTCCCTGCGACTCAACTGGGAGGCACCACCCGGAGCCTTCGACTCCTTCCTGCTCCGCTTCGGGGTCCCGTCCCCGAGCACAGTGGAGCCGCACCTGCGTCCCCTGCTGCAGCGCGAGCTGATGGTGCCCGGCACGCGGCGCTCAGCTGTGCTACGGGACCTGCGGCCGGGCACGCTGTACAGCCTGACACTGTATGGGCTGCGCGGGCCGTACAAGGCAGACAGTATTCAGGGCACTGCCCGCACCCTCAGCCCAGGTGAGGGTGGGACCCAGCCAGAGGGGCAGCTGGGGTGGACAGGGCGGGGGGGGCAGAGGCATGGAGGGGTGGGGCTTGGAGGAGCCTGCAGACTCAATTTCTCTCTGGGAACCTAGAGGACAGGTGCTGGGAGAGGAGGCAGGGGAAGGAAGGTGGGCCTTGTCGAGCAGGAGCCCCCTGCCCCCGCTTCTCACCACCCTGCCTTGCCCCTCTCCCCAGTCCTGGAGAGCCCCCGCGACCTCCAATTCACTGATGTCAGAGAGACCTCAGCCATGGTCACCTGGACGCCCCCACCCTCCAGGGTGGACAGCTTCAAAGTGTCCTACCAGCTGGCGGATGGAGGTGACCCCGTTGTGCCTGTGCCCTTGTCAGCTGCCCCTCCTGCCCTTGGCCTGCCCTCCTGCTGCTCTGGGGTCCCCCCATGGGCAGCCCCCAGCTCTCACTGTGCTTGCAGGAGAGCCACAGAGCGTGCAGGTGGACGGGCGAGCCCAAGCCCATCAGCTCCAGGGGCTCCAGTCCGGCACCCGCTACGAGGTGACCGTGGTCTCCGTCCGTGGCTTTGAGGAGAGCGAACCTCTCACTGGCTTCCTCACCACGGGTAAGATGGGGCAGAAGGCAGGGGGAGGGGGAGAAGGGCGCTGGGGGCTTTGTACGGGGAGAGGGGAGGGGAGAGCAGGGATACCCCCTGAGCTCCTGGCCTCTTCCAGTGCCCGATGGCCCCACTCAGCTGCGCGCCCTGAACCTGACGGAAGGATCTGCCTTGCTGCACTGGATGCCTCCGCGGGCCCCAGTGGACAAATACAATGTCCGGGTCACAGCTCCCGGGGGTGAGTGGGATAAGACCTCTGGAGAGAGTGGGAGACAGGCATAGAGGGGGCAGTGGCTGACACCAGCCTGCGCTTGCAGCCCCACCCCTGCAGGGCTCGGCCCCAGGCAGTGCTGTGGACTACCCTCTGCAAGACCTGATGCTCCACACCAACTACACGGCCACAGTGCGTGGCCTCCGGGGCCCCAACTTCACCTCCCCAGCCAGCATCTCCTTCACCACAGGTGTAACCTGGTACCCCAAGGCTGGATGGGGAGGGCGGGCTGGAGGGGGACCCTGGCTGGGGCTCATACCCATCATCCCTTCTCTGCCTCCCTCTCAGGGCTGAAGGCCCCCCAAGACCTAGAAGCCAAGGAGGTGACCCCTCGGACTGCCCTGCTCACATGGACTGAACCCCAAGTCCCGCCCACAAGCTACCTGCTCAGTTTTGAAACCCCTGGGGGACAGACACAGGTGCCTGTGGCCCTGGCCAATGGCCAGCCCCTCCTCTTGAGCTGATTCCAGAGATGCACCCTGATTGGGGCGGGGTGTCTTGGCCTTCCTGTCCCCAGCTCACCCCTTATTTCTCCCACAGGAGATCCTGCTCCCAGGAGGGCTCACCTCACACAAGCTCCTCCGCCTCTTCCCTTCCACCCTGTACAACGTACGGCTGCAGGCCATGTGGGGAGACAGCCTCACGCCACCCCTGGCCACCTCTTTCACTACTGGTACCCGGGTGGGGACCTGAGCCCAGGACTGGGTGGGCCGTGGGTGAGAGGACCCGCCCCCACCCACGCGCCTCTCCCCAGGCGGCCTTCAGGTTCCCTTCCCCAGGGACTGTGGGGAGGAGATGCAGAATGGCGCTGGCTCCTCGAGGACCACCACCATCTTCCTCAATGGCAACCGCGAGCGGCCGCTGGACGTGTTCTGCGACATGGAGACAGACGGAGGTGGCTGGCTGGTGGGTAGAAGCCAGAAGGGCACTCAGGGCTCTGTGTGGGCGGGGGAGCTGTTGCCCAGGAGCCTGATTGACAGCCGCCCCACCCACACCCCCACCCCCGCCTCCCCAGGTGTTCCAGCGGCGCATGGATGGGAAGACAGACTTCTGGAGAGACTGGGAGGACTACGCCCATGGTTTTGGGAACATCTCTGGAGAGTTTTGGCTAGGTCAGTGCCACACAGGGGAGCTAAAGACGGGTTAGGGGTGCTGTGGACCCCAGGATCCTGACAAGGGCATCCCTCCTGCTGCCCGCCTCCCTCCAGGCAACGAGGCCCTGCACAGCCTGACGCAGGCTGGCGACTACTCCATGCGCGTGGACCTGCGGGCTGGGGATGAGGCTGTTTTCGCACAGTATGACTCCTTCCGCGTGGGCTCAGCCGCCGACTACTACCGCCTCCACCTGGAGGGCTACCACGGCACCGCAGGTGAGAATGAACCCGTGGTCAGCTGGGAGGACTGGCGGAAGAAGAGGCGCTCACCACTGCACCTGCCCCCCATCCCTGCCCAGGTGACGCCATGAGCTACCATAGCGGCAGCGTCTTTTCTGCCCGGGATCGAGACCCCAACAACTTGCTCATCTCCTGTGCTGTCTCCTACCGCGGGGCCTGGTGGTACAGGAACTGCCACTATGCCAACCTCAACGGGCTCTATGGAAGCACGGTGGACCACCAGGTGAGGGGCCGGGGCAGCAAGGCTGGGGTATCACTGTGTGGCCTGACAGGATGGCAGCTGTCGCCTGTGAGGTGGAACAGTCACACCACCAGCCAGATTCTCCCAAGCAGATTTATTCAATGGAAGGGGCCCATCTGGAGTCCAGCCCCAGTTCTTTGCAGTAGGGTTATAAGGAGAGCAGGGAGGGGAGGTCAGCCGATTCCTGGGGTTGGGGGAGCTCAGGCAGCAGGGGTGTCTGGCCTTGACCTGTGACAACCCTCTCCCAGGGTGTGAGCTGGTACTACTGGAAGGGCTTCGAGTTCTCGGTGCCCTTTACGGAAATGAAGCTGAGACCAAGAAGCTACGCCGGCTGAGGGCGGCTAACCCACCACCCACGCCTGGCACCCCGGTCTGACTGCCGAGCACTGAGGGGTCGCACGGAGGGAGAGAGGAGAAGCCGGCGCCGCCGGAAAAGGCCTTCTCTGCCCGCGATCTCGCAGCACCATGTTTACAGGGGGGAGGGGAGGGGTTGTGCGGGAGCAATAAAACAGAAACAGAGGCACGTGCCTGGCACTGGTCCTACCCTGTCCCGGGTGACGGCCCCCGCGGCTGCAGCCGCACCTGGAAGGGCTGCATGAGGAGGTTGATGCCGCAGAGGGGCTGGGGATGCAGAGAGGGCAGGGTGCCGGTGGGCGGCGGCAGCAGCGTGAAGGCCTGCAGCAGCCGCGCCAGCACCACCACCAGCTCCAGGCGCGCCAGCGGTTCGCCCAAGCAAATGCGCGCTCCACAACCGAAAGCCAGTGTCCGGGGACTCTTTCCTGGCTGCAGGAAGCGATCTGCGGGAGCGAGAGGAAATGGCACGGCAGAGGGTGTGTAGCAGTCAGGATCCTCCCTGCACCACTCCTGCCCCGTGGCCCCAGGGGGCCCCCTACATACCGGGCAGGAACTCATGCGGCCGCTCCCACACAGTCTCATCAAGGTTGGCGCCTTGAAGGTTGGGGATGACAACTGTCCCCTCAGGGATGTCATAGCCGGAGATGCTGCGGGAGAGGCCGGGTTCAGGTGCTGGCCAGCAGGAGCTGGGCGTTTCCTCACTCAGTCCCCAGCCCCGGGAGGTACCTGCTGGGCCGCGTTGCACGATGGGGCAGGGCCAGGGGCACCACGGGCCTCAGGCGCAGCACCTCAGTGACAGTGGCATGAAGCAAGGGCAGCCGCGTGCGGTCCTTGTAGGGGACCCTGGAGCTTGTGGCTTCTGGACCCAGTTCGAGGTCTAGCTCCTCCTGCAGTCGCCGTTGAATCTGGAAGTGGGGGCGAGGCTGGAGCCTAGCAGCCCACGCCCTGCCCCTGGCTGTTACCCTACTCTCTCCCCATGCAGTCACCTAGCTTGGCCCATGTGCCCACAGGACGGTGACCCATCCAGGCAGGCCCAGAGGAGACTGCAGTTCTGCAGCCCTGGCCCAGCTCCCAGGACCAAACCTTTGACCTGGGCCCCACAGTGCACCTCGGGGTGGTGAAGCAAGAAAGCTACAGCCCACGAGAGGGTGATCGCTGTGGTCTCGGTGCCACCGACAAACAGGTCCACGGCGGCCATGTGCACGTGTCCTTCCAGAAGCCGTCCAGGGCCCTGGCCCAGTCCCTGCAGCATGTAGTCCACCACGTCCCTGTACTGGCCAGCCACCAGGCTCTCCTGTGGGGGTGTCAGAGGAGCTGAGAGTCTGGCTTGTGGGGAGAGGTTTGTGAGACTAACAGGCCTGGAAGTGGGGGAAGTTGAGGTGGGGAGTCAAAGACCCATCCCTGTGGTGCCATCCCTGCCCACCTTGTGGAGCTTCAGCTGCTGGGCTACAAGCTGATCCCTGTTCTCAACAGCCCGCTTCAGCCTGCACACACCTGGGTTGGGGAAAAACTGGGGCAGGGTGCCCAAGAAAGTGGCTGCTGGGGATCACGGGGGCAGAGGGAGAGGCAGGGGGCATGGGCTCCTCCTTCAGCCCTCCCTTTCTCCCAGCCTCCTCACCCTGAGAAAGGGAACCATGTCCAAAATTTGCACCGACCAGTGGCCCCAGGCCTTCAGCAAGTCCTGCACGCTGTTGTGAATGGGGTGCACCAAATTGTCTGCCTGGTGAAGAAGGCTGAGTTCAGAGCCTGGGTGGGAGCAGCAGAGGGGAGGAGAGGAGCTGAAGAAGCACCCAAAGGGCAGCCAGGACAACCATGACCTTGTCTCCGAAGGTGAGGGAGCAGATGATGCTGCAGGTGAGGACAGAGAATTCCTCCAGGATGACCACAGGGGCGCCAGCCAGTGCTCTCAGGCGCTGTGGAGGAGCAGAGGCTACTAGAGTAGGCTGGGGCAGGGCAGGGCAGGGCAGGGGCCCCTGCCGGGACAGGATGGGGGCAGGAGCCCAGCCTCACCTGGCAGAACTCCTGGCTCAGGCTGTCCACCAGGGCCTCCATGGATTCATGGATGCCCAGCAGCAGGGCTGAGCGCGTGAGTTTCTTATGGGCCTTCCAGCTCAGGGAGTAGTCCCCCAGTGACAGGTCTGGGTAGTGCTCAGATACCAGCTTGTCTGTGGGTAGATGGAGAGGCAGGGTGGCCAGTGGAAAATGCCTAAGGTAGCCAAGCATCTGGATGGCCTTCTGTCTCCCCCAGCCCCTCCTTTTTCCCTCTGGGAGTGTGTGCCTCCCTTACAGCTAGGTGTCTGGGGTCTGCCGGCAAAGTCTGTCCATTTTTTGATCATGGCTTCCTCAATGGTCCTCTTATCATTCAGCACCACCACATCTAGGGAAGGGCCAAAGCTGAGGTGAGCAGGGGGAGGACCTCAGTGGTCCTTCATGGGCAGGGGCTGGCAAGGGGGTGGCTTCCTACCTTGCAGCCCAAGGCGGAGCCTGTAGATGGGTCCTAGGGTCCGAGCCAGATCAAGCAGGTGGATGGGGAGGTTGGGCTGCAGCAGGTGCAGGAAACCTGGGGCGAGAGGTGGGAGGTGGAAGCCCCTGAGCTTCCACCGGCACCACAACAGGCGGGTGGCAGCCAGCAAGGTCAGCAGCAACAGCAAGCTGAGGAGCAGCATGGCTCGAGAGTCACGCAAAGGCCCTGGCACGGCTGCTTTATAGCTCGGGCCCTGACCATTCCCGTTTGGGCTGTTTTCAGGCCTCCTTCACCCCTCTGTTCAGGTCCCTTCCCATCATCCCACCCACAGCAGGGCGTATTTCTGGAGCAGGACCAGTTTCACCGGCCTTGGAGAGTCCCCATTTCAAAGGGTGGATCATCCATCAAGAAGAAAGGACAGGTGACTCTGGCCTTTTTCCAGCAGCTTGCATTAGCTTTCCAACCCCGAGTCAGCTGCACAGGCCAGGCGACCCGCCTGCTAGCCTGGGTCCTCTCTCTCCCACCCGACCTGGAACGCACCTGAGGCTTGGCAGTCCCTGCCCAATATGCCTTCCAGGAGCTCCTGAAGAGCACACGAGGTGGATGTCATTTGTGAGGGGGTTTCCTATGATTGCTTTTTACTTGAGAAGCAGAGAGAGAGGGACCTTGTCTGCTGGTTTACTCCCCAAATGCCCACAAGGGCTGAGACTGGTGGGGTCAAAGCCTGGATCCAGGAACACAGTACAGCTCTCCCATGTGGGGGCAGGAACCCAACCCCATGAGCCAGCACCTGCTGTCTCTTAGGTGTGTGCAGTAGCATGCAAGCCATCATCAGGAACGGAAACCAGTAGGGGACATGGTGCCTTAAGCACTAGGCCAGAAGCCTGCCTGTGTGTGTGTCCCCTGATGAGAGAGGCTCAGCCTGGATCCCTGGCTAAGACCGAGAGGGAGAGAGGGGTGGGATTTCTAGGGGTGGGCAACACGAGCATCCTCCTCCTCAAGGCTGACCTCTGAGAGCCAGGCCGAGCAGCGGGGGCTGCTACTACCACCCTGTGGTGGGATAAGCAACCTCACACCTAAGTAAGAAAGATGTCTCCTACTGTAGCAAGCCATCCCTGCCTGTCTCTGGTCCCCTCCCCACAGGAACAGAGTTCCCTGAAATCCTCTTTCATTGTGGAGACTGCCTGTCCTCCATCCAACTCCTCCCATGAGTTCTTGGACTGCACAGCTGTATCTCAGGCCCAATTACCTGCCAGCCTGCTGAATTAGCTCAGCTTTCATCAAATCTGATCTCATTTTTTCTTATTCTTTTAAGCTAAAGTACGGTTCTGTGCTTGTTATCTATCTATCTAACTTTCAGTTATCTATCTGAAAGGCGCAATGTGGCGTTAGGTAGCGATGGAGAGCAAGTGTCTACTTGCTTCATTTCTCAGTTACCCACAATAGCCAGGGCTGGGTCAAGCCAAAGCCAAGAACTCTGCATGGTCTCACCTGGGTGGCAGGCACCCAAGTAGCTGAGCCTTTGCTGCCTTGCAGAGGGAATATTAGTAAGACGCTGCATGGAACGCAGGACCTGAGAGATGGGGTGGAGACATCTGCACTGCGGCTTTACCTGGTACTCCACAATGCCCAACCCCACATCTCAATTTTCTTTGGAAAATCGCCATCGTGCACAATGGGGGAAAGCTAGGCAGCAGGATGGAAAGAGCCAGCCCCCAACAGAACAGTCCTTCTGAGAATAAGCAAACACTCCAAAGTCAACTTTTTGTCTTGTTTAACATCAGTGCCTAAGACATCCAACCCGCAGATTGCACAAGTCAGGGAAGTTACCTAATTGCACTGATAACGGGATCAAGTGTCAGCAGACTTTCAACAGAAGGACTCAGCTGGGAGCAATGATTCTGGACCTGCCAAGGGCTCGAGGGCAGAGAGGGGGCCTGGCCTGGCTGGCAGTTCCTAGGCACAAGGGCTGAGGCGTTAGGGTCCTATCTAGGTGTAGATTCACAGTTCTGGGTGGTCCTGGGCTGTCCTGAGCTCCCCATGAGTCCCTTTGTGGGAGTTGCTCAGGCAGGGTAGAAGAGCCTGAGGGGAGTCCAGGCTGTGCAAGCCTGCCCTGGGCCCCCCACTCGGGTATGGGCAGTGGGGAGCCTGACAGTTGTGGAGATAGAGACACACACACACTGACACTGGTGTCAAAGGCCTTTATTATGCCCCTGTGGCTGTGTTCAGGGGACCAGGAACAGCAGCACTTCTTAGCAGTACCCTGCCCCCCGTCAGAGGTGGGGTGGAGGTGGGGTGGAGGGCGATGCTCACACCTGGCATCCCTGGGTGCCGTACTCCTGGAGGAAGCTGTTGAGCTGGTTGCAGGCTTCCCGCTGGCGGGTGCTGCGGCACAGGCGCTCGGAGGGCATCTCCTCAATCCAGGTGTTGGAGTCCAGCAGGTACTGGGGGCTGCAGGGATGAAGGGATTCATTAGCAGGCCCCAATGGGGGACAGCAAGCATGAGGGACTGTGTGGAAAGACAGAGACCCCCAGGCCCAGGCCACTCACTCGCCCTTGAGGTCTTCGGTGACGCCGTCCAGACCCATGATCAGATACTCTTTGCCGGGCTCCAGGTGAAGGCGGCAGGAGGCACGGACCAGGAAGTTCCGGGTCTGGCCAGCAGTGGCCTTGGTGTCACTGGCTGGAGTGGAGATGGAGAGGAGAGTCAGAGCTCCTGTGGGACCCTGGTCACTGCCGGCGAGGAGGTGCCATGATCTCCCTTTTGTCACAGGCCAGTCCAGGGCTTCTAAGAGGCTGAGGTGACTGACTGATGCTCAGACTGGTCTGAATGCCCACGAGCCCAGGTGGCCCTCAGCCTCCCCGCCTCCCGGCCCAGATGTGTCCGTACTGAAGTGCAGGATTCGGATGAGCCGGGTCTCAAAGAGGCGGAAGGCGGCTCTGCTGTCTTCTCGAAGAACCTTCACCTGGAAGCCTGAGAGAGCGTTAGGAGAAAGGCAGGCAGGTTAGGGATGAGCGGGCTCTGCACGCTCATGGGGCTTGTGCCAGAGAGACCACGCACGAGGGCAGGCCCTTCTGGGAGACTCACCATATTCCACGCGGGGAGAATAGCAGGCAAATTTCATCCTGTAGCCATCCTCATCCTGAAGCCCCCTCTCCAAGGCGCGGCGCTGGCGGGGACACTTCCCTGAGGTACAGGGGGTACCCAGATGAGGTCCTGGGTGTGCCATCCTTCCCCCCAACTCCCACCCGCTGTGCAGGCCCAGCTTCTCACCCTCAGCACACTGGCAGACGGTACCAGAGCACAAGGTGGCCAGGAGCTTGCTCTTACTCGGTGCCCCGTAAAACACAGAGCATTTGCGCTCTGGGGAACAGAAGAGGGAGGTATTAGGGTGCACGGCCTTCTTAGCACCCTTCCTCGCCCTGGGTCCTGGCTGTCCCACGTGAAGGTGTCCATCCCTCGGGCAGCAGGGGTGGTGAGGGCTCACCAGGGTTGTAGTAGTCATACAGGACCGCGCTGGCCGGCTGCACCAGCCCCACCGCCACCTCCTGAATGGCTCCGAAGCCCACGCACTCCCGGGCCGTGGGGACCTGGCGCCAGGCAGATAAGAGTCATCAGGCCATTTCCGGGGTCCCCAGGCTGCCAGCCTCATCTCCTTGGCCCATTTCTCCACGGCTGCCATTAGCGTTATCTTCGGTGGCCTTCACATTCAGTTCGCTCCTTGGCGTTGGGATGCTAACCACACTCCCCAAGGTCTCAGATGACCTCAGTACCGGAGGCCAACCTTGTCCTTGTCTGTCACCCCAGGTCCCCTGCAGTCTCACGTCATGGACATGCTCTCTCTGATCACCATGCAGGTCAGTTTTTGAGCTGATCCTTTCTTACGTTCCCTTTGTCTCCCATCCCAGAGTCACAGGCCCAGCCCTGCCTCTCCCCTTTTCTGTACCCACCCCCTCCACAGGGGGTTTCCACTACTCCCTGGCTTCCACCAAATCCTTCCCAGCTGCTAATTCCCAAAACGGGTCTTCAGCCACCTCAGTTCTGTTAGGAGTATAGCACAACTCTGTCCCCAAACCTACTTCTTCCCCAACAGACTTCCTCTTTCCTGGAGAAACAATTGGGGCCTCTTCTCTTTGTCCTAAGCTATAGGCAGCTTCTGCTATCCTGGCAGATCACATGGCTTGGGCCTTGGGCCCTGAGCCCTGCTCATGCCACCTCAGGACTGCCCAGCCCAGAGCCCAGACGTTTCCCACCCAGCTGGGCTCCAATGATACCAACCCCCTACCCAGAAGTCTTGCTGGCTCTGCATGGTGCGTTGTGTTCAAGCCAGGCCCCTCTGCATGCACGGAGCCGGGTGCCTCCTCAGGTCCGTGTGTGCCAGCCAATGCCACCCCAGAGCCTTTCTCACACATTACCCAGCAGTTACAGCAAATATTCAGCAACATTTCTGAGGGCCATCAGGATTGATCACTTGTTTTAGCCACAGAATGCCATAAAAAGACACACCAATATCTATGGTCACCACTACTTTGTAAAAGAAAATACCCCTTCACATCAAAAGACAATACCAGGGAGTTCAACAACACAAAAACAAGGGCAGCTCCTCTCAGGTTGAACAAAGTCATCTCACGGAAGGCCCTCTGTCCTCTGACCAGCACTGGCCTCGCCACCCTGCAGGTGGCAGCAGCCTCCCTGGAGGTCAGCTGTGGCTCAGGTAGCTCACATCATCCTGTCTTCCTGTCACAGGTTCCCAAGGATACTGGCTACTGCCTCATGGCACATCCCCAGGAAATGGGATACCAGCGATCCCCTGCCCATGTCCCCTCTCCCCACTCACCGAGTCAAAGTACAGGAGGACATGGGGCCCCTCTGTCTCAAAGTGGCTCACGTAGCGGTCCGAGAGGGAGGTCAACTGTGAGGAGGAAGTCGGTGGTGGGTTGGTGGCCTTAGCCCTGCCACCCAGGGTGCTTGCTTGGGGAGGTTGAGCTTACCTTCTCCAGGTCGGCCTGCAGGGCATGGAACCCACTCAGGAGGGTGATGTCAGCGATGGCCATGCCAGACAACCCAACCTTGCCATTGCGCCTGTGGAAATATCACCTGCTATCCAGATGCCTGTTCCCAGGCCAGCCGCTGCCCTGGCCCTTCCCATCCCCCCCCCTCCCCCGCCGGGGCAGGTGCTGGCACCCACCAGATGCACACGGTGTACTGCACTTTGGACTCCTGCTCCTCGACCACCTTGGGTGCCTCCCTCCGGCGGCGGTTCCTCCGGCCCTCGAAGAGCTGCAGGGGCGTCACGGGCTGCCAGTGGGCATCTGGGTCGTCCCCAGCTGGGAGCTCTCCATACTCCTCATAGTCCTCGTAGTCCTCGTTGGCTTCCACTGTGCGGGCAGTGTTGTGAGGAGGGGTCAGCAGGCTCCCACCCTGACCCTTCAGGACTCGCACCCCTGATCCAATACTCACTTGTGTACTCCACGTGGCCTGTGACTGTCACCTCGATCTGGAGATCCTGGCAGGTTGTGTTCTTCAGGTCCAGGACGTTGTAGGCACGGAGGATCTGGCTCAGCAGGGGGCAGAGAGAGAACACAGGACGTTTGGAGCCACAGATGGCCCTATGGGGCATATCTCTAGGGGATCTGAAGTCATGGTCCTTCACTGAGCCATCCACACATGAACAGCCATCTGATATACCACAGAGTGGGGTGAGCCATGAGATGTAGAGGGGAGCCAGCAGGCTGCCAGGGCACAGAGGAAGCTGAAAAGGGTTGGACTAAGCTTGGGAGGAGAGCATGTGCTACAAGCTCTTGGAGAAGGACATGGAGACAGGCAGAAACGACTTAGCTCTAAGATGGTCAGACTAGGACTTGGGACAGGTCATTCTCACCGCCGTGTGGACAGTGACTCAGAAGGGAAAGAAGAGAGGTAGGGCTAAGCCCACCTTGGCCTAAGTGACACAAGGGACAGTGGCCCTGGACAGAGGGAAACAGAGGAACTAAGTGCTGCTGAGGTGGTCCCCCAGGTGGAGGGAGCTCTGGTCCACCCTATGAGGAGGAAAAGAATAAAAAGGGGTGGGCACTGGCTGTGTCTGAGGGCCTGCTCTGTGAGACGAGTGGGCCTGGGGATCAGAGGAGAGGCCTGCACTGAGGGACCGGGTATGGAGCAGCGGGTGGAGTGGATAAAGACAGGAACTCAAGGAGAGAAGGGACAGCCAAGCTCAGGGTGCCCTTTCCCAGGACCCGGAACCCTCCTCACAGGGCTCCTGCTCAATGCCCACATGCTCTCTCCTTTACTCCAGCCCAGCTCTTCCCAGGGTCCCTCACCCAGTGCCCTGGGCCCTCACCTTCAAGGTCCCCTTGCTGTTTCCGTTCACCTGCACACTAATGCTGTTGCCCAAGGAGAACTTTCAGGAAGAGAAGAGAAGTGTCAGAGGGCTTAGGAACATCTGCCATAACAACGGGCCTCCTCCCCGGTGCAGTCCCACCTCCTCCCCTACCTCATACTTCACAGCGTCTACACTTCCATGTGCATCATCTCCCAGCCACCCCATAAAAGCCTGTGGGGTGCACGTGGCTGCAGATCATTCTACAAGTGAGCAAGATGCAGCTCCAAGAGCAGCCAATCAGCCATCCCACCAGACCCCAAGAAGAGGCACTCGGGGATGCTGTAGCTGTTGGTCCAGCCACTGTAGGCCCAGAGTTACCCCAGCTAAGCAAAGGAGAGGTTCACCTGCAACTGTTCCTCCAGCCCCTTAACTTGGTGGTTGTTCAGTTGCAGAGTGTGAAACTTTAACCCAGTTCGGCCCATGGAGCTGAGAGTCACATTGAGTCCCTTCTCCTCGGGGGTGTAGGAAGTGATCCAGTACGCAGACAAGGCATCCAGAGCCATCACTGTATCCTGGGGAGGTGGGGCTGGACTCAAGGGCATGCCCTCAGGACCGCCCACACCCCCAGTCCAATGGTCCCCAGAGGCCTCTACCTGGGTGCTGCGGAATCCCCCTTGGAAGCTGCCCTGATGGTTGAGCCAGGCTGCAGCCCGCTCGGCCATCTCTGCCTTGCCCTCCCGAAGCAGCAGGTGCAGCAAGCCATAGGCAGTGGTTTCAATCCACAGGGCTGGGGCTTGCAGCACAGGGTCTGTTGGGCTGTGAGGAGCTGGGGAGGGTGACACCACGTTGTCCTCAGAACCAGCGACTGAGCCCCAGTACAGGTAATCTGGAAGGGAAGAGAAGAGAAATTCCCCAGATAAACAGAGGAGAGGAGGGAGAGATCTTAACTGCCTGGCTATCTGCTGCCCTGTGGTCAGTCTGTCCTGCCCCTGTCCCCAAGTCATCCCTTCTGCGTGCTTCAATTCCATCTCTGGACTCCACTCAACCTTCCCCTTGGGCTTCCTTCTCCCTCACCGTCAGTCTCCTGGGCCATGGCCATGAGGTTGTTGTGGGCGACACTCTGGATGTCCTGGGGAGCCTTGGTCAGTGTCAGGGCATAGGCTGTGGTGGCGGCTGCATGGACACCCAGGAGCCCAGCACTTGCTTTCCCTCCCAAGAACGAGTTTGCCCTTGAGATAGACGTTGTCTAAGAGAAAGGAGGAGGACAGAAAAGACGGGGGCTACACACCTGGCCCCCAAGGGGAAAGAGGCAGAGCTGCAGCTGGTGGAGGCATACACGGACATCCTTACCACTTGCTGCTTCAACTCTTCCTCATTGTTCTGGAAGGTGGCTAGCCCGTGGTGAAGGGCAATGACCACAAATGCTGTGAGGGCTACAGTCTCGTCGTTGCCCACCAAGCCTCCCTAGTGAGGCAGAAAAGAAATGTTGGCCAGGAGTGTAGGGGCAGAATCTTCTGGCCCATGCCCCTTGGCCCAGCCGCACCTGCATGCCCCTGTGGATGACTGGGCAGGGGTCCTGGAATGAGCCGTCATCCTGCTGCTGGGTCAGCAGCCATCTGGCTGTCTCCTGCAGCTTCTCTGGTGAGCCGCCCACTTGTTCCTGGGCCAAACTCAGTACCTTGAGCACAAAGGCCGTGAGCCTAGCCGGAGAGGAAGGTTTGGCTGGGGACAACACTGGGACACGGCCCTGCTTCCCCAAGCACCTGTCATCCACCCTCCCCTGTCTTGGCCCCGCCTCAGATGATGGGAACCACTCTCTCGGCCTCACCAGGTGCTGCTGTCACGGTGTAGCCAAGCCCCATAGGAACCATCTGTCTTCCGAAACTGCTGGATCCTCATGTAGCCTGCGAGAGGCGGGGCGGCTGCTGAGGGGACCCCTGCCCCCACCTCCCCAGTCCCCGCACTCTGCAGCTGCTTGTGTCTGAGCCCGTGCCCTCCAAGCCCACTGCCCTTTCTTCCCTTCCCCTTTCTTAGCACCCTGGATGGCCTGTTTTCCACCACCTCCTGCTTTGCCCCTGGCCCCCAAACCTTTCTGGATCAGATCCACGGCGTGGTCCTTGGTCTCGGGGGGCAGTGAGCTCCACTGCTCTGTCTTGTCCAGGTAGCGGGAAGCAGCCAGTGTCGGAGCCAAGTAGACCATGGTTTGTTCCCCACAGCCCCGGGGAAGCCTCAGGAGGGAGACCACGCCTCCTGGGGACAAGGCTCCCTCGGAGCCCAGAGCGTCCAGTGGGTCTGAGGCTGTAGTGGAAGCAGGGGGTTGAGGAGCAGAGAGGAGATCTGAGCACCCAGGGCCAAGGGATCCTGGGTTCATTAATCTGAGGGTGGGCACTGGGATGGAACTGAGAACTCCCACCTGTCACCCTGACCAAGCTGCTGAAATCTCCATCGGGGATCATATTGGGATCAGATTTGCCAGGAATTTCCCAGGTTCTGGCTCGGTGGTCTAGGGAGAGGGAGGAGGTGGGTGGTCTCTCGTACCACTGACAATCCTTAACCCACTGCCACCCTCTCAGGGGCAAGCATCACTCACCTAGGGGGTTGAGTTCATAAACCAACTCCTCCGTGTGGATGACCCCTTCCTTCTGTCTCAGGAAAACAGGCTTGTGAGCGAGCAAATCTGTGGCCCAGCCCTCCCTGTACAGGCTCCCAAGACTCTGAGGGGAAATCTTGCAGGATGAGTTGGATTGGAGTTGTGGAAGACAGATACAGAGCCCTGACCTCCAGCCTGAGCGGGGTCAGGGATAGAGCCGAGAGCCCCTCTAGTGACCCAGCATCAGGGAGGCTCCATTCACCTCAATCTGCAGAACCTTCGACACAGCATCCCCCACAAAGGGCCCTTGAGCCACCACCTTCAGGGACACAGCTCCGGCTGCCATGGGCACCACAGAGAAGGTAACAGGCCGGGCAGAGCCCGCAGGTACCAGCACCTGCTGGGACAGCCCTCTGCCCCCAGCCATGCACAACCCCTCCACGGGGGACACATGAACGCTCACCTGGGGGCAGGAAAGTGGGGATGAATACAACCCCGACCAAGCTGGGCTTCCCCCAGCCCCCATCCCTGTGAGCTTGGGCTCCCACGGGGTCTCACGGTCAGGTCCTCATTCAGGTAGTTGTAGAGGACAGGTCGCAGCTCCAGCTGCTCAAAGCGGCGGACAGAGGGGGGCAAGCGCAGGTGCAGGTGGAACTCGCGGAATACCTGGAGACGGACAGGTGTGGCCACGCACAGTCCTAAAGGAGGTCGGGGACCATGACAGGGTGGTCATCCAGGCACCAGAGCCACAGGAGGCCATGACCTAGCTCTGCCCTCAGCCTTCCCCTGTTCCCTGTCTCAGGTCAGGGCCTGCCACAGACTTCCCCAGCTCTTTACACCACCTTCCCATACTAAAGGCAAGCAGTGGCCTGGCTCAAGGAGGAACAGAGGTGGGGCAGCCTGAGGCCCAGGCAGGGCGGCGCACCTGTGCTCTGGGACACGCTCACACCATGGATCTCCCACGTGGTCAGAGAATCAGGGACAAACATTGACAACCTGTGATGAGAAAGATGAGGGAACTGCTTCGTACCCAATCGGCCCCAAACCCAGCCCAGAGGCAAGGCCAGACGCGACGGGGCCCTCACACTTTGGAAGTGTCCACTGTCTCTAATTTCCAGAGCCAGTTCTCCGGGAAGAAGCTGCGAACTTGGATGAGGTCTTCTTCGATCAGCTCTTCTTCCTGCACCATCTCCAGGGCTGGGGGACCACAGCGAACAGGGATGAGGAGGGGACCATTCCACCCTTCCCAGGCACCCCTGCTTGGCCCTCAGCCCCTTGTGGTCACTCACCTCGGGCAAAGCCCACCTGGTTCTTGGTACGGGTTTTCTTGCGTAGGTTCTCAGCAAACTGGCAACAGGACAGGAAGGGTTCCCGACAGGCTGGTTGTGGTACCCGGGCTGCACGCTGCTCACAGGAGCGCCTCATGGGCAGCTGTGTCAGCCCGTCCTGGCAGCAGCGCCTGGCCTCTGGGGAAGCATACTGGCCCACTGCAGGGCCAAGGGAGGGGTGAGTATGAGGGAACAGAAAGGCGACATGGCTCAACCCCAAGTCTGACTCCTGGATCCACAGGGTCTCCTTGCTTTGAGGGAGGTGAGAGAAGCTGCTGAAGGGAGCTGCCACGCAGCCCCTGCCCTGGAACGCGAGGATTGGGTCTCCAGCCCCACACACCACGTGTTGGCTCACTGAGGAACCCACAACTCACACTTCTCACTAATTGCCTTCTGGAAGTTCACGTTTCTCTTTTTCCTGGTTTTCTCCGTGGGACAGCTCATACCTGGCAAAAGCAAACCTGCAGTCCATCCTGGTGGGGGTGGCCTCCAACCAGGTCCCCTTCCACCACCCAGCCCTTTCTACCCTTCCTCTGTCCACCTTACCCTCAGGCCCTGCCTCCTCCTCTTCCTGGCACCCACTCGCTTTCTTCCTTTTTATACTTACTTTTTTTGGTTGAGGTCAACTGGTCTCCATCAGAAAAGGCCAGACCAGCTGCCTGGAACACCTGAAGGGCAGTGTCCCCACCCCCAGGACCACAGCCAAGGTCATAGCCATTCATAACTTCAAAGACCTGGCAAGAAAAGGCAAGGACAGAACCAGACAATGGGCTGTGAGTGAGAGGTCCAGCGTGTGGGGACAAATAAGAAAGGGATTCAGAGACCCCAAGGCCCAGAGAGGAAGTAGACGGGTAAGGTTCGAGGCTTGTAGGGCCTGTGGCAAGGCTGAGCAAGATCTAGGATCTGGACTTGGGGCTTGGGCAGCAAAGCAACAAGGTGAGAAAGGCAGAAGGGTTGGGGAGTGAACCAACTGACCTTGGCCATGCTGAGGGGTTTGTGGGCCCTGCCACCTGCGGCATACAGGGCTGTGTCCATGGCACCCAGCGCCACAAAGGCAGGAGAATCGGTCTTCAGGTGGAGTTTCAAAGGGTCCCCATTGCGGTACTTCTTGGTAGTATCCACGTTTATCTCCAGCTGGCAAGGGCAGGAGGTAGGGGGCAGTAAGAGCAGGCACGGATTCTTATATCTTTGGTGCTCGCCAAACTGAAGTTACCTGTTGCCAATCACTCTTTCCATTTTCTCTCATTAGCCTCCCCATCCACCCAAACGCACCAGCAGCCCAGACCCCAGTTACCTTGCCCTCGCAGTCCTTGCCCTGAACATCCACTCGCAAGGAGTTGGCCACGGGGAGGCCTCTGTAATAATAGAAGGCCACCAAGTAGAAAGAGGGTGCCATGCGGTGGTTCACAAACACAGAGACTGATGTCAGCTTCCTCCTGGACTCTTGATTCACGGACAAAATCTGGCCCCTGGACAGGACCTGGGCCGAGCAGAAGGAGAGCAAGAGAGGGCTCTCTTTATTGCACGTGTCCAGTCTCGAAGTTACATCCAGCCCAAGCTCTCCTGTACTCCCCAGACAGCCTGCCCACCATGTAGTAGTAATGAGAGAAGGCGTCCTCTCTGACGCCCACAGCTCGCAGGTTCAGCTTGAAGGTGTCTCCGACACGAGGGGGCCGCATATCCAGACGCTCAATAGACAGAAACCCGGGACCCCCTGAGGGTGGGGCCTTCACAGTGAGCCTGGCCTCGGCAGGCTGGTGGGAGCCGGCAGATACCTAGACAGGGAGACGGGTAGGGCTGAGGTCAGTGGCCCAGGCTGGGCTGCGGGGCCTCAGGAATGAGCTCCCCCACTTCCCTCCCTCACCCCTCGTGGTTCCGAGGAATCCTACCCAGAGCTGCAGTTCTGCAATGGTCTCTGGGATAACAATGGGAATGCTGACACGGCCACTATCGTCTGAGTTTTGCTCAAAGTCTTTTTTTTCAGAACCAGATCCAGAAAAAGTAAATGTGGCAGAAACTTTGACAGGAACTCCGGGCGCCAGGGAGCCTGACACTTCTCGAACCAGAGCCTAGGTGGATGGGGAAGGGCAAGTAAGACAGAGGTCTGGGAGACCCTGTGTCCCCTCCTCAGCTGGGCCCTCCAGAAGAAACCTGAAACAGGAAGAGATCCCCGGGCACGAGATGTCGCTTCGTGTTGCTAAGATCCAGGGAGTAGGGAGAGGACACAAAACGCCAGGAAGTGAGCTCTGCCTCCTCCATATCTCCCCCTGCAAGACAGGAGGCAGAGGTGAAGCACAGAGCCCCAGGGAGAGAGGAAACAGCGCCAGGGGGCGCCAGAGAGTCTCCCTCCTGCGGAGGCTCCTCAGAGCCCAGCCCAGGACCTGGCACGCACACTCCACAAAACTTTAAGTTGGCTGGATGAGGGAATGAGCAAAATAATGAACTCAAGATGGCGAAAACCAGCAGAACCTCACAGGGACACAACTGGAGACGGCCACCACCGGGGGCATGCCTAGCTTTGGGTCTGAGATGAAGTGTCAGAAGTCGGGGTAGGAAGGAAAATCATCTCAGAGGTTGTGGGCAAGGGCCTACGAGGGCGTCACCCACCTGGAGATTCGATGATGGCTGCTGCAACATACAGACGCAGCCCCAGGAGGTCAGGGAGGGCCATATTCAGCTTCACCAAGGCACCCTGGACCTGAGCCTTTGACAAGGCAATGTGGCTCTGGCCATCCACCAGCTGAGGCAGGGAGAAGCACAGGACACAGAGTGAGGTAGGAGTCCCTCCTGCCCCCCATCCACCTTCCCTCACCTCCCTCATCCTCCTTCCTGCCTTGTTCTGAGTCTCCAGTCCCCGAAGGAAAGTCTTCTCGCCATCCTCGTCCAGGAGCCCGAAGCGAACATAGGCAACCCCCTGTACCGGCTGCCCATACATGTACCTGTGGCCACAGGGAGACTGGGAAGCTGGCTGGGGGCAATGTGTGGTCTGGAAGGGGAGAAGCACATCCCAGCCTCTGTGTTTGGGCCGGGTCTAGTAGGGGGAACATTACCTGGCCTGGATGTCCAATTGGATCTCATCAAGATAGTCAGCTGTGGTCAGGATATAGGGCTTTCCGGGGATGATCTTGACCTCAAAGTTGGGAAGGACTGACCCAGGTTGAAGGTATAAGCAGGTCAGACTCTAGTGAAAGGCTCTTCACAGACCCCTTCACTCCCCGGGGCTGTGGCACCCATATTTCCACATCTCTGCCCCATTGCCGCCACCCCTTCCCTTCCTCTCCTTATATTCTTCAGGGCAGTGGGAGTCCCAGTTCTCACCGTATTTCTTCACTTCAAACTGTGTGCTGCTGCTGGAGTTCAGGCTGTCTGAGAAGCGGGCTGAGATCCTCCAGGTCCCTGGCCTAAAGGTGGAGAAGGAAGGGACTGAGCCTGTCTGAGCAGGAGGGCCCCCAAGAGCTAGCGGCCTGCTTCGCAGGGTGAGGGTGTGAGGAGGAACCAGGAGCTGGGGTGATCCCAGTCGGGGAGCTCACTCGGAGATGTCTGGGATCACAAAGTCATCCTGGAAGAGGAGTTTGGAGGAGATGCGCACTACCTTCTTCTGAACCAGGAAGCCACGAGAGTTCTGCCAGGAGAGGGGAAGTGGTCTCATGCAGGGTCCCACCCACCAGTGGCCAGGGCTGGCAGGGCCAGAGGTCAGGGACTCACCTCCACAGTGACCGTCATGGCATCCACAGATGGGCGCATATCCTGATCCAGGGCAAAGATTCGGTAGCGGACTGAGGGTGGGAGGGGGAGTGGGACGGGACAGGTGAGCAGGAGTTTGTGTGCAAAGGGAGAGTGGGTCCAACCCCAGAGAGTGAGATGATGACTCATGCGCCAAGCAACCCTCCTGCTCAAGCACATCCTGAATGGGCTGGGAGAAGCTAAGGCACAAGCTAGGAGGCCCAGACTCACCCCCCTGGCCGGGATTATAGATGGGCTGGTCAGTCTGTAGGAAGATGTGTCCCCGGCGAGACGAAAATAGCAGGTTGATGCCCTGGGTGTCTGTCACTTTGGACAGAGAGTCCTTCAGCCATGGTGACCGGGCCATCAGCTGGACATGTTGTCTCAGGTCACTGAGACCACTGAGACCACAGCTCTCTACCCATGTCAGAGGCACCTGTCAAAAGAAGGAGAACTGCATCAGAGAGAGAGGGCTAAGAGACAGACACATGAAAGGGGACCACTCGGGTGGGAAGACAGAGGGAACCCGGGGGAGGACCCCAAAACAGCAGGATGAGGTGGAGGATTACCTGGAGGCTGAGGAGCGTGTAGCTTTTCTGTGAGCTAAGGGTGAAGTCCTGCTCTGTGGAGCAGGCACGCATAGAGTTCGGGTTTCTCAAGAACACAGACCCTTTCACGACCTGTCCTGGGGGTGCATCCTGGAGCAGTACCCCCACAGTGAGGGGGACCCCCAGACGAACCACGTTAGGAGAGAACAGGAGCAATCTGGGAGAACACCAAGGGCCAGCATCAGACATCATCCCGACCCCTCCACCGCACCCCAGGCCCCTCACCCTCATTCAGGGCATCCCACTTGTTGGACCTGCCCCCAACCCCAGCACCCGGCATCCTGCCTGCAGGACCTGGGCTTCTGGAGAGATAAGCCGAAGAAGCTGCAAGCCCAGAGCAGCCCCCAGAGGAGCCTCATGGCTGCAAGATCCGAGAGAGGTCAGCTCTGTTTGTCCGCCAGCTCTCTTCTGGTTGCTGTGGGGTTTGGGACAGTTGACTCTGGACCTTGTTCCTCCTCTGGCCCAGTGAAGCCGGGAAATCATGTGATAAGCAAGAAATGCAACTGGCCCCAGGCCCAGTGTTGGGGGGAGCCCAGCCACCTAGGAATTGGGAAGAATCTTGGCCAATCTTGGCTCAGAGATGGATCTCATCTTTTTTTTTTTTTAAAAAAAAAGATTTATTTGTTTTTATTACAAAGTCAGATATACAGAGAGGAGAAGAGACAGAGGAAGATCTTCTGTCCAGTGAGTCACCGCCTAAGTGAGCACAACAGCCAGTGCCGTGCCGATCTGAAGCCAGGAGCCAGGAACTTCCTCCAGGCCTCCCACATGAGTGCAGGATCCCAAAGTCTTGGGATGCCCTCGACTGCTTTCCCAGGCCACAAGCAGGAAGCTGGATGGGAAGTAGAGCTGATAGGGTTATAACTGGCACCCATATGGGATCCTGGTGCGTTCAAAGCAAGGACTTTAGCTGCTAGGCCACGCCGCCAGGCCCCGATGGATCTCATCTTAACCCCACTCATCCCAGAGCCTGGGAACTTCCCTTCAACCAGGTGTGCCTTTGTGCATGTGCTTGTGTAAACAAGGGTGCATAAGTAGCCTGGACGCACAGGAGTTTTTTCTTTTATCTTTTTTTTGAGAAATAGGAACAAAGAGATCTTCTATCTGCTAATTCACTGGATCCATAAACTCCATCTGGGTCTCCCAGATGGTGGCAGGAACCCAAATACTTAAACCATCATCTGCTGCCTACCACAGTGTGCATTAGCAGGAAGTGAGGTTAGAAAAGGCGGCAGGACTCAAACCCAGGCATCCAGATATCTGATGCAGGCACAGCGGCAGTTTAGTCAGATGTTCCGTAATGCCCAGCTCCACATAAGATATCAACAGGCTAAGCTAGGTGTGACCAAGGAGCCTGCCGTCACTCACGGGTAAAGAAACTGACAACAGTCTGGACTGGTCAAGGCAGCAATACCTGAATGTGCATCCTAAATAGGGTGTGGGGTGGGCTGGGCTACAACATTCACTAATTCATACAAGGCCAAATGGAATGCTAGACACTGGCCTAACACCCACTGGCATGTATGAGAACTGGGTCTGGGAGTGGGTCAAGTGGAGGAACTTGGGAAACTCCTCTGGCAGGTCAAAGCTCCTGCTGGTGAACACATGGTCCAGGCCTGGGGGTCAGACAAGCTGGGCAAAGTAGCTCCAATGGCTGGCTAATGTGTGGGTTGATAATGGAATGGGGTGGACCGGGCAGGCCCAAGCAAACCTTAGCTCACAAGCAAAAATAGAAATCAGGCTGGAATACAAGTCATGCCGAGCTAGGCTCTTACACCTACTGGTCTGCATGAGCCAGGGACGCTAGGCCACAGCATTTAAGGCAAAGGCTTAGACAGGTGAGGGGCTGTAGGAGGACATTGTGAGCCTGGAAGGCCAGCGAGCACAGGTTTGCAGTTCATTGGACAGTATTTGCATGACAACAACCAAATGGCTACCTTTGGTATAAACAGCATGTAAATGAGAACACCTGGTGTAATATACAAAACAAAAGGAATTCCAATCAAGAGAGGGAAACAGTACGGACTCTCAGTGTATAAAGTCTGATGCCCCTAATAAACTTCGGCTTTGACCATCAGTCAGGGTCCACGCGTGTTATTATCGGCTCCGTGCACCAAGTCCGTTGCTGCGGGACAGCGACAAGGGGCCATGCCAAGCTGAGTCAGAAAACCACTGGCATGTGCGTGATCTATGGCTGGGAATAGGCTCAGTTGGGGAGCTAAGGGGACACCCTGAGGAACGCAGGGGCTGGAGTGGGGGCTCAGTCTGGTCTGGATATGGCTGCAGTCTCCCTTGGCACAAGTGTGGACTGGGACTGGACGCACCAAGCTGGGCTAGACGCCAGCACCATCTGGTGCTCTGGAGAACCAGGGTAGATGTAGGATGGTCTAGGCTAGGTCTCTGCCCCTACTGAGCCATGTGTGAGCTGTGTTTGGGTATGGACAAGCCTTGGCTGGGCTGAAACATCCAACGATAAGAACCAGAATGGGTTGAAGGCCAGTCAGGAAAGGCCACTGTTGTTGCTAGGACAGGAGGTAGACTGAGTAGGGTTGGCTCATGGGCCCACCGATATGCATGAAATCTGGCATTGGGAGAGGTTCTGATGGAGGAGCCTGGGTGACTCCTCTGGCAGGACACAGATCCTGCATGTAAGCGCAAGAAGCACAATAAGGAACAGACCACACAAGGCTAGGGAAAGGTACCCACTGGCATACATTTGGCACAGGTCAGGGGCAGACCAGGCTGAATCAGTTCACATTAGCCACTGACAAATACAACCCCCAGAACAGTGTGGGTCGGGCCAGGAATGGTCGCAACACATACAAATACACATTTCAGCTGGGATAGGGTACACGCTGGGCTGGGGTAGATTGTAACCCAAACCAGCTGGAATTGGGGGTGGGCTGGGGCTAGGCTACAGCACCTACTAGCAAATGCCAAGCTGAGGTGGGCCATGCCAGACTGGGCTGCAGCACTAGTAGGAACCAGGGACAGAGGGAGTACAGTTGGTAGGGGGAGTGTGGAGGGCCCCTCTGCTGGAACACCTCGCCCACTGGAGAGCATGAGTTAGGATGGGGGCAGAGCTACAACAGCTGTGGGCCTCATGCGAGCCAGATCAGGGAAGAGCGAGGCTTGGTTGACTGTCCCTGCTGGTGCAAACATAAAGCAGAATGGGTGAGGCTTGGTTGGGCTTTGCTGCAGCATCAGATAGCAGATGCTGGCACCGGTGGCTAATCTGTCAAGTTGAACTGCAGAACCATCCGGAAAGTGCATGATCCAGGAGTGGGAGTGGCCTAGGAGGGAAATAATGGGCACCTTCCTTTTGGGTTACCACTCCCACTATAGAACATGAAAACCAGGTCTGGGGCAGGGGTGGCTGGACAGAATGGCACCCAACAGCATGTGTGTGGGCTAGATAGTCAGGCTGGTTGGGTTGAACTAGGCTTCAATGCCTATTGACATGTAATGAGAGCTTAATGATATGTGGGACAGAATGGACTTGTCTGCTGTACATACTGGCAAGCACGGGAACTAGGGCAGGGGGCAGGCCTTGTGGGTCGTTCCGACTAGATTTCAGCTCCCACTGGTTTATGTGAGGGCCAAGTGTGTGCTGGGCAGAATCAGGCTTGACTACAACACACATTGGTTTGTGGGAAGACAGGACTGGAAACAGAACCGACCCAGCAATTGCAACCACCAGCTGATTGGGGCGATGGACTGTGCCGGGCCCTGTACCGTACACACAAGAATCAGGTCTGGGATCACCTCAGACAAAGTTTTTTGGGGACCACCCCAATCAAACTGCCAGACTCAGACCCCAGCCATGAAGAAAAATGTAGGTTTCATGGTCTGCCATGGAGTGTAAGTGCCAGAGCCGAGCCTCCTAAGAGGCCCAGATGGAGCAGTGGACAGAACAATCAGCTGCACATGGAGGATTTGGCAGTCTATCAGAACCTGCAGAGGACACCTGGTACCACAACAGAGGACAGAATAAATCAATCAACTACCCCAGCCATGTGTTGGCAGTGAAAAACTGGGCAAACAGAGACTCTAAGGTGGACTATGTCAATTAGTGGATTCATCACAACACCTGTGGGCTACATCATGCTTGGAGTGGCAAGATTGGCAGCAATTCATAACTGTTGAACTATCAAAACCACTTGAGCAAGACCTTCGGAGCATGCCCCACATCGGGGACCTGGGATGGGTGGGAGGCTGGGTGGGGCTTCTCCCTTTATCTCTCCCCTTACCGCAGATACAGAAAAAAAGAGAATGTGGAAATAATAGTCTTACTTTCCTGTAGCCCTTGAACCTATTTGCCCTAATTAACCATGTAAAGACTGTCAAAAAATAAATAAAGTTTTAAAAAGAAGAAAAGATATCAACAGGCTGTAACATGATGAAACAAGGATGGGCTTTTAATTACTTATTTGAGACTTATTTATTTGAAGGCCACAGTTATAGAGGTCTTCCATCTGCTGGTTCTCTCCCAAATGGCTGCATTGGCTGGAGGCAGGCTAGCTGGAAACCAGGGGCTTCTTCTGGTTTGCTAAGTGGGTGGAGGGATCCAGGAACTTGGACTGTCCTCTACTGCGCTTCTAGATGCATTAACAGGGAGCTGCATGGACAGGGAGCAGCTGGGATTCAAACTGGTGCCTGTGGGATGCCAGCACTACAGGTGGCAGCTTAACGGCTAAGCCACAACACTGCCCCCAAGCATAGCTTTTAAGACACTTGCCTTTCACTGGTGCCAACACAACTAAAACATACCAGGCTTTGCTTTCTGAAGTCCTAACAGGGTGTAAGTTTAGATCAGGTGCACCCTCACCACCCGTGGGGAAAGCTGACCAACAGAAACAGGACTCCTTTTCCACTCTGACAATGAAGCAAAGCTCAGGTTTTAGCTGGGCTTTACCTCTGTCCCCAAACAAGGCACTAAGGCACACTTGTCACACTAAATAAAGGACAGTCCAGATAACGTCACAAGCAGAAGTACTTTATTTGGATTTATTTCAGCTCAACACATAGGGAAAGGAACCCTGCCCTTCTCCAGCCTCCCCAGCAGCCCCACCTTCTAGCACCTTTCACAGGACGGGTAGCAGTCCCAGCCCCCATTTTTGCAGAAGGGCGAGGAAGCATTACACAAAATCCCCACACTGGGCTGGAGTCCAAGCAAACAGCAGCAGTCCCATCGAGCCTTTAAATCAACGACAGCCTGTCACTCATCCCGGCTCCCAAGTTTTTCCAAGGTGATCCTGACTCAATCGCCCTTGGGAATTACTGCCAGGCCACTGTCTCCCCGCTCTGAGGAAGTGCACAATGACCAAGAGAATCCTCACGTGTCCGGCAGGTGGAGGAGAGTTCCAGAAGTGGTGGCAACACTGTGCAGGAGAAAAAAAAAGGCTGAAGTGAGCTGTCCAAGCCCGAGGTGGGAGGAGAACTCAGAACACAGCAAGGGATATTCCCAGGCTCCAGAGAGGAACGTGAGAAGAACCAGGCTTCACTAGTGGACTAATGAGCCGAGCAAATTCTGCCTTGCTCTCATCTGCCACAGGCCAGGGTGAGGGGAGGGGAGGGGAAAACTCACCAGTCCACCAGCTCAGCCCCAATAAGGTCATGTACGTGGTAGTTCAGGCCAAGTCGCACCGCTGCAGGCGCCCGCCGGCCCAAGAGCTCTGACAGGAGCAGCTCCCGGTACTTGGCCTTCCGGATCATGCCAAGGACGGCCTGGCGTCCTGGAGGAAATATGGAAAGGTGAGTAAGGTCTAGAGGTCTGTTTAGCTTCCAAAATGTGTTCTGAGCTACAGAAAGAATACCTTTAACAAAGTACTTGATGAATTTCCCAGCTCCCGGCACCGCCAGCCACCAGCTCCCAGCATCACGGACAGTGAGGACTCCAGCATTCACCAGGTGCCTGATGGAGGCCAGGAAAGATGAGGCCTGGGCTCTGAGAACCATCACCTTCACATCTTACCCACATCTGGGCACATGGATAACCAGGACAGTAAAACCCCAGCCTGTGGCAGCTCTCCGCTCACACCCGCTGCTGGCTGCCTCCACCTGGACTTCTCCACTGCCTACTGTTACTCACCATAACACCTACTGTTACTCACTGCTTCAGGAACCCCTCTGACCACACGCCCTGATGCACATGCGGGGCTACCCCCAACAGGAAACTCAGATCTCCTGGGTTTCCCTGCTACTGTCCTTGAAGACCTCAGCATGCCTCCTGCCACATCTTTTTCCTTTTATTTATTTATTTTTAAATTACTCTATTTCAGAGACAGAAGGAGACAGAGAACGAATGATCTTCCGTGGATCTTGTGCTGGTTTACTTCTCGAAATACCCACAACAGTTGGCGCTGCATCAGGCTGAAGCCAGAGCCCATGTTCAATCCAGTTCTCCCATGTGGGTGGCAGGAACCCAACTACGTGAGCCATCACCTAGGACCCTGCTCCCAGGTGGGCATCGGCACAATGCCAGGACTCAAGTGGGAGGCAGGTGTCCCAGGTAGCCTCTCCATCCTTCACCAAATGCCAGCCCCTCCTGCCCCATCTTACCACCGATATCTGTCTCTCAACATGAGATCAGCACTTTAATGATGCTGTCACATTCGCCATGAAGTACAAAGTGGAGGCCAGAGCCTGATACAGCCCTTTGACGTTAGGTTTCTATTCAGCCTTTGTCTTTGTTTTAAATGGCATTTAGGAGAACCCTGGCTCCTAACACTCCCTATCCTCAGTCTGAACATGAGTATCAGGCATCTATGGTTCCTGCCAGGCTCCAAATGCATTTGGGAAGCTGCCCAGAGCTCATGAATTCCAGGCCGCAACTTCTGCAGGGAGGAGTATAAATTTGAGTCAATTTATTAAAAACAAGAACTGGGCTTTTTTGGAAGGTTCCCCAGAAAGGAGAGGGCAAGGTTGGGAAATGTCAGACCCCTGACTCAGCTGGCCCCCAAGTCTCACGTGATCTCCGGGTCCCGAAAGCCAAAAGTCTGAGTCATCTGTTCCTGCTGGAAACTGAGGTCCCCGCACACTGGAAGTACTGAGGTCAAAAACTTGTGCACTGCCCCAGCGTACGGTCGGCCATCACAGGCCTTGAGCACCTAGAGCCAGAGAAGAGAGACGAAGTCTGGGCCCACCCTCCCCTGACCTAACCTCCCCAAGACAGCGCCTCTCTTCAGCTTTCCCTCCAGGTCAGCTTCCTCCCCTGCCCATGGCTGTCCTCGCCCCACCCTGGCCCCCCACCGACCCCGATGCCCACACATGGCCACACGTACTCTGGTCCTGTAGTCCTCGGTGAAGACAATCCCGTGGGCATCCAGGTCAAAGCCCAGCTGGATGATTCTGATCTCCCCCTGCTCCTGAAGCTCCTTCTGTCTCCACAGGGATGGGAGTGGAAAGAAGAGGGTCAGGGTAGAGGCTCTGCTGTGCGCTCAACTCTTACCCAGGGAGGTTTTATTTGCCAGCACAGGGGGGATTTGCTATGTGGGAGATAATCAGGCAAATCACAAAACAACCTCTTCCCTCCTGTTACCCACCCTTCCTCCGGTCCCCCCACCCTTCCTCAGGTCCCCCCACCCTTCCTCCGGTCCCCCCGCCCTGTGAGTGCAGTCCACCCGCCCTGTGAGTGCTCCATGGATCAGTAGCTACTTTCGGAGGCCAATCCTATGCCAGGCGCTGAGATAAAATAGTAGTTAAGATACAGTATCCAAGGAATCAAGACAAGGGGTGAGTAGGAGGATTATGGAATCAAATGTTTAAAAAAAAATAAATCAAGACTTTGCAACAATACAGGAAGAAAGTACCCATTCATTAAAAATCAACCAAAATGTTGGAAAACAGATTGTACTTAAACTGTGTAAGCAAAAGTACTTACAAGATAATACAATTATCACACTAATACAATACCTAAGTGTTCACAAGAACTGACAGAGATGGGACAGAGGACATTTGCTAATGTAGGCAAATCGACCCAGTCATACTCGGAAACTTGACACAGGAAGTGCAACAGCACAATCTAGAAGAAACAGGTAATAGAATAGATGCAAAAAAGACAGGCAATAGCGGAATTGTCAAAAAAGACAATGAGGGACCCAGCACGGTAGCTTAGTGGCTAAATCTTTGCTTTGCATCTGCCGGGATCCCATATGGGTGCTAGTTTGTATTCCACCTGCCCCACTTCCCATCTAGCACCTTGCCTGTGGCCTGGTAAAGCCATCCAGGACAGCCCAAAGCCTTAGCACGCTGCACCCACATGGGAGATTAGGAAGAAACTCCTACCTCCTGGCTTCAGATCAACTCCGCTTTGGCCATTCACTCCACTTGGGGAGTGAATCAGTGGATGGAAGATCTTTCTCTGTCTCTCCTTCTCTCTGTGCCTATGCCTTTCCAGTAAAAAGTAATGAACTTAAAAATAAAGGGGAGGGGGGGGTAATTTTAAAAAAAAAATGCTTGAGACTAGCAAGATAGCCCAGTGGCTAAATTTTCACCTTGCACACCCAGGATCCCATACAGGCACTGGTTCATGTCCCAGCTGCATCACTTCCCATCCAGCTCCCTGCTTGTGGCCTGGGAAAGTAGTCGAAGATGCCCCAAAGCTTTGGAACCCTGCACCCGTGTGGGAGACCCAGACGAGGCTCAGGGCTCTGGCTTCAGATTGGCACAGCTCCACCTGATGTGGTTGCTTGGGGAGTGAATCAACAAATGGAAAATCTTCCTCTCTCTCTCTCTCTCTCTCCTCTCTGTATATCTGACTTTCCAATGAAAAAAAACCTTTTTTTTTTTCATTTTTAATATATTTTTATTTTGAATTTTGAATTGTGTAGCACAATTTTGTATAGGCTGAGATTCCACCCCCAAACTCCCACCCTCTTCAGATTTTTCCCATTTTGTTATAATAGTGTAGTCCTTCATAAGGAATCATAATTCCATCAGTCTCTTATTTAACTGTACCCTGACATTCTTGGTACAGACAATGTCAGAGAGCCCAGCATCCCATTGTCTACACATGTCCAACAGTTTCATTGGGAATCCAGCTTTCGTCTGGATGCAGGGATGCATGTCCCATTGTACCCCCATGTCTGTATATGATAGACCCCAGTACTCCATCACTATACATTACCATAAGTGAGAGGCAATGAAACAAGGTCAACAACTGGTATGAGTTAGAACAGCCACAACAACATCAACAACAAATTAAAGTACTATGAAAAAAAAAAAGTGCCACTGAGTAACCAACACATGAGTGACAAAAAGGAAGCACACACACAAAAAAAAATCAAAAAGAAAAAATAAAGTCAATGAAATTAAGTCTTTGAGGAGCTAGTGCAATAGCCTAGTGACTAAATCCTCACCTTGCATGCACTGGGATCTCATATGGGCACTAATTTGTATCCCATTTGCCCCACTTCCCATCCAGCTCCCTATTTGTGGCTTGAGAAAGCAATAGAGAAGGGCCCAAAGCCTTGAGACCCTGCACCCACTGCAGAGTTCACTTGGGGAGTGAACTAGTGGACAGAAGATCTCTTTCCTTTTCTCAGTATATTTGGCTTTCCAATTAAAAAAAAAAAGAAAGAAAGAAAGAAAAAGAAAGAACGAAAGAAAGACTTTAGAAGATTGGTTTAATGCCTGAGGCAGAGCTAAATAAAATGCTATTGATCTGTAAGACAGATTGAAATCTAACCAGAATGCATATGGAAAGCCAAAAACACACAAAGTATAGCAAAGGATTTAAGAGACTTACAAGGGACAGAAAAAAAGATCGAATGCAAGTTTAAAACCCAGAAAGAGATAAATAGGGGAAATACCTGAAGAGACAACAAACCCACAATCACAGAAGTGTATCAGTCCAACTCCCGTGAGTTCACAGAAAACAGTCAAACTGATCGGTGAAAAAACAGAATTATTAGTAACTTCAGTCACTAAGAGGCTAGTAACTTAGGTAATACACATTTTTCTCCAATAAGCAAAGAATACTTAGTACAACTGCCCATACAAAAGCACAACACAAAGCAAAACTAGTCTAAATAAATTCCAAATGACTGAAAAATAGTATCTGGTTACAATGTCCTTTACACCCCAAATAATAACAACACAATGCAAAAAATGTTTGCAAATCATCACATACATTTTGTTCCTTCATTCATTCACTCAAATGGCAGAGCAAAAAAGCGCTCTTCCAAGCCGCTGGTTAATTCCACACAAAAGGCGTAACAGCCAGTTAGCAGGAGGCTGGATCAGAAGCGGAGCAGCCAAAATTTACATTTGCACTCAGGTCCAGATGCTGGCATCACAACCCACAATCCACTAACCACAACACCGCCCTAACATACAGTTCTCATTGACTCAATGAGTCAAACAAAAAGATCAAAAAAGGGACTAGAAGATATTTTTAGCTAATGGATAATGAAAATATAAACCCAAACTTGTAAAATATATGTGTACATGTAACATTTCTAGGAAAACTATAGCATCATATGCATATGGTAAAACAGAACGAATGGAAATTAATGGAAAAATAAGGTTTAATAAACATAAAACCGGCAGATTGGCTTAACAGTCTATCCTCCTCCTGCTGGCTGCAGCAGCCCATATGGGTGCCGGTCCGGGTCCCATTTCCATCTAGCTCCCTGCTTATGAACTGGCAGCAGCGGAGGACAGCCCGAAGCCTCAGAACCCTGCACCCGTGTGGTAGAACCAGAAGAGGCTCCTGGCTCCTGGCTCCCTACGGGATCAACTCTGGCCATTGAGACCATCTGGTGAATGAACCAGTGGATGGAGGATTGTTTTGTCTCTCCTTTTCTCTATAAATCTGCATTTCCAATACAAATAAATAAATCTTTTAAAAAAATCAACAAAAACAAGACTGATTACTTGAAAAAGCATCAAAATTCAGTAAGTTCTACTGACACTGGCGAGCAGTGATAAGGAAAAACCACTGATAAGCAATATAAGGGGTGAAAAACACATCATCACAACAGATCTAACAAAGACTAAGATGAGGTTACGAACTTTGTGCCACTGAATTTGAAAATTTACATGAAATTTATTAATTGGATCCAGTGTGATAGCATAACAGTTAAGGTCCTCACCTTGAACATGCCAGGATCTCTTATGGGCGCCAGTTCTAATCCTGGCAGCTCCATTTCCCATCCAGCTCCCTGCTTGTGGCCTGGGAAAGCAGTCAAGGATGGCCCAAAGCCTTGGGACCCTGCACCCACGTGGGAGACCTGGAAGAGGCTCCTGGCTTCGGATTGGCTCAGCTTCAGCCATTGTGGCCGCTTGGGAAGTGAACCATGGGATGGAAGATCTTCCTCTCTGTCTCTCCTCCTCTCTATATATCTGCCTTCCCAGTAAAAGTAAATAAATCTTAAAAAAAAATAAAAAAAGAAATGTATCAATTGTTAGAAAAATAAAAATTATTTCGCTAGAATGGACAAATTGGGATATCCTCACATAATAGAGATCTATGAGATGAATCAACTCTGCACAACTTGGAAGAATCTTCAGACATAATAAACACAAAAGAAAAAGACATAATAAATACAATATCTGAGTCCATTCCTGCTGCTATAACAAAACACCTAAAGCTGACCAACTGACAAAAAACCAGAAATTTCTCTCATTTTGGACAGTCTATAGTTCCTAGTGAAGGCTAGGTGTCTGTTTCCCAGATCCATCATCACAGCATCCCCTGGAGGCGACACGTGCCAAGGCCTCACTGGGCACCAGGGGTGGGAATCCCAGGCAGCTCTCGGAGGCCGCTCTAAGAAGCCACTGACTTGGGGCTGGTGCCGCGGCATAGCCTGCTAAGCCTCCAACAGCAGTGCCAACATCCCTTTTAGGTGCCAGCAGCTCCACTTCCATTCCAGCTCCGAGCTAATAGCTTGGGGAAGCAGCAAAGACAGCCTAAGTGTGGAGGTCCCTGCATCCACAAAGAGGACACAGAAGAAGCTCTTAGCTTCTGGCTTTGGGCTCTGCTGGCTGCGACCATTTGGTCAGTGAGCCAGTGGAAAGATCTCTTTCTCAAGTCAATCAACCAGCTCAGCTATATGTTGGCAGTGAAATACTGGGCAAATGGAGACTCTATGACGGACTATGTCAATCAGTGGATTCCTCAACGACCTCATAGTGCTTGGAGTAGCAAGATGGGCAGCGATTCATAACTGGTGAACTACCAAAACCACTTGAGCAAGAATCTCGGAGCATGCCCCACATCCGGGACGTGGGGTGGGTGGGAAACTCGGTGCGGCTTCTCCCTTAAAACTCCCTTTAGCTCAGATACATGAAGGAAACAATATGGAAATAACAGATTTATCCACTTTCCTAAAGCCCTTGAACCTTTTTACCTTAACTATGTAAACCTTAAAAAGTCTCTTTTCTTCTCTTTTTCTAACTTTTTTTAAAAAAGATTGATTTCTATTGGAAAGACAGATTTACAGAGAGAAGGAGAAACAGAAAGATCTTTCATCCTCTGGTTTACTCCCCAAGTGACTTCAAAGGCCGAAGCTGAGTCTATCTGAAGCCAAGAGCCAGCAGTGTCTTCTGGGTCTCCCATGTGGGAAAAGAGCTTCAGGCTCTTTTCTACTGCTTCTCCATGCCCCAAGCAGGGAGCTGGAAGGGAAGTAGAGCAGTGGGGACATTAAAAAGTACCTGCATGGGGTCACAGATGATGCAAGGTGAGGATTTAGCCACTAGGCTACTACACCAGGCCCCCCTTTCTTCTAACTATTTGAAATAAAATTAAATACGTCTAAAAAAAGGCACTAACACCATTCCTGAGGGCAGAGCCCTTATGATTTGATCATTTCTCGAAGAATCCCACCTCTTTAACACCATTGTACTGGGTATTAGGCTCCAACATTTAAATTTCACAGGGATATCCAGCCTGACAAATTTATATGCTTCTCACACGTACAATACATTCGTGCCATCCCAATAACTAGAAGATTGTTAACTTGCACATATTCAAAGCATAGAGTACTGTCATCTAATTCAGATATGGGTATGATTCAATGGGGTTTTTCATTCAGAGGCAAACTGCTATGGAATCAAAAAGGTTACATGCCTCCAACGTTCAATGATTAGAATTTAAACCCCAGGGGTGTCGAGGCGGGTGGGGGGGGGGGAAGAACTGCATTGTGGCATAGGAGGCTAAGCCTCCACCTGCAGTGTTGTCATCCCATATGGACACTGGTTTGTGTTCAAACTATTTCTAATCCAGCTCCCTGTTATAGCCTAGGAAGGCAGCAACGGATGGCTCAAGTCCTTGGACCCTGCACTCACATGGGAAGAGGCTTCTGGCTTTGGATTGCCTTAATTCCAGCCATTGTGGCCCTTTGGAAAGTGAACCAGCAGAGATGTCTCTCTCTCCTCTTTGTAAATCTGCCTTTAAAATAAAATTCAGGGCCCGGCGGCGTGGCCTATTAGCTAAGGTCCTTGCCTTGAACACGCCAGGATCTCATATGGGCGCTGGTTCTAATCCCGGCAGCCCCACTTCCCATCCAGCTCCCTGCTTGTGGCCTGGGAAAGCAGTCGAGGATGGCCCAATGCTCTGGGACCCTGCTAAGCTCCAGCTGTTGTGGCCGCTTAGGGAGTGAATCAATGGATGGAAGATCTTCCTCTCTGTCTCTTCTCTCTGTATGTGTGACTTTGCAATAAAAATAATCTTAAAGAAAAAAAAAAAAAAAAGGAAGAAGAGGCACAAAGCTACAGCAAGAGTTTGACTAGCATGGAACCCTGGTCCCTACTCTTAAACAAACAAACAAACAAACAAAAAGCTAAATTCCTTTCTCAAATGGCCCAGGCTGTTATTCTGTTTTAGCAGCACAGACTATAGCACATGCAATGATTTCAAAATGGATGATCTTAAATTTTGCTGTTTCAGAATGTGTAGGTAGGTGACAGAAAGAAAAGAAACAATCATCCCAGCAGTCGGGAGTAGCAGTGGGCTCCCAACACACAGGACGTTCTGTTAGAGGAACATAACGTGGGATTTTGACCACGCTCTATTTAGACAACAGTTAAATGCTTTACAAGCATTTTTCTTCTTCCTCTTTTTCTCCGCAGCTGCGGACAGAGAAGCTTTATTTGTGAAGTGATGGGTGAGTTGTGGAAAGAGGGAAGGGGAAAGCACCATCTGGAAGAGAGCCGGGAGAGACACCAAAGGTGTGAGGAAGGGTCTTGGGATTTTAGGGGTCCCTGACGCTCCCCTACTGGGTGGCAGCCTACAGGTACAACGTTCCCCATTGGTGGTTTCTACAAGCATTCTTTAAGTTGTGCAGATATGTTTATTTTGTATGTATATAACTTAGAAAATGTAAATACCAATACACTAAAAGCCACCTTTGGTTTTTTTTTATATAATCTTCAAGTAATGTTCCATCGCCTTGTCTCCTCTTGTGAAATTACAGCCAGCCTGTCTTCTGCTTCTTTTTCCCTTTTCATGACAGATTGTCGTTAACCCTCTACCTGCTAAAGCCAGTGGAGATTTCAGTCTTTTACTTGACTCTTCACAGAACACCGCCTTGAATCACAGATGCTAACACGAACAATTACTCCCACTTTGTTGAAAATCATACTTTTTTTTAGTTATTCAGAAAGTCTTACTTAATAGACTTCTTGGTTTCAATTCAGCAATTCCTTCTTAGTCTCTTTCAGACTCCTCTTCCTCTACTTCTGTTTTTTTTGTTGTTGTTGTTTTGTTTCTTCTTTTTTTTAAGATTTATTTTTATTCAGAAGACAGATTTTACAGAGGACGGGGGTGGGTCTTCTGTCCATTGGTTCACTCCCCACTGGCTACTACAGCCGAGGTGAACCGATCTCAAGCCAGGAGCTTTTCCAGGTCCCCCATATGGGTGCAGAGGCCCAAGGACTTGAGCCATCCTCCACTGTCTTCCCAGGCCATATGCAGGGTGCTGGATGGGAAGTGAGTTGCTGCTAATTGAATCAGCGCCCATACGGGATGCCGGGACTCACAGGTGGAACACTAGGCCGCTAAGCTACAGTGTCAGCTCCTGCTTTCTTCTATCAACGGATCTCAATAAAAATCACTTAAGGCAGCAGTTCAAAAACGTAGACACAAAAATGCAGAGCAGCCAGGACATGAACCAGCACCCATTTGGGATCCTGCTGCTTGCAATTGGAGGATTAGTCTGTGCAGCCACCATGCTACCCTGTGACATTTAATTCTGTAACACTGACTCACAACTCTCTCGAACCTTCATACTCAAATGTCTACAACATTTGCCTTCGGATGCTCCACAAGCACCTCCAGCTCAACTCATGCTAAAGAAACTCACCATCTGGCCCCCCACCAACTGCTAAACGATCCAGTGGGTCTGTCATCTGGAACAACGGAGTTTTCTGGAAGACTTGGGCTGCTGGGCTGTCCTCCCTTCCCACACAGCCCTGCCTCTAGCTTTTTCCAGTTCTTGGCTGTGCCACCTGCCTAACCTGCCAGCCTGGTCCACCCTTTCCTCCCAGCCAGCCTCCTGCAGGGCCAGCCCATCGATGGAGCCGTTTCCCCCAAGCCTCGCCCTCCCATCCCCACGGTGCCCGAGGGTCTCTGCGCAGCGTTTGCAGCCATCTGCGTGGCACCCCGGGGCCTGGCACAGTGCTTGCTCAGTGTCCGAGCGGCTGCGTGGCTCCGACGCCCCTCACCAGCTGCCGGTCGGCCGCCGTCCTGTCGGGCAGCAGGCTGTACACTTGGCTCCTCAGCACGATCGGCGGGAGCGCATCCTCGAACAGGGCTCGCGGGAACAGCTGCACCAGCTGGGCCACCGCCTCGCGCGCCGACCCTGGACGGAGAGGTCGGGTCAGGGACGCGGGAAGGGGACGCGGGACCAGGGAAGGGGATCAGCCCCGCCCCGAGGTCGCCATGGTTACCTGACTCGCCCCTCAGAGGATCCGCGTTTACAGGCCCTCGCTCCCGTCGCCTCTTCAATCCAAAATTATCCGGGATTAGCCGCCGCCTCTTCAGGCTCATATCCTAGGATTCTATGGTATCTGAGAAAGCAGTGGAGAGGGAAGAGAACTTGAAAATAGGGTTTTCCGGTGCAAAGTGATGACGTACATGGCTGGGTGTCCCTCTTTGGAAATCATGTGACTTAAGCAAGTGCCGCGATGTGATGACGACAGAGGCCTCCCCAGTCTCTGGCTCCCTGTTGGGCGGGGCAAGAGGAGGGGCAGTGCGGCTGTTAGTTCCGCCTCCTACCCCATGATGCCGCTGATTGGCTCCCACACACAGCCCTCACGTCCGGGTCCCCGGGGGCGGCGTGGAGAGGCGCGGGTGGCCACGTTGGGCTCTACCTCCCCTGGCCAAGCTCGCCGCTCCCCCACCCCTGAGGGGGGTTGCCCGGTGCTGGCGCTGAATGATTGCATCATCGGAAGCGGGCGCCCACCGCATCCCCTTTTGACTTCTGACATGCCTGCCCTGACGTCATAGCCCGGCGGAGGTAGATGTCCAGGTGGGGTTGGAGGTGGACCTTTGAGATGTCCAGATCTTTCATGGAGGCGGAACTTGGGTTTATTAGATCTGAGGGCTGGAGGACGCAGCGTGAGCTTTTGTCTCTGGTTGTATTGGACGCCGAGTCTGCCTGATTGAAGGCCAGAATCCAGTCACCCTTCTTCAGACCTCCTGTGTAAAATGCAAACTGTCCTTCCTCTCCCTTCTGCTCCCAGGACTCCATGGAGCCCAGAGGAACCAAGAGAGCCCCTGGGAAGATAGAAGTCGCTGAGCCCCGGAGAAAACTCCCCCGCGGAGCCCCATCACTACCGACAGACCCCGCCCTCTACTCGGGGCCCTTCCCCTTCTACAGGCGCCCTTCCCAGCTGGGCTGCTTCTCCCTGGATGCACAGCGCCAGTACCACGGGGATGCCCGAGCACTGCGCTATTACAGCCCGCCCCCCGTCAATGGCCCGGGCCCTGACTTTGACCTCAGGGATGGATACCCTGATCGCTACCAGCCCCGGGACGAGGAGGTCCGGGAGGGCCTGGACCACCTGCTACGCTGGCTGCTGGAGCACAGAGGCAAGCTGGAGGGGTGAGCGAAGCAGAGCACGCAGTACATCCAGAGATCTGCACCTCCCTCTGAAAGAGAGCGAGGCTGTGCTGGAGTGGGACCTTAAGCTGTGCTCTAAGAGCTGTCTGAGCTAGTGCTTGTGCCAGAGCCTTAGCTAGATCCTTTTTTTAAAAAAAAAAAATTGGAATGCAGTTATAGAGAGGAGACAGAGTGAGCTCTTCAACTTGCTGGTTCACTCCCACTCTCCTGTGGCTACAACGCACCAGGCCAAAGCCCCAGATTCCATCTGGGTCTCCCACATAGCTAGCAGTAATCCCAAGTGCTTGGGCCCATCATCCAGTGCTTTCCCAGGTGCATTAGCAGAGCTGGACTGGAAGTGGAGCAGCTAGACTTGAACTGGCCCTTATATGCAATGTTGGTGCCATGGGTAGCAGCTTAACGTGCTGTGCCACATCAGCCCCTCAACTCCTCCTTTTCAGGGGTCCAGGCTGGCTGGCAGGGGCTGTTGTGACGTGGCGGGGGCACCTGACAAAACTGCTGACCACACCATATGAGCGGCAAGAAGGCTGGCAGCTGGCAGCCTCCCGGTTCCAGGGGACACTGTACCTGAGTGAGGTAGAGACCCCGGCTGCGCGGGCTCAGAGGCTTGCTCGGCCGCCCCTCCTCCGGGAGCTCATGTACATGGGGTACAAGTTTGAGCAGTTCATGTGTGCAGGTGAGAGTTGCCCCCTCCTGTGGCTCGCTTTCTCCCTCCTCAGGGGTTGACAGCTCCCAGCCCTGCAGTCGCCTCTCTTCTTGTGCAGACAAACCTGGAAGCTCCCCAGACCCCTCCGGGGAGGTTAACACCAACGTGGCCTTCTGCTCGGTGCTACGCAGTCGGCTGGGAAACCACCCTCTGCTCTTTTCGGGGGAGGTGGACTGCACAGACCCCCAGGCCTCATCCCCACAGCCTCCGGCCTGCTACGTGGAGCTCAAGACCTCCAAGGAGATGCACAGCCCCGGCCAGTGGAAGAGCTTCTACAGGTTCATGACCAAGGCTGCCTCAAATTCACAGTTGGGAAAGGAACTTGGGGAGGAGGTTGAGGCCCGGGGGTGAGGACAGAATGGAGGAGGGGTTTTGCTGACTCCTTTCTTTCCCGGCAGACACAAGCTCCTGAAATGGTGGGCTCAGTCGTTCCTCCCAGGGGTCCCCAACGTTGTTGCTGGCTTCCGTAACCCAGAGGGGGTGGTCTGTTCACTCAAGACCTTCCCTACCATGGAGATGTTTGAATTCGTCAGGGTAAGGCAGTGGCGTCAGCTCTGACCTGTGTCCCCTGGTATCAACACCACAAGTCCACCAGACAGGGCTGGGGTTTCCCTCCCCGTCTCTCCACTCTCACTGCCTGTCTTCTGCCTTCTCTTCTACCCACTGCAGAATGACCGTGACGGCTGGAACCCCTCTGTGTGCATGAACTTCTGTGCTGCCTTCCTTAGCTTTGCCCAGAGCACAGTCACCCAGGATGACCCCAGGTGAGGCAATCAGTTCCATCCATCTTCCCTACATCCCAGGGGCCCAGTCTCCAGCCCTCAACCCATGTTTCTGTGTCCATCCAGGCTTGTCCACCTCTTCTCCTGGGAGCCTGGTGGCCCAGTCACTGTGTCGGTACATCAAGACGCACCCTATGCCTTCTTGCCCACGTGGTATGTGGAAGCCATGACCCAGGACTTCCCACCACCCCCCAAGACACCTTCCCCCAAGGACTAATGCTTCAGAGGCGCTGGCCTGTCTATACAGATAATAAAGGTGTATTTCTAAAATGTTTCTCCCTGCTGCACTGGCTGAGCTCAGTGCTCCCTTCCCAACACTTCGCACACACCTCGTGTGGTTTGCTGTTTTTATTCTACCTTTATAAGGGGTCATTCACTGGGTGTAGAGGCTGGCTGCGAAGACAATGTCCCGCCGAAGCAGCGTGGCTGCTGTCTCCATCTTAGCACCTAGCACAGGCTCCCCTACCAGGCGGGCTGCCCCACGCAGGGAACGACACATTTCAGCCAGGCGCTGGATGCAGCGGACCACGAGGCCCTCGGGGGTCCCAGAGAGCCCTGCCAACTCAGAGAAGGGCTGTGGGGAGAACAAAATGAAGACTCAGTGTGCTAGGCCTGGACAGCCTTGCCCCATTCAGCCACTTGCAAAACCCCACAGCCAAGGTACTCACCATGCCCCGGGCCCACTCGTACACAACCTCAACCAGTCCAAAATTCAGCTCTCCCACAAATTCCTCCACCGTCTGGTTTAGGCCACAGGCCACCTGGACCTCACCAATCCTCTTGGCCACAGACTGGACACGTTCCATACCCTGCATGGAGGAAGAAAGGGTAAGGCCTGCCTCCCTGCTCCAGGGCTGGGATCACCAAGATCAAGGACCCCTACTCCAAAGAACTCATGGGATTGGAGGGAGTCACCTGGGAAATGCAGAGGCAGTAGTATCCCCTACCTGCTTCAGAGTATTAGGGAGCTGGTCCCCAGGGTCCCCGGGGCTCTGGCAGACAAGGCCAGAGAGAAGCGCTGCAATCTCCTCTGGCCGCAGGGCACTCAGGGCGTTGTCAAACAGGAGCTCAGTGAGCAGCAGCTCGTGGCTACTCATGGCACAGGCCACCCGGCCCGCCAGCTTCACAGTGCCCACCTCATCCACATAACCCAGGGTGCGCAACACCTGTCAGAAAGGGCACAGGTGTTGGGGGGGCCTGCTGTTCTCCCCCCACCTGGGACCCGGTCCCGGTCCTGCCTCCCCCACCTCAACGCGCTGGTGGTATTCGGGGAGCAGCAGCAGTGACTGGTCAGACAGCAGGAAGCGTAGCCGCTCCATCTCCTTCTGGATCTGTGTGCGCTCGTGCAGCTTCAGGTACTGTGGAGAGCCACAGCAGGGGCCCCTCAGCGCTTCGGCCCCTCAGCAGCGTGCTGAGGACGAGGGCTGAGGTCGGGGCAGGGGACAAGAAGAAAAGCCTCTTCCCAGCATGGTAGCTGATACCCTACCTGGGCAGGAAAACGGGGGCTGTGCACACACTGAGCCCCCTGGATCAGCTCCTCCAGCTTGCGTGCCCGTAGCCCCCCTTCTACCACTGAGACATCCTTGAGCTGTAGGTCATTTACAGGATCCAGGGTTGGGGGCCCTGCTGGGTAGGCCTGAGCCAGACGCAGCAGCTCCTGGACAGCAGTGGTCACAGCTGCGAGGGGAGGATCCTTCCTGGAGATGGAGTGGGCCTTGAGATCTGGGATGAGAGTCAAGTCTTTCCCATAGCAGCCCTCCACCCTCTGGCTGGGGAGAGGCCCCCCACTACCTCCCCTTGTTCAGACTAGGAAAGTCACCTCCCTTTACGCCCCCTTGCCAATATGAAACACCCTGCCCAGTATCTATGCCCCTCCCCCATGATACACTCTGCCCAGCATCTGACTTGAATTTCGGTTGCTGCCTCCTGCTGAAGTCTTCCAAGATCTTCTCCCCATTCACCCGGAGCACCTTGGTGGTGATGGCAGCTATATCTCCTGAGTGGAGCTTGGCCACAGTGTGGTCACAGGGCCCTGTGAACAAGGGGAAAAGTAGGTCAGCACTTGCCATGAACACGGGTATTCTGCTTACACAGCCACCAGGAAGCCAGACATACGCCTCACTCACACCTTCAGGTAGAAATAGCTTAAATCCCACGAGGTCATCGGGGTATGGCACATCTGGAGGGGCTGGCCCTCTGTCCTGCGGCTCCTGTGACGTGGGCTTATCACACAAGACCAAGGTTGTGAAGACTCTGCTGCTGGAGTTGGAGGAGACCTGGGGAAGCCAGAACCGGGGAGGTGAGCAGCAGCACAAAACAGCAAGGATCGGGGAGCAACCGCACAGAGCCCGTGGGCTGAGGGGGCGACCCAGCCAGGCAGGCAGATATTTGAGATCCGAGGAAGTGTTGGAGGGGATGCGGAAGGGAAACCAGAGCACCGTGGTGCTGTGACCTGCCCCCAAATGGGGCTTCCAGGTCCAGATTCCCACAGTTCTCACCTGCAGGATCACACCCAGGGCACTGTGATGCTCCTGGTTCTTCACAACCACCACCCGTCCCACCGAGAGAGATTTCAGCCCACTCACGGACTCCATGATGCGCCGCTGCAGGGGACATAGAGGAAGCATCACAGGGAGGGACACCGGAACTAATTCAGGAGAACCCGGCCAATCCATTCTTTCTCCCTTCCCCATGTTCCCCCAGCACTTACACACATACTCCTTACCTGGATCATATTCCGGATCTCTGTCAGTTCCTCCCCCCAGCTGTAATATTCGGGCAGGTCTACCAGCTGGCCAGTCACGTCAGGCTCCTCTAAGGCCCCCAGCTGTTTGCTCAGTTCATCCAGAGTCTGTTCATGGGCCTGGGCAGAAGCCAAGGGAGACTGTGAGACAAGCCTCCAGACCCTCACCTAAACACTGCTGGTCTCTGGTTGCCCACCACTTTCCATTCTGGCTTGACCTGACCTGCCACTAAGTTGGTGGACTTGTCCTCCTCACCTTGCTGTCCTTGCGGGATGGAAATTCTGAGAAGCTCCTCTTCATCATGTCCTCCACCCTGAGGGCATCCACCCGCAGCAGGTTGAGGATCATGGTGTACGTGAGACGGAACTGAGACTGCAGCTGGGATGGCTTCCCCTAGAGATGTGTCAGAAAAGCCTGAGACCGAGGTGGGACGACACGCACCCCAGCCAGTGGCTGGCTCTGCTGTCATGGGGCCTTAGACAAATGCCGTGCTCACTGCCTCTATAACACAAGGGAATACAAAGGGAACTCAAAGGCCCCAGCTAACTCCATATTCACAGTGGAAAGAGACCCAGAAGCATTTAGACAGGACCCAACCTCAGCCTTGGATCTGCCCATTTGTACCTGGGCTTCTCTCAGGGAAAAAAGTCAACGGTGAGGAGCAAAGGAGAGGGCAGGGAGAGAGAGGATCCAGCAGGTCCCACTCACCATCATCATGCGGTGCAGGTCTGCCATCTCAGGCACCCGGCCCTTGCAGAGCAGGATGACGGTGCCCGTCGGGTCCAGGCCCCTCCGGCCCGCGCGGCCAGCCATCTGCACGTACTCCCCGGGGAGCAGGTCCCGGAAGGTGGAGCCATCATGTTTGCGCATGGAGTCAAACACCACTGTCCGGGCTGGCATGTTGACGCCCATGGCAAAGGTCTCCGTGGCAAACAGAACCTGGGCCAGAGGGGAAGAGACATCAGCTGAGAGCCACACTCACCCTAGGCCTGGTCGGGCCCTCTTTGCTTTGAAGACAAATCTAAACAGGCTTCAGGTGGTCCTAGGCCGTTATCTGCAGCATCTCATTTCATTCTCCAGGTAAGCACAGAGATAAGCATAGTGGCTCAGTGGGTTAAGCTACAGCCTGTGATGCCAACATCCGATGGAAATGCTGGTTTGATTCCTGGCTGCCCCACTTTTCATACAACTCCCTGCTGATGACCCTGGGAAAGCAGCAGAACATGGCCCAAGTGCTTGGGCCCGGGCCATCCAGGTGGGAGACCCATATGGAATGCCACGTTCTTGGCTTAGGTCTGGCTCAGTGCTGGCTGTTGTAGCTATCTAGGGAGCGAACCAGCAGATGGAAGATCTGTGTGTGTGTCTTCCTCTTTAACACTGTTTTTCAAAGAAGTAAGTGAAATGTAAAAAAAAAAAAAGAAAGAAAGAATTCTCTTTGCAAGTCTACAGGGTAGATAGTATCATTTTCTTCACAAAGCTACCAATATTTTTCTCCTTTATCCTCGTATGTTGTTCTCATTCCCCAAATGAACAATGCAAGGAGTAACTCCAAACACATTATCCCTTTACGTGATTCTGAGAATCCTTCAGTCCCTTTTCGTCTCTGGGAACTCTTGCCATTGACCAGCTTCCTATATTTCATCAGTCTAATCACTGTAAAGCTGTGTTTCATTAGTATTTCAACTTGCACTTAATTTTTAAAAATTATTTGAGAGGCAGGGAGACAAAGAGAGATAAGAATGAGAGTGCCAGTCCTGGCAGCGTGGCCTAGTGGCTAAAGTCTTTGCTTCAAACTCACTGGGATCCCATATGGGAGCTGGTTCTAATCCCAGCAGCCTCGCTTCCCATCCAGCTCCCTGCTTGTGGCCTGGGAATGCAGTCAAGGACGGCCCAAAGCCTTATGACCCTGCATCCACATGGGAGACCCAGAAGAGCTCCTGGCTTCAGATCAGCGCAGCACCGGCCACTGCGGTCACTTGGGGAGTGAATCATGGCACAGAAGATATTTCTCTCTATCTCTCCTCCTTTATATATATCTGACTTTCTAATAAAAATAAATAAATCTTTAAAAACAAAAACACAAATTCCCTGTCTTAAGATGGGAAGCCTAGAGTTCAGGGAGCTTAAGTACTTAGCCTGAGGTCATACAGCAACCCAGGGGGCAGTCTGAATTGAGAACCCAAGTTCTTAACCCTGGCATCAATCCTTCTAGATGTCTGCCTCCGCTCACCTTGACCAGGCCGCGGCTGAAGAGCATCTCCACAATCTCCTTGAGGATGGGCAGGATCCCGCTGTGGTGCACACCCAGGCCGCGGTGCAGGAGCTCAGACATGTGCAGGACCTGGGAGGGGGCAGGGCCACGGCGGGGGTCTCAGAACACCTTAGTCCCACCGGTCTCCTGGTGCATGTGCACAAGCACGTGTGTGCGCACGCGCACAAACACACACACACACACACCTGGGGCAGCTGCCGGTCAGAGCCACGAAGACGAGCAAGGCAGCGCTGCAGGAAGAGATGAATCTCACTCTTCTCTGAACTTGTTGTGAGATCAAGAGAGGTGAGGCCTGAGGCCTGCTCGTCACAACGGCCCCGGGAGAAGGTGAACACCACCACGGGCAGCTGGGCACGGGCGCGGAGGGAGGCCAGGAGGGACAGATACACTCCACGGTCCTGGGGAAGGATAGAAGGGTGGAGCTTGAGTACCTGAACTAGTGGGAACTGAAGCGGAGGGTTGGGACAAAGTACCAAGACAGACAAACCCTCAAAGCTCAGGGCCAAACTCCTGGGAACGAGGAGACAGAGGCTGGGGAGAATCAGGACTTGGCAGGTATAAAGCCCTCCCAGGACTCACCTGCGCAGGCCCCCCCTGGTGTGTGGGCTGCTTGGCCCCGAAGGTCTGGGCGTGCTTGCTCATCCTCTCCTTCTTGGCCTCCACAGCGGCATAGTACCTGAAGTGTGGGAAGGATGGCCATCACACCCAGCCAAGGGCCCAGCCCCACCACGCCCCAGTTCTGGGCTTACCCCTGTGTGTGGAAGGCTCCTCGCGAGTCCAGCAGCAGGAAGAGCTCACCCTGTGTCTTTGGGCTATTTCCTGTGAAGAGGTAGTGCTCCAGGGGCACAGGCCGGGCAACGGTGCTGATCACGTAGATCTGGCGACGCTTCAGTCGCCTGAAGGAGCAGGCCGAGGGTCAGGGTGTGAGCACAGATGAGAACACACATACTCACCACCTTCCCTGCCCCCTCTGACTTCACTTGGTAAGCTGTCCCTGTCCTATTTCTAGCATGCAAAGAGATCCCTAACTGGGATCCTGTAGCCACCCCAACTTTCTCCTCCCTCTCCCCCAAAACCTGGTCACTCCCCTGGCTGTGGGAGTCTTTGTCCCCACTGCTCCACCAAGGATGACAAAAGTGCCCCTTGCCTAAGCATCCTGAGACACACAGCTCACCCAATCCAGTCAGCAAACTCGAGGGCGTTGGGGACAGTGGCACTCAGAAGGATGATGGAGACGTGGTCAGGGAGCATGATGAGCACCTCCTCCCACACGACCCCACGCTGGGCACAGAGAGGGCAGGCGGGGTTACTACGAGTGTCGATGGGGCTGCCCTCTGCCCTAGGGAGGTGGCACAGGCTCCATGTGGGGAGACAAAGGCAGGAAGTGTAAGGGGGCAGCTGCTCACCAAGCCCCTTACCTCGGCATCATTGATGTAGTGGACCTCATCAAAGATGACCCACTCCAGGTCCCGGATGACATCCGAGCCGCTGTAGAGCATGGAGCTGCGGAGAAAGGCTGAGGGCTGAGTCCCCACCTAAGCTCTTGACGCACACTCTCCACACCTTTCCATCATTCCCTCCCACGCCGAGCACCCCTCTCTCACCGAAGAATCTCTGTTGTCATGATGAGGCAGGAAGCCTCTGGGTGCAGCTGCACGTCCCCAGTAAGCAGCCCCACATCACCGAATGTGTTTCGGAAGTCCCGGAACTTCTGGTTGCTCAGAGCCTTGATGGGCGAAGTGTAGATGGTACTGGGGAGGGGATGTGAAGTCAGCCATTCCCTCTATGTGGACCCTTGTCTCCCACAATGAGCCACCCCGAGATGCATACCCAAGACTCAGCTTCCCTCCTTCTTCACCCAAGTCTCCCTCAGATCCTCCTTTGCAACACAACCCCAGAGAAACTCTGTTCCCTGACACCTTTCTCAGCTAACCCATGCCATTTTTCTGGCCTATCTTGCTTCCACACCATCTCATTTTTCTGTGGGCCCTCATCTGTCTCCCCCAAACCTCTTATTCTAAGATAAGATGGGCAGAGGTGCGGGGAAAAGATGAGACTTTGAAAAGATACAGGAAACAGGGCTGGCCGGGAGAGGGTAGCTGGGGGAAAGGACTCGCACCGCGTCATGTGTTTCTGGGCCAGTGCAATGGCGTATTCAGCCACCACTGTCTTCCCGGCAGAGGTGTGAGCTGCAACAAAGACGGAGTTGTGCTGTTCCAAGTGCAGGATGGCCTGTTTCTGAAACACATCTGGCTCAAAAGCCCACTGTGGGAGACAAACACAGGAAGAGGCTGAGGGGGCAAGTGGGAAAGCAGAGGTGGGGGAAGGCCAGAGCGAGGCGAGGCTGGGGCTGAGGACTGAGACTGGCCAGGAAGGTCCCTGGCCTCTGGTGGAAAGAGGAGACAGGGTGGGCTGGGAGGCAGGGCCGGGGTCTGAGCTGCCAAGACATCAGAGAAGCACATGAGGACCGGGCGTCCATACCTGGAAGGCAGGCTGAGGAATGAGACGGTAGAAATCACCAACGGGGGAGGTGACATCCACAGGGATGGCCCACTGTTCCTGAGGTGGAGGTTTGGGGGGTACTGGCAGGGATACAGCTGTGGATGCTTCCTGGAAAAGACAAGATACGTGTGATAAAGACACGGCTAGAGAGCAGTCAGTGACCTCTCCTTCTAAAAGAGGTTTCTGTTCTTGCTGAAACTCAGTTTAGCCAACCTTCCCTCCAGCCTCTGCCTCCCAGAATGACCCACCTTCATCACCAGGTCCTCCAAGCTGCTTGCTCGGGCCAGGGGAGCACTGCAGGAAGAGGCTGACCCGGCGTCCCCTGGGGGACCCCCTGGCTGCCCAACCGTCTCACTCTCATCTTCATCACCCACACCCAAATCGAGAGGCTCCAGCAGACGGCTGAGGCTGAGCAACCCGGCAGCTGGAGCTGGGTGATCTGTGGAGGAAGGCAGAAGGGGGGCTGTGTCATGTCTTTCTGTTCTACAGAAGCACAGCACTTCCCCCAGGCTCCTGCCGCAAAACTGAAACTCACCCTTGGGAGCAAAATCTATGCCTTTCTTGAAGCCAGGCGGAACAGTAAGAAGGTCTAAGGGGACAAGAGACAGAATCAGGCACACAGGTTATTGTACAGTGTATATATGCAAAGTTTAGAACTCACAGCATGGATGTTACAATTATGACAACTGCATATGTGTGGTTATAACACATGACTATGTCAGTTATGACAATTTCCCAATAGAGGGCCATATGGATAAGAAGCCTCTTCTTGACTGGCTCGTGGAAATGCCACCAGCAACCCAGTAATACACCTCCTTTTTCGGGCTTGGACCTGGAAACCAACCTCACCTTTTTCAAAGTCTATGTCCTCCTCAGCCTCCTCTCGGGTGCTCAGATCTGTTATGGTGGGCTCATCCATCCCACCTGGGGAGCAGATAAGCATCCACAGAATAAGAGTAACACAGGATGGGCAGCCTCTCCCACTGTCTACCTGCACAAGAGTTACCTGGCCAGAAGGGGTACTGCGTTGGATTCCCCCATAGGGACTGGGAGACGGGCCCCGGTGGCCGGCGAAGAGACAAGGATGTGGTGGCTGACAGATTCGTATTTTCCAGCAGGACCTGAGGAGTAGAAGTTAGAGCCCTGGGGAGGCTGAGCTGGCTTCTACCCCTCTCTCAACTCCGCTTCTTGTGGCCCCCGACCTCTTACCTCCTTGTAGTCCAGGATCTGGCCTGTGGTTGGATGTCTTTGCGCCTGTAGGTCAGACGGGACGGGGGCTCCCAGAGCAGTCAGGAGAGACCAAGGATCTGTCTTCCTCTGCCATTTTCTGGAGGAGAACAAAGTGACAAGGAGAGGGTCTTCTTCTTCCCCTGTCCCAGATTCCTTCAGGGACCCATTTCCCAAGTCCAGGCCCCTGCAGACTCTCACCGGGCTGAGTGTTCCACACCGTGCAGAGGCAGCCAGGCTGGGGAGGACAGAAACAACTGCTCCGCCTCCTGCTGCAGATCTGGGGCACAGGGAGGGAGGCCATGGGGGAGCTGGGACACAGGAGAGAAAAGAGGCATTCATTAAGGAAAGGAGCTAGAGCGCAGACAAGAGAGGTGATGTTTCCATTGGAAATAACAGGCTGAAACAGGCTGAAGGGGCTGGCATGATGGTTCAACTGGCTAATCTTCCTACAAGTACCAGCATCCCATATGGGTGCCGGTTTGTGCCCCAGCTACTCCACTTCTGATTCAGCTCCCTGCTTGTGGTCTGAGAAAGCAGCATGATGGCTCAAGTCCTTGGGATCCTGCACCCATGTGGGAGACCAGAAGAAGCTCCTGGCTCCTGGCTTTGGATTGGCCTAGTTCCGGCCTTTGTGGCCATTTGGGAAGTGAACCAATGAATAGAAGATCTTTCTCTTTTCTTCTCTCTCTGTAAATCTGTCTTTCCAATAAAAAAAATAAATCAGGCTGATACAATATTTCCCAAAGGTTACCAAAGAAAACACCTGCTACTACATTCCCTGGAGCAATAGTTAATAATACAGATTCTGGCTTCCTGAATCACAAGCTGATCTGTGGGTGGTGAAGCACACTGAAATTGCAGAATCATGGAGTTCAAGGGGTTCTAAGGATGAGGAGCCACCGACACAAGCCAGGGCACTTGCAGACAACAGAGGGCTGTCCCAAGGAGAAAAGACACACTCGAAGGAGCCAAGGGTATCCCAGTCTCCCTGCCCTCATCTCTGCCCCATCGCAGGTCCTCTGGGCTGGGGACTGTCCAGCTGTGAGTAGGGCTGGATGACAGGGGCCAGTATAGAGAAAAGAGATGGTTTACACTCCATGCGGGTCAAAGGTTAGCGCCAACAGTCACTCACGGTGCTCTCTGGAGCTCCAGGCGCGTTCAGCAGCTCCCAACGCCCAGTGCATCCCAGTTCCACGGCCCGAAGGGGCAGGTCCAGCGGATCTAAGGGAGGCAGCACTACGGGGGAAAAGGGAGAAGTCAGGAGTCAGAGGTTATTCCCCGTCCACTACGCCGTTCCACCCCCTGCCCCTCACCTAGACGCTCTGTCTCCATCATCCTGGAGCCACCTCAGCGGCCCAGCAGCCCGGAAGTGTAGTGGATTAGCCGCGAAGTAAGTCCCGCCCCGGAATGGGCGGAAGTTGACAGCATTTCCGGCACACAGACACATACACACCCGCCGGGAGCGTAGAAGAGAGGGGGTCCGACCTGGACCAGTAGAAGGCCGGGCGGAAGTGCCAGTGTCTTGGGCCGCCTTGGTTACAGCGTTCTCCGCCCCTGGCTGCGTCATCGCTCTGAGCCCGCTTGTTAGCGGCCAGCGCGGGCGCCGCCCGAGACCGTGGGGCTCCGGTTGCCGCCCCCTCAGGTAAGGTCTTCTCAGTTTTCTCCCCTTTTTCTCCGAGCCCTGCTCTCTTCTTCCCCTTTTTGTGGCTCCAGGAGCGCTGCGTGAGTGCCGCCGCCACATCTGCTGTTCAGACCCCGCGGCTGGCCATACTCATCCCAGCTGGGGCAGGGGGGTCGGGTACCACTGTCTCGGCGAGCGAGGGAGTGTTTTGTTTTTCCTGCCTGGGCCACCTGGGGATCCCAAGGCCCCGGTGTCTGTGATTTTTGGAGGCAGGCAGGAATGCTGATTGACCCCCGACGAGCAGGAGCTGGGAAGGCAGGCTAGGCTGGTTTAAACCAGAGGGTAGGGAATGGCCCGAGGCAGGAGCCATAGGCGAGCCTGGCCGGGTGGACTTGGGTACCCGTGTGGGCAGCTTGTGGTTCCTGGGTGGTGACAGTGGAGAAAGACTTGTTGGGCCCTGCCCCTGAACCAGGAGCCACCATGTTGGTGATACCCCCCGGACTGAGCGAGGAGGAAGAGGCTCTGCAGAAGAAATTCAACAAACTCAAGAAAAAGGTGAGGGAGTGTGTGGCCCCCGCTCTTCACGGAGGCGGCTTTCTGAGAACATGGGGGTGAGTGTGAAGGGGTGGGGGAAGGATGCCCTGGCTCCTACTGGGAAACACAGCCCCTAGCCGACTGGCTGCAAGAGGTGGGCTCACCCGCCATGGGCACAGCCCCACAGGGGAGTTGTCCTGTCCCGCAGGTGCCTTCGTGATTCAGGTGCCCATGATGGGGAGCCGTGGTCTGTTGTAATCCAATACTTTTTCTCCATCTTCCAGAGAACTGCCTGGACTCAGTTCTCCTGTGCTTTTGGCCTCCAAGTCTCATCTCTGACTTCTCCACTATTTGTGTAGTCAAGCCCTTACCCACTTAATTCTTTGGAAGTGCTTTCTCCTCTTATTCTTGTCTAAGATTTCCCCATAGCAGGGTTTTGTTGGCGTCAACGTGGGCAGTTGCAGGGCCTCACATTATTTCAGTCTTTTTGTGGGGCAGGCTTTCTCATTCATGTTAAAATAACCCATTGGAAGCACAGAGCCATTCCCTGTTTCCCAAAATTGTAGCTGGGTCCATGTTGTGTATCGACCAAAGCCTGCACATGTCAGCTTGGCATTCCATGTCTAATCCAATAGAAAAAATTGCTAGTCCCAAAACACACATCCCCACAGCCTTCTTATCTCTGCATCTTTGCCACCCTATTTTCTTCATCTAAAATACCTCTCCTCTCTCTCTCCTCTTTTTCTTTCTCTCTGGTGCAAATTCTACCCTGGGCTCATTTTAATAACCATTAGGCGTCAGAAAAATCTTAATTTCATGTGTAAGTATTCTGCAACTCTTATGATCATTCTTGGCAATTCAGCCTAGTCATTTTGTTTCCCAAGACTGTAAGGAGAGTAGAAATTACGTTTTAATTTGTGTATTTTTATTATAAAGTCTTGATCTGGCCTCTTTAAATATATAAACGGGACAGAGGGATGAAGCCCTCAAGCACAGGTTTTTCTTCAGAACTCTGCGCACCTGGAGTCTCTGGAGACTAGGCTTTGCGTAGCTTGAATCTTGACTGACATAGATGATCCAGAGAGCCAGATAATAAAAGAGGCAGTTCTGGCTCACCACACCATTCCTGTGGTGCCATTGGCTTTGTTCTATCCACGAGGAGTATCCCTGGAGGGATAGCCCAGGAGAGGACTTGGAAAGGGGATGTTCCTCACTGACCCTGCTCTTCTCACCCTTGTTCCCAGAAAAAGGCATTGCTCGCTCTGAAGAAGCAAAGTAGCAGCAGCACAGCCAGCCAAGGCGGTGTCAAACGCTGTGAGTGATGGGAAGCAGGAGGGGCTGGGAGAGGGCCACGTGGAACAGTCACAGTCACAGTCTGGCCATAACTGATCTTTCTCTCACGACTCCAGCACTGTCGGAGCAGCCTGTGGTGGACACGGCCACGGCCACTGAGCAGGCAAAGCAGCTGGTGAAGTCAGGAGCCATCAGTGCCATCAAGGCTGAGACCAAGAACTCAGGATTCAAACGTTCTCGAACCTTAGAGGGGAAGTTGAAGGTGAGCCCAGCAAAAGGGTAGTGAAGGGCACCGCTGGCCAGGAGGGCACCCCTCCTGGTTGAAGGGAGGTGGCTCCAGAGAAACATAGTACATAGTTCAGTTTCTTATTTGTGAAATGAAAAGAAACTAGGTGGCTTCAAAGTTCTGTCTTGCACATCTTGTGGTGCTAACGCACCTTGAATGAGCACTTTTGAATGTTGTTCCAAGGGGTTAAACAGCCTAAAAATGCCATCAGATTCTAGAGTTGGTGTTGTTGTTGTTGTTTTTATCTGAAAGGCAGATTTTACAGAGAGGAAAGGACACACAGAGAGAAGATCTTCCATCAGTTGGTTTACTCCCTAAATGGCTGCAACAGCCAGAGCTAAGCCAATCCGAAGCCAGGAACCAGGAGCTTCTTCCGGGTTTCCCTCACGAGTGCAGGGTCCTAGTTACTTGGAACTAGCCCCTCTCTGCTTTCCTAGGCCATGGGCAGAGAGCTGAATCAGAAATGGAACAGCAAGCCATGAAGTAGTACTCATTTATATGGAATGTGGTGTTACCACCCTGACCCTATAGCTCACTTTCTTTTTTAATTTAAGATTGTTTATTTTTAGTGCAAAATCAGACATTCAGAGAGGAGAGAGAGAGAGGAAGATCTTCCATCCATTGATTCACTCCCCAAGCAGCCGCAATGGCTAGAGCTGAGCCAATCCAAAGCCAGGAGCCCAGAGTTTCTTCCGGGTCTCCCACATGGGTGCAGGGTCCCAAGGCTTTGGGCCATCTTCAACTTCTTTCTCAGGCCACAAGCAGAGAGCCAGATGGGAAGTGGGGCAGATGGGATTAGAACCGCCGTCCATATGGGATCCCAGCGCTTTCAAGGCAAGGACTTCAGCCACCAGGCTACCGTGCTGGGCCCAGTTACTTATTTTTAAAGGGATTTTAGAAATAATGTCAGAAGAAGCCAGAGTGACAGTGAGGAAAAGGAGTGTGTCTATTCCCAGGTCGGGTAGCCTCCTGTTCCCACATACTGAGATAGATCTTTTCTACTTCTCCAGGACCCTGAGAAGGGACCTGTCCCCACTTTCCAGCCATTTCAGAGGAGCGTATCTGCTGATGATGACCTGCAGGAGGTAATGGCTCCCTGTTCTTTGTCTTTGAGAAGCTAGGGGACACAGATTGAGGAAGACCCGCATTTTTAATCCATATGCCAGCAACTGGGAATCGTCTTTAACCATTGTTGATCTCTTTTGCAGTCATCCAGACGTCCCCAAAGGAAGTCTTTGTATGAGAGGTGAGACTTAGAGATAGGGCAGACTCCTTTTTGTCAGATGGGGAGTTGGTTGCCCGAGTCATTGGGAGGTGTGTTGGGACTGAAGTGGAGGGATGGTTGAGCCTCCCTGGGTTCTGTGAGGAGGTCAAAGCTCTCTTTGACCCTTACAGTCTATGTTTCCTCAGCTTTGTATCTTCCAGTGATCGGCTCCGGGAACTAGGGCCAGATGGAGAAGAGGCAGAGAGTCTGGGGGCTGGTGATGGCGCCCCTCGAAGCTTTGACTGGGGCTGTGAAGAACGTGCTGGTGCCCGTTCCTCAGCCTCCCCTCCCCGAAGCCGCAGCCGGGATCGCAGCCATGAGAGGAGCCGGGACCGAGATCGTGAGCGAGATCGAGACAGAGAGCGCGATCGGGAGCGAGATCGAGACAGAGAGCGGGATCGGGAACGGGATCGAGATAGAGACCGAGACCAACAAGACAGAGACCGGGACCGAGATCGAGAGCGGGACCGGGACAGGGATCGAGACCGGGAGCGGGACCGAGAACGAGAGGGCTCTTTCCGCAGTGAGTGACCTTGGCTGTTGGGGGAGGTGCCTCAGCCAGGGTTTAGGTAGGTGCTGTGAAAAGGCAGGGGGAGGGTGGGTGCTGGCACAGCTCTTACAACGCCAGTTGAAGTTGGGGTGCTGGGATTCAAGCTCCACCTCCTCTCCCAGTTCTAGCTCCTTGTTTGTGTGCACACTGGGAGTCAGTGGTGATGGCTCAAGGATTTGGGTCCCTGCTGCCCAGGTGGAAGACCTGGATTTTTTTTTTTAACATAAATTTTTATTCGAAGAGTTACAAAGAAAAGGAGAAATAGAGATCTTTTCAGTCTTATAGTTCACTCCTCAAATGGCCACAGTGACCTGAGCTGAACCAATCCAGAGCCAGGTCAGGGTCCCAAGGCTTTGGCCTGTCCTGCTAACTTACCCAGGAGCTGGATTGGAAGTGGAGCAGCGAAGACACAAACCAGCACCTATGTGGGATGCAAGCACCACAGATGGAGACTTAGCCAGCTACACCGTGGTGCCAGCCCCCAGTTTTATTTTTTTTGTTTTGTTTTGTTTTGTTTTTTGGGGTTTTGTTTTGTTGGTTTGTTTGTTTTTAAGAGAGTAAGATGGACTATCTTGTGACTGTGATTGCTAATCTCATAGGATCAGATTCATTCCCTGAACGCAGAGCCCCTCGAAAGGGGAATACTCTGTATGTGTATGGAGAAGACATGACACCCACCCTCCTCCGCGGAGCCTTCTCTCCCTTTGGAAACATTATTGACCTCTCCATGGACCCACCCAGAAAGTAAGGATGACAGTGGGACATGACAGGCAGTCTGGGGAAAGTCCTATGAGTGAGCCCTGGGAGAGGAAGCTGTCCTGTCTCCAGCGACCCATGTGCGCTGGCTAGAAGTGGGCCAAAAGCCCTCCACTGACCCTGTTTTCTC